AAATGGGGACATATGGATTTATTGGAAGTTTTCATATGTCTTATAGACAAATTACTCCCCCCTCCATTCAATTTTAATAATTTTCGATTACTTTTTATATAACGTATGGTAACATGTTTTACAAAACCCAATAGTTTTGTGATAATTACTTCACTTACAAGTATTTATTACAGGTCGTGGAGACCCCTGTTGGTTGATTTATAGCAAAAACATTGGCATTTGCATGTTGGCGACGCTGCACTTTTTTAATAAGTAGATCTTTTATTTTAGAACTCCACAGTTAAAAAAAATCCAAAAAGACCTAACATATTCCCCCGTCCACTGCGTCTATTCATTTAGCCATTCAATTGTAAAATTTCTCTTGAAAAAATAAATCTTCAAGATTTGTTGAATTTTCTACCGAAAATCAGCTAGATCTACTCCCCCCTCCGTTCATTTCTTCTGATCACCGGGCGTGATTCTTATTTGAGACTGTATTTAACACCTCCTGTGAAAATTTGAATGAAAAGGGCACAAAACTCTTAGTTTGAGAGGGATTTTCTCTAAACTAACAGTATCGATTGACCTGGAATTTGAAAACAATTATAGAGACTACTTTTCCATGTTTTTCCAACATGGTTACAGTTAGAGAGTTGGCACAATGGGGGAACTTTAGGGTACAATTTCTTCATAATTAGCCTTCTTTAATTCTAGATACCATATACCATATTTTCTAAAATACCATATACCATATTTTTTACACCTCTTATACCATATACGATAAATTTTGCCCCCTCTTATACAATATACAATAAATTTTCAGCCTCTTATACGATATACAATATCTCTATACACCCCCCCCCAGGGACTTTAAAGATACTGAATTTGGATGACCAAAATGAACTGAAACCAATGGATAGCATGAGATTTTTCAATGGAGAAATAACATGGGGAACACTCATCTTAAAGCAATTAAGTTTTTCATTCAAGAAATATTTGATACATCAAAATAAAGAATAGTAATGCATTAAACATTGTAAATAATGAAGGACCCACGGTCCTGTGCTCACACAGTTTGGAACCTTCAGAGGAATGTATATACATGTACTGACTTTCAAACAGAAATATTGATTTGGATTTGTACTCTCGAACTTTGAGAAACTTATATACCACAGTTGTGTGATCTAGTTTGATGACCTTTGACCTTGAAAATGTTACTAATTCAGAGCTCAGTAAGGTCTTTTGTGATTAAAGTGTGCGCCTGACCCGGCTACGTATAGCACAGAGTTTATACTGGCGGATTAGACTAGTTCATTTTTTATATGTGTGTGAAAGCTTTCTCTTATTTGCGTTTTTTTCGTTTAGTACGGTTCTGTTATAATTGCCGAGGTCATATAACCGGGATAAAACAATGATTATCGTTGACTGCCCACACACAAAACATACGTTGATGAGTGAACAGTGTTATTACAAACAACAGGCTTTAGAATACAAAGCGTAGTGTGATAATAAGCTGTACACTACCACTGCTGCATGTACATATTACTAATTTACTAGGGCTCCCAAAGAGTGGATAGGGAGGTTGTGTTTGTCACTTTTAAATTTTACATTTCAAAATTGTCATTTTACATGTCATCATTTGTTGGTTTCATTCGTTTAGCCAATCAAAATATTGTAAAACAATAAATTGTCTGTTACGTACAATCAATTTTGTTCAGTTTTGATTAGTTGTCAGAATAAAGTTACGTTCATCTGAATCCATGTATCAAAACAAAAATCCTATTTTTACTTCAAAATACTTCAGTGAGATGAAGGCTCGGAATTGTCACATGCAATAACTTATTGTCGTATTCGTTATTTTATCTTCTCGATAGTAGCATTTAGTCGCACATTTGATGCCAGGTCACCTTGTCGCGTACCTCTTGGGGAACCCCACATTTATGTGTGTACTCATGGAAGTAAATTCCCCGGTGTAGCCGAGAGCCACAAACTTTTCAACAGGTTCGAAATGACCAATTTCTCTCATATATACTCTAAATATTTTATTATTTAGCACCTACAAAGTATTGCTAATAACCATATGTAATTTCAATAAGGAAACTTATCTTGCTACATGTAAATTCAATATCAACACTAGCTGTTCTCTCAACACGTCCTGGCTTACCTTGTGGTGACAAACCCTGGGTTTTCGCTATTTATAGTTTATCAACACCTGGACGCATGCGCATTTTATAGTTTATCGGGCACTTTAAGCTGACCAAAATTTACATCCAAAAATCAATTTGTAAAATCAACTTTTTTTACCTTTCGAAGGTCACTGAAGGTCAAATCCTAAAACTAATGTCAGATTTGAACTCCTGGCAACTTGTAGATGATTTTCAAAAAAAATTTGGTCAAATTGAAGCAAGTTGAAAAATAACTTATTTTTACTGTTTTTTGACGTCAAATATCTCAAAAACGGTAAAAATTTGATGCTGACATATATATTGAGCAATATGTAGGGAATGCTTAAATCTAGTAATGATGTAATTCATTGCAAAAAATGATCAAGTATAAGGCAAACTTTGAGAAACTTGTCAATCACAAAACCTGCATTGACTTTATATGAGAAAGTTTCTTGAAAATGACGAAGTCCTACTTTTTGTCAAATTTTATAGAGTAAAAACCAAAAACGGTAATTCCGAGAGCTAAATGAAATCTTCAGAGGACATAAGTTGCATATACAGCAACTACTAAAAGTTATACTTCAACAAAGTGTCTAGTATTTACAGAACTTTGATTTTTTTACGTCAAAATCCGCAATTTCTTGGAAACCGGGCGAACTTGGGAAATGGCGATGATAGGTCAAATAGGCATTATGGATATGCATAAAATGAATGTGGATATGACTCAATCCGAATAGCAGTTTTAATTTGTGCGGCCAATGTTGACGGATGGATGGACGGACCAATGGACGGACCAACGGACGGACGCCTGGTCGATCCCATATAGGCTCACTGTGTGAGCCAAAAATGATCGCATTTTTGGGGAAAAAAAATGGGGTCAACATCTTTGAAAAAGTGTGATGAGTAAAGATTATCCCGTTCCTGGAACGGGATAAATCTGAGCATGTATCAGAAGAGTTATAACGGCCGATAAATCTAATCATGTAAGCTTAGTCATCTACCTATTAATGTCAATGCATTACACAGGGCCGTAGGGAGAGGGGGTTCGTAGGGCTCGTGCGAACCCCCCCCCCAAATCTTGCCTAAAAAAATTCGAACCCACCCTTTCTGGCAATTATGCAAACCTCCAAACTTTGAGTAAAATTTTTGCAGTCTTTCAATAATTTATCGTTTTTGATTACCCAAAGACAATTGAGTTATATGTCAAGATGGAAATATGTGAGATTTATAGCTTCATTTTGAGTAAAAAAGATTCTAAAAAAAACAGAAAAACAAAAAACTTCTACAGTTGGGGACATAAATAAATGACAGGTGGATTTGCTGAAGTGAGGATTTCCCATGTTAAAAATAAGCGAATTTACAAGAGGCCATAAATCAGTGGATGAGATTATACAAAATGTAAAATATACAAATTTTAAGGGATATGTATCTTGACAATATTGGAAATTATGGGCTTTCAGACCACCATAATTAGGAAATGGTGATCGAAAATCGACCTGTCATTTATTTTTGTCCCCAACTGTAATCAATAATGGGCGATAATAGGTATGCTCTTTGCACTTTAGGCCTGAAATACTGAAGTAATATCTTCAAAATGAATTCAAATGCACAAACAAAGCATACCTACCAAGTTGAAATTATCTGATTGTTGTACATAACGTCAAAATGGTCTAATTTTTTATATAAATCTGCAGAGAATTTTGTTGTGACACTGGGCCGTGATACACCAAAATTGTGAACGCTAGAAAATTCTTACTTACAATGTCTTATTTTTTCATGCTGTAGTTAGATCAGAGAGCAAGTATAAAGATCACTCACACAGAGTTGTTTACTGATTTTTGGCTCCTATTTATTTATAAAGCTCGTTGTACAAGCGATTTAAAATTGGGGGGAGGGGCAGGGGGTTTCTATGTCTGCTAATTTCTGTGAATGGGTCCAAATTTAAAAAAATCTGCCCAAATAAATGAACTTGGTCTTGGGATATTTTACCTATTTTTTGCTTTTGCAATTGTTTGAGATTTGGTAAACTTGAGAAATTTGGTAAAATTTTAAATTTTAGCGAATGGGCAAAAATTATGAAAATTTGGCAAAAATGAAACTTTGGCAAAATTTATCCTTTATTGGCATTTAAGTAAAATTGGCAAAATTTAAGTAAAATTTTAGACCAAAATTAAAAAACTTTGCAAAATTTAAGCAAATTTGGCAAAATTGAGGTCAATTGGCAAACATACAGCAAATTTGGCAGAAATTCAGCAAATTTGGCAAAATTTAAGCAAATTTGGCAAAATTCCATCAAATTTGGCAAAATTTAAGAAAATTTGGCAAAATTTAAGCAAATTTGGTAAAATTGAAACAAATTTGACAAAATTTAAGCAAATTTGGCAAAATTTAAGCAAATTTGGCAAAATTTAAGCAAATTTGGCAAAATTTAAGCACACTTGGCAAATTTGGCAGAAAATATTAGAACCCCCCCCTGACAAATCCTGGCTACGCCACTGTTACATACATTAGGCATTGTATTGCATACCTTCAACTGGATAACCTTACCTGTAATTTTAACGTGCAATCTAGTTCATTGACCTGTCGACTGTCCTGATTCAGTTAGATATCTCGATCTTTAGACTATAGATCTAGTTACAAAATTAGGAGAATAATTAAAGTTCGATTCCGCACTGATGCACTGCTAAAAAGAGAATACTGTTGAAAATAAGGAATAAAATACACTCCAAATGATAGTTCAACCCCAGTTGTACACACCTACTGTAGATACCTGCCGCTGTCCCAGAACTCAGAACCGCATATCATGTGACCAGTCATGTGACTTGAAGTAGCTTTATGTATATATCACGTGATAAATTTAAAATGGACGTCTTCGAAGTATCGCCCAAAACAGCTCTCGTTTCAAGCCTTATTTTTGGAGGTGTCATCAGGTATGCAGCTCTTAATTGGATATCCGCTCGCAGACAAATGGCACTAGAACGAGTAGGAAAAGTGTCAGCACTTTATTTCTACCCTGTGAAGAGTTTGAACGGGTTGAAAGTGAAGGAAGGATTTTGCTCAAAGACCGGTCTGGAAGTACAAGGGCAAATTGACAGGTTGTAAACAAGGATCAAAGTGTATATACTTTTTAAGTTGCTATGGAAGTTAACAGGAAATGACAAAACAAGAAATGTCAAAACCATGCTGTACCTTTACACGTAGATTTCAAATATGACATCAGTCTGACTAAATTTTGAATGTAAATCAAGATTATTTCTACTCGCACACAGTCTTTTCATTAGTTCAACAAGTTAAACCCAATACCACGGCTTTCATTTATTAATCTGAATGTTCTTGTTACCGTGGTTGGGTTTAACTTCCGTGCTATGCCTTCATTTGATGCAAATTCTCACTATCAGTTATGAATTAAACGCGCATGAAATTCCATGCGCTACTATAGGCCACCATTGAAATTTTTGCATCAAGAGCCGAATAGGCACGGACGTTAAACCTAGGGCGGGCCACAAGATATGTCAGATGAGAAATAAGGCCCAGACTAGGTTTAACTTGTTGAACTATCTTTTCATAAGCATCAAAACAAGCCAAAGATTTTTTGGGATGCCAGAAATAAAATGTGATTCTCAAGTGGCTTTTCATTATATGTTATTTGTGATTTCAGACATTGGATGATAATAGCTAGATGAGAAAAAAGTGTCTCTAACTCAAAGAACTGACCCAAAGATTGTGCTGATCACACCTAGTTTCCATGGCAATAGTCTCCATCTTGATGCTCCAAATATGGTTACAATTAAAGTATCATTTGATGATGTATCCAAGAACAGTGCCAAGCCTGTAGAATGCAAGTTTGTGGATAAACTTATCATTTGCATGTGTGTGTAACTTGCTCTTTGACCCAAAAGTGCATTAATATTTAAATCTAGTAAGTTTAAATCTGCTACCTACATGTACATATATAGATCATTTTTGTAGGCCCACTAGATGGCAATTAGATATTGATTTTCCAAATAGATCCTCACAAAAATAAATAAGCTACAGACAGCAACAAACAAATATACTTTCAAAAATAATCATACGGCATTTTCAAAAATTCTTCCAACTGAATATTTCTCAATTAAATTTTCAAAATGATTGTTTTGTGCAATTAATTTTTACCCAGTTTTTAATATTACTATATATGAATTCTGATGGATACTTTGACCCACCCTTAAATGTGCTTTTATATGACAAATGTTGAAATTGTTATATCAAGCCAGAATGTCACATTTTTTTGTCACCACCACTAGACACAAGAGGTGACATATTGTTATAGCCTCCAACTTTTTTTTTGTTGATGGTGTTAGGCAGTTAGCGTTTGGTGTCTGTAACATATGGCAGGTGGTGACATTTTGCATGTTAATGCCTTGTAATTTTAATTGTTACATGGCGCCAAAATGTCACATATCTTTTTTTTAAGATGTCGTGAGGTTCCTATGACAGGAGTTGACTGTGGAGATGAGGTAGCAGAATGGCTAACCAAAGTAATAGGGAAGGCTAACCTCAGACTGGTCTACTCTGGCCCAGGCCTGAAGAAACGTGATGTTCTAGAACGTGCCAAGAATGTAACACTAGCAAAATCTGGAAACTTGGTAAGAGATTTATCAAAAGATCAATTTTATTTTTGGGTACTTAACCAACAAAGTTTTGGGCTATTAGGGGGCAGGACAAAGATTAACTGGAAAATCTATGGTAAATACTTCATCGATAAAGGAACACTATTAAAGAACATCTTATCCTTATTAATCCATATGAGTTCCATTAAACCAATTGTAAAATTAAAGAAGGTGGATTTGTTATATATATTACTTTCATTCATGTCTGCTTACAACTTACCATAACTAAATGTTTCAGTTGTTTTACTGAAATTCATGTATTTTGTTTTATGTGAAGAGAAACAAAAACACAAGAGATGGAACATTGTCACAAATTATAGTCGTAGCAGCATTTGAAAGAACCTTGACAAAAAACCTTTAAATGATGACTTGACACTTAAGTTTGTCGCAAACGTTCATATAATAGTTTAATAACTCCTGCGCCTTTTGTTTTAAGGTGGCCTACCCTGACTACACACCATATCACCTAGCAACAGATGATTCTCTAGCAGACCTTAACAACAAAGCTCAGCATCCTGTTGCTATGGACAACTTCAGAGCAAACATCATTGTTAAAGCGACAGACCCATTTGAGGAGGTACAGTATGTGTGTGATTTGTGTTATAAGTAAATCTGGGTGGGTGATGAGAATATAAATGATTTCATGTATGTATGTATGATGGTAATCATGCACATATGTTGTTCAATCTTGAGTACTGGTGTTAGGCATTCAGGATTCGGCATCTATAATAAATTCTTACAACTTCCAATAACTGGTGGTGACATTTTGTCATGTTAATGCCTTGTTTTTTTGTTTTTTTTTAAATAACATTTATTTTCCTTTTAAATTAACTTAGAATTGTACATTAACACCAATCATCATACAAAATAAACATACTGTACCTGTCTTACAAATTTAATATCTTTTGTTTGTTAAACTCGCTTTTAATATTACATGTACCTAAATAGTTTTGACAGTTGAAAATTTGGATTGTTTTTCTGGCTATTAGAACAACTTTATAATTAGAACATGTTTGAAGACCTAAAATTTGTTCATTTGTCAAATTGAAATTATTCCAAATATCTTTAACTTTATTACATTTAATAAAATGATGTACAATAGTGTCATTTACTCCACAATGGTCACATAAAGGAAATTTTTTAATTTTGAACTTGAACAGGACCAAATTACAAGGATAGATATTGTAAAGTGATTTCCAATGTAAAATATCTTAATGTTAATGCCTTGTTAATGATTATTGTAAATGTTTTAGGATTATTGGAGAGAAGTCCGAATTGGTGAGGCAACATTCCAAAATGTGAGGCTGACCACAAGGTGAACCTCTTATAATCTTAGCCAAAGCGTAGTACAATATTGAACGTCTAATGAGTGTCAGACAACAATGCCAGAAATCATTTCTAAAATACCCACCTGATAAAATGTGTCATTCTTGCATGTATTTTCATACAATCTATATTTTTTATATTAATTTTATTAAATAAGGTCATATTATCGTTTATCAGGGTAACATATTGTGCTAATCATAAATGTCCTCTTCACTATTTGACCCCACCCAGCCCTGTAGCCAGGGTGCTCAAGAAACTCAAAATCATTCAGTATTTCACCATTGCAACTCTGTTTTGAATAATTCCAGGTGTAAATTGACCCAGATTGATCCAAAGAATGGAGAACCAGACAATGTAACTAAGGACCCCATAAACACACTACGAAAGTAAGTCACATGACCAATCCTTGGGTACATGTACACTGTAAAACCAGTCAAAGTGGTACCTTATATAGGTATGTACCTTTAAAGTGTTCCACTTGGGAGGTGTTCTACTTATAGACGTTCATTTATTTCAAGTAAGTTGGCCTTGGAACATGTTCTGCTTTACAGGTTTCACTGTACATGCTAAAAATGTCTTTAACATCCACATTTGGTAGAGCTCTTGCTTGGCTTTAAGACTACTAAACACACAACTAAACACACAACTAAACACAGTCCAATTAATTGGTGTCACATTCTGGTGCTCTTTGCATCTCTTTTCTTACAACAGATAATCTCTTATTCATAGGCCATTTAGCTGATTCAAGAGATAGTGTGACCTCATTTAGGGGCCAATTAAAGCAACTTTGCCCATCTGTGTAAATATTTTACTCGGTTATATTAACCTTTTATTATAAGTGAATGCCGTGATCTGTTTTTTCTTTACAACATATTTATTGATTCGAGTATTTACTGCCTCTTCTCATCTTAGCCATTTCATCATTGGCAGTGATCTCCACAGGATTTTATCTCAAGAAGGAGCTAAATTCTCATTTTCACAATTCAGACCAAACTGGTCAAAATATGCCCATTTTTCATCGTTTTTCTCATTTTCAAGTGGGTGCAAATGGATTTTCAGGTGGGTGCAAGTCTTTTTTTAAAATCTCAGGTGGGTGCTGTGCCCACTTGCTTTAATGCTGGGGAGATCACGGATTACCTTGACATTATTTCCAAGTATTTGTTGGTGTGTTGTCAAAAAGAATTATTTTCCAGGGTGTTATGCATTCTTATATATACAGGTATCTACTCAGATATGGGTCCTCAATGTTTAAATTAGAAGTAGATAACCTCATGGATGAGAGGTCAGCTTTAAAGGAGATGAAATGAGGATCAGAACTACCTAATTACAGGTGGCATCAGAGTTACTGAATCTGACAATTCATTTGTAATTTAATCAATCTCCTGTATATTTTAGGTACCGACGATTTAAAAAACTAGGAGATTCGCCTTGTTTTGGGATAAATCTGACAATCAATCAAACTGGACCAATCAAAGTTGGAGATGAAGTGTTCGCAACGCGTCATGCATTACGGGCTTGTTGTGAATCATAAACTGAATTTGAAACATTGAGTGCTCCAATATGTATTGGAATTTTTTTTGTTCCCTCAAAGTAAACCCTTTTCATTATGTCAACACAACACCACAAGTGGTGACATATTGTTATGGTCTCCAACTTTTTTATGACAGCATTCAGCGGTTGGTGTCTGTAACAGATGTAGCAAATGGCAGGCGGTGACATTGTAAATGCCTTGTTTTTGAATTCAATTTTGCTCCTTCAAATTAAATGTGTTGTTTGCTTGATTGAGCATGACCCAGTTCTTCAAATGCTTGGAAATAGCCAATCTGTGATTGACAATCATGTATACTATACAATAATTTTTCACTTATTTTTTGAAAATCTTATTTAGTGTAGTATTTTCATCACTCAAAAGTGATATTCATCTGACATATATTTTGCAGAGATTTTTGTATAAAGAGATTCAAAACACACAATATTTTTAAAATATATATTCAGTGATAATTGCAGGTCAGAGATATTTACTTTATTTTATACAGCCATGTTTGATATCAAATGGTATAATAAATAAATGAAAAACAAATAAATCACTAGTTATTATATTTTAATGTTTTTTTATGTTTATTTATCCTCATAGATGTCTATGTACACGTTACATTATCTTGTGTAACAAAAGAATAGAAGAAACACAAGTCAATCCGTCTTGAACGGTTGAATGCAATAACAATAATGTCTCACAATGAATATGGCACCTCAAAAGTCATCAAGAAATATGCAAGCACATTGCCATACTTATATGCAAGTCAACAATATTGTCGCATAAAGCAAGAGACATATATAGGGAGTCCTGAGCCATTAAGAGAACCCATCCCATGAAAGACGTCATGGTGACCATGCTTTACGATACAAGATATATGTACAGAAGAACACGGAATAGACAAAGAATAAAGTATTAAGACTAGCATGGCGTCGATGTTTTCAATAAATATATCAGATAGAATTACAAATGATTTTCTTCGGTAAATGTTCGAAGTCAAATTGAAGAATATGTCACTCCAAGGTTGGGTAGATAATGTTATAAAATCATGAAAAGTGTAATTTCTTGTATAAGATGGATTATATTTTCTTTTACTGGACAAATTTCCAATTGTATAGTTATCAAATTCAAAAAGGTCATATGAAAAGCGACTCAAGATATCTAATGAAAAGTGAAGTTTAAATGAATATCTGCCATTGTCTGCTATGTTATTTGACCCCATTTAGCCACCTGGTGGTGAAACTTGTAACAACATACTGGTACCTTTAGTTATTGCATTTGAATCTCAAATCTCAAATTCTGAGCTATCAGTTCATCCAAAATTGAAAAAGGGACAAAATGGATACATAGAGAGCAGTTTGAGAAAAGTTCAGCTTGCTTTCTACGTATTCAGAGGTTTCACAAGAATTTCTCCCTATAAGCTAAATAAATGAAAACAACAGGCAAAATTAATGGAAATCATAAATTTAACATGGAAAAGTTGAAAAGTCCCTAAAAATAACTGGCGATTTTGTGAAAACAACTGGTGAAAATCGCCTGTTGCCTGCTGCTAATGAAACCCCTGATATTATAATCCATCATCATGCAACAGTGTGCATGTCTTGTATATGTTCATAGAGCTCAAGTTAAATCATTGAAGACTCGAGATCTGCTTCTCCCTTTAATATTAAAATGTCAATGGCCTTACTTTTATACAGATCAACATGAACTCTCCGATTTCCAATGCCTGAAAAAATCTGAAACATTTGGCAAAAATAAGTCTCTATTCTTTAGGTATTATATCTGTTGAAGTTAAAGGAACGAGAAGGAATACTATAGTGGATAGTACATCTTGAAGATAGTCAGAATTTGACAATATTTTGAGCCTCGTCATTCCGAGAGATGCCCAATTTCGAAATGTCCAACAGTTCTGACATTACTTCAAAATTATCATTCCATGTTCAATGTCATATGTCGAAAAATTTAAAAATGAAAATCTGTTTTTCCAAATAATTTTGATATGTCTGCATCCTAAATCCTCAATAATTCAATATTTGATCAGACATAATTCCTCTTTAGAAAATAAAATAAGGATTCTAGAGCTCATTGGCACGTTTTTGAAAGGATGTAAGCACTGTGCTTGTAGTTAAACAAAGGACCATCTCGTCTAGTAGATGATACATCTCTTCAGTCTCTTAAGGCGAGTCAAATCGAATACAATCCATGATCGTGTGAATCTATCATATGGAACACATTTTTCCATGTGAAACTACGAACAAGGATTCAAACTTATTACTATCAATGTTCCAGGCATGAAACCATAAATATCCCTACTTTGGTGGAAATCATCCACAATTTTCTATGAGCATCTACATGGTATCTATTTGGACTTGGTCCTATACATACACCTACAATATGACATTAATTTACTGAAATAGTAGGGAGATTATGTTTCCTCAGAACATTTGATCAAAATCCTGATGATATTTCCAAGCACATCTGATTCCGGATTCGTGAATTTATCTGTTATTGATTTTACTTTAGGATGATGCCTAAGAACATGGCCCTCATAATGCCTGAGAATTTATCATTTATCCTCAAGTTCTACTTTGGAAAGTGTTGCATCTTTTTGTATAGATGTCACTTTGAGTTGCATAACTCAGGAAGTCCTTTTATACGTGTCACTACAAGCAACACAAGATGGTAATTGTTTTTATAGATGTCACCACATGGCTACTGAGAATGTTTCATGGCTTTGTATAGATGTCAGTAGTTGAGTATGTGCTCCATTGCTCGCTCAACATTCCAGTTATGTGTTGATAGTGCTACTCTTGCCTTGTGCTGGAAAATAAGAGGCCCAATTCAGTTAAATATACAAGGGTAACGATCTAACTAGGGCGAAGGGGTGTAACGTCGACACCATTTTGGGGTAACTTCGACATGTGGGGTAACTTCGACATGTGGGGTAACTTCGACACCTTGTTGTTTATTTGCTCTAATTTCCGATCTAGGGGGAAGCCATGTTTTTTTTCGCATGGATCGAGATCTCGTAAGATTTTAATTTTTCCAGAAATCAAACATGGCGGAAAACGGAAATTCTACTTCTAATACGTAAGTGTCGAAGTTACCCCGTCTATTATGTCGACATTACCCCACACGTCGACATTACACCACTTTGCCCTAATGCATTGTTTGCTCTATTTTTTAACATTTTAGGAATATTGTTCACATTTTGCCTCAATCAACCGATGTGAAGTTGTTTCATTTTAAGTCAAATAAGCAATGAATTCAACATAGGTATCTGATTACCATAGCAACAAAACAATAGGATATATCAAAAAAATTGTAAAACATGCTGCATTCAATGTAAAAGCACAATTAAATATGGCACATTTTAATGACTGAATAATATATCTGTAGCTAAATACTAGATCATATGTTTTTCATACTTTTGCCCTTTGTGTTTTCTTAATTCAAAGAAGGGGATACTCACCGGATCAAACCCCATATTTTTTAATTGTATAACTCTATTGTCATAATCATCTTCCCTAATTGTACCTGGAAATAAAGTTAACATTGTCAGATTAAGATTAATAAAAAGCTGAAAATTATGTTATATTATTATACTGTACTCTAGGTATTGTTCGCATGCGATTTAATTTCGCTTTGTTCGCGAATGTAGTAAAATCACGAACATTTATCGTCGCAAAATTAGTCCTTTAAAACTCCAGGGACTTGACCCGGGACTTTTGATATGTTTCGTTCGGTGTAAAATGTTTAACACTACATCAGGGTTGATCTTAGATATTAGGTGATCTTAGATATTCCCAAAAACAACTTGTGTGATATAAAAATTGCTTTTTTAAGAACATTTTTTGCAAGGCAATGAACTCGTTTTTTAAGGTTAGACTCTTTATCTGTGGTCAAAATCCGTGTATGGCCCGATGGGATAGGAACAAACTTTCACAGTTGTAAGACACCTATTTATCTGAACTCTAAGAAAATAAAAAGAAATCAATGGGCGTTTCCCTAGAAATATGTTTTTGAGACCATTTCCACTCATGAAAATGACGGAATAATGGAACCAATTCGTAAAAAATTCTTAAAATATATTTCTGGTGGAGTACCCATCGAATTCTTTACGAAAACTAATACTTTGCTTCATTATGTTACTTAACCACATTCTATTTTGCTTGTACAGTAATGGGAAAGTTATTGATTTCAAGCAAAATGTAATGGTTTAATATGGAGAATTGAATTCTATCGCTTCACAAAAACCCATCTTCAAACGCATTTACAATATTAACTTTTTCACACTCTGCTAAACTAATAAAATAGTGCAACATACCCCCAGCATATATGTTTGCCCAATGTCTAGCAGTTTTTAAAAATATAGGATGATTTTCTTTATATTGTTTAGCAACGACAGCATCTTGTGGATCATCTGGTTCTGCTGCTGCCAGTAAAGCTTGTAACGATAACAGCACTGTCCGTAAAGTCATAGCAGCTGCCCTGAAATCATGCAGTTACCCTAAATCATTATAATAAATATTGTTTATGCAGAAAATGAATAAATGTCAAAAGTAGCGTCAAAACAATTGCTAATTGTTGATGAATTTGATATGCTTTGATATTGCTAAGCATATCTGTATCATGAGCTCTGATTGGCTCCAGTGGTAAAGCCACAATTTATAGACGAAATCATAATAATCTATTTCCAACACCTCTCACATTTTAGATCGTATGAGTCTCAAACTATCAGTGATCTCCCCAGCATTAAAGCAAGTGGGCACAGCACCTACCTGAGATTATGAAAATAGGCTTGCACCCACCTGAAAATCCATGTGCACCCACTTGAAATGAGAAAAATTGGCATATTTTGGCCAATTTTGGTCTGAATTGTGAAAATGAGAATTTAGCACCCACCTGAGAAAAATTCCTAAGGAGATCACTGAATATAGTATTTGAACTTACCACTGGTCTTTTAAAATATCTAAACAGATTGCGCCTGTCACAGAACTGATGTTTGGATGCCATATTGCAGTGAGGAATTTGACCTGAAATGAAAAATGCAGAACTGCAGAACTTCCCAGAAATATTGGATCACATAAAGGAGGGTGTCCAAATGTAAACAATAATGAGAAAAATTGTTGTAATTTAAATGTTAATTTGCAATTTATTTGAAATGGAAATCTTCAAAACGTAACAAAATAAATTGTTTTTAGTGTATTTTAGTGACCCAAAGGTAGAATCAGGGCAGCATCCTGTTGAGAATAAATCGTGTGAATTCAACTAACTGGAGTAATTTTTTCTTTTGGAGAACATTAAAGGTGTGAAATTAAGATGTTCAAATAAGGATTGAAGCACAAGACTCGTGCATTATGAGCTAACAATGCACATCTACATGCTGTATTATATGCTGCTTAACGTATGGAAATTCAACGAATCAAGAATGTGAACCTTGGTAATCCAATCCTAGCATGAGAAAAGTTAAAAGTAATCATACCTTAGGAGGATTAAATGGATATGTTTCAGGAATTTTGATTTCTAAATTGAAAGTTGCACCCTCATAGGGTGTGTCAGGAGGCCCTGCTATTTGTCCCTTTAATTCTGTAAAACTGTCATTGACCAATTCTACTTGTATATGGCATTCTGCAACCTGGAAATATAAAACAAATTTCGATGATGGTGAATGTAAATAAAAATGTGTAGACATTCTGGAGAAGTAGTGAGAAAGTTATGTTGCTACAAACTTGATGTCCAAATATCCACTTTTAAGCCATTTGCTGCAAGATGTTATTATTAACATGTCTGAACATACACAGAAGGTACTCTACGTTTGAAAATTTTAAGCAATACAACTGAAAATATTGTCAATGGTTTATAACATGTATAAAAAATAACAGAAATCTGAGAAGGACTATAGGGAACTGTAGGGTTGGTAGAGTTGATTTGGTTTCCCCATCATTAGCCTATAGATTTTCTATCGCCATTTTCTGACATTGGTCCTCTAAAAGCCAATATTTTCCAATATTGTCCAGATACATATCCCCTAAAATCTGTATATTTTCCATTTTGTATAATCTCATCCACTGATGTATCAGGCCACTTGAAAATTCTCTTATTTTTAACATGGGAAATCCTCACTTCAGCAAATCCACCTGTCATTTATTTATGTTCCAAACTGTAGGATTAGGATAGATTTACTCGAGCCTCTAGCCAATTCTTGCCTAGAAGTGATTCCATCTAGAACACTGTGAACTATTGTGAAATCTTCAGCCATCGTTCAATAAATTTATGTACTATTCTAAAAATCGTTATGTTAACATTTCATGAATTGAAATGGTAACGACTTGTCTTGTTGATGAGATATTGAACGTTTCATTTAAAATAGACGTCTTCTCGTTCTCCATTTTGAAAGCATGCCTTTTTTCCGCTATAGCGATTTAGTCAGAAGTAGACGAATGTATGAACTAGGACTGCGTGTAGAGATCAATGAAGGTGAGTTTATTATGTTTACATCAATAAAAATAAGACGGCTGGGCAATTTCATAACAACAAAGAGTGTCTTATTTATATTCTATGGCCACACTCAGTGGCCATAGAATATGGTAAGGATAGATGACATGAAAATGTTTTTGAAAAATAAAGGCACTTCAGCTGAATGAAAATTGTGTTGGTTTTGCTTATTTTAGTAAATATACAAATCAGAACATCTTGTTTCAGAAGATTAACTATAGGTTCTCTTGAGCAGATTGTCGTCATGATGACTTTTTGTTTTCTTGATTTTTTCTCACAGCTCACCTCTTCACTTTTGACAACTTCTTTGAACTCTCGTTTGATGCGTTGCACTGCAATGTTGGCCATACTATGTTGCTAATATCAGTATCAAATCATCCGATATCTTCTGATGGCATGCAATTAGTTATAATATACAGGTATTTAGAGTAATTCAGCAATTATTCTAAAATATTTCGTAACTCAGAAAAGTTAAAAAATGGAAACCGGAAGTATGTCACTCTCGCGAGTTCGGTATTCTCGATAGAAGGATACCTTTATTTTTCTTAATTCTCTCTATTCAGCAGTTTTATCTTTATGTCGAATTAAAATTTCCCTTATTTACTCATTTTGAATATTTGTAATGCGCCATTCTTTAAAAATAAATAATCTTTATGAAGACAGCTTAAAGCGATGGACCTCTTGGGCACAATATTCATTTAGTGATCATTATTGGCACATACGACATCTATAATACAAAATGAAAACTTATTTTGGTTGTGTTCCCTACCAGCTCCGATTATTAGATTGTGTTGATTATATATACCAAAAATATTCAACGAGGGAATGATGAACACCTCTGTCATTTCAAGATTCAGGTTATCATGAATAAGATCTCGATATGTTTCTTGATGGCAAACTTCCTAAATATTGTACAGGTGCAACAATTAGTGCAGATGGGCCATTCAACGATCATGGACCAGTGTCAAAATATATTTAAGTTTGGATATTTCATCAAGATATACATCTATTTTTATAATCTACTAAGAAACCTCCTATATAAACATTATTTCAGCTGATATTCCTCTTGAAATATGGTGGATCTTAAAAATATAAAAGTGGATTTCCCCTTTTTTCGAGGTCTCCTCTGCCGAAGGCAGCGCAAAGTAGGAGCGCAGCGACTACTTTCCGGGAGACCTCGAACCATTGATCACGTTTGCTCCTGTAATTATTCACTTCTTCACCTCTTTAAAATGTGATTTCAATCAGTTGATCAAATTTTCGGACTTTGACCTCAAATTCAAATATTAATATTTATAAAAAAAAATACTGACTCCTTATTATATTTTTAAAAGTCATTCAAATAAAGTGAAATGAAGCCAAAATCAGCTAAAATTATGCAATGTCGTAAAATGGCGTGACTGGAATATGATGCAATCACCCGTGACGTCACATCAACAACTAAACAAATAATTAATATAGACTTCACTGATTGGTTGAAAGATTCTTCGCATCATTTGTGACATCATAAACATGTTACCCAACCAACAACTAAACAAATAACAAATGAAATATAGGTTCGTTCAGTGCCACGCTCTTGAATCAATTATAAACAGGGATAATCAACAGATATATGAGAGGGTCGGGCATTTTTTTGACTTGGAGACCTCGACTCGAGGAGTTTGCTGCATTTTCTTGTTAAAGCTTTGAACTGAATTTACACTTCTTCAAATATTGCCTTGATGGCTCAGAATTTTTTTTTGAAATTTGACAATACCAGACCCAAGTTAGTCAGCTTTGTGATTTTTTTATATACTTTCAGAGAAAGGTGTAAACTGTGAAGTCTTATTCAAATCAGATTTTTAAAATAATTAAATATTTTAAAAAAATACACCTATTTTGTATATTCTATGCTTTGCTTTGCATGTCTCAAATTCATCCTATATTTTTGGCTTAACATCTTCTTTGACGTACCTATTTTCTTAAAATGTATGGATAAACTATCAATTTCAGCATTAAGAAGTGTAAATTCAGTTCAAAGCCTCTATAAAGGGAGTCCCACTTATATATTTTTAAGATCCACCACGTTTCAAGAGAAATATCATCTGAAATAATGTTTATCCAGGGGTTTCTTTGGAGATTATAAAAATATATGATAGTCTTGATGAACTATCCAAACTTAAATATATTTCACTGGCGGATTAGGGGGGGGGGGCCCAGGGGCCCGGCCCCCCCCCCTTGGGTGGGCCCAGAAAAAAAAAATTGGGCCCAAAAAAATTTTTGGGCCAAACAAGGCCTTCAGGCCCAAAAAAGTGGGCCTTTTTGGTCATTACTGGGCCTTTTAAGGCCTTATTTGTTAATTTCAGGCCAAATTTTGAAGAAAATGGGCCTCAAAATTTCAAAATTTGGGCCCACTTTTGGATTTTAGGGGCCCAAAATTTTTTTTCGCGCAAGCGCGGACGTTTTTTCTTTGACCTGAAATTTGGGCCCCCCCCCTTGTTGGTTCCTGGATCCGCCCCTGTATTTTGACACTGGTCCATGAACGTTGAACTACATGTAATTGTTGTACTTTAATCAAGGATATCTGTCACAAAACAACCACATGTATTACAAGACCAGATTTTTATTCCATATAAAAATAACTATTTAGCAGTTATGTCCCTATCATTGAATATATGCCTAAGGTCTGTCACCAATATAGCCCGAGCTTGCGAGGGTTATATTACGACAGACCGAAGGCATATATTCAATGATACGGACATAACTGTTGTATTACATACTTTTATATCATGGCTACGTTATATCAATGACACCACGTGTCTGTTTGCGAGTGAAATTAGGAAGAAATGAAACATGACGTCCCGATGACGTCATAAGATTGTCATGGTAAAAGGTTTGGCGGCTATACAGGAATATATAGCCGACCTTCAGCTCCATTGACTTCAATACAAATGCTTCGCTTGGTATGTAATACTCTTTATTATATCATTTATAAAATAGGCTATAAAGAATATTACTGTACAACAACCAAATCATTTGTTAATTTCAGTATGTTCCACATATTTTTTTTTCTTTTGAAATAACAACCATGACCATTCCATTCTGAATCTCTTTTAACTTAAGGTAGTTCTACAAAATGTTAAACTCTATGTAAATTTTTCGAGATAATCATTATCAAAATGGCATATTTCAAATAGTGAATATTTTTTCTCATCTAAATAATTTGGATATTAACATGTTAAAATAGAATGAAGTATTGTAATGATATACAACAATTTGATCAAACGGAACCGAAATCACATTTTCTAAAATCTCTTAACTTTACTTTAGGGAAAATTGTAGTACTACCTTAACTGATCTACATTTTGACCTTTTTTTCTATCTGCGATATGAGCAGTAATAATCTGCATGTTTTCAAGTCTGCCTAAGAACTGATAGGCCAGTGGAAGTAATGTCATGATTGGTCCATGGAATACGTCACCTCCGTAGGTGAATAGATCCATACCAAGTTCTAATCCTTCCCCATAGTCACATTCATCATTAGCGAACTGTACTAAGGTGATTAGTTCTTGAAGTGGGTCCATATTTTTGTCTCGCTCCTCCTCGGATTGACTCTTTTCTATTTTGGCAAATATTTTCTTCAGGTCACCTGCAATTGTTCCCAATTATTTTGTAATGTTGTTATATAGACAGATTAATGCAACAAACAATATTTTATGAGCATTGTCAACTTTTTGTTCACGGTATTCCATACCTTGGTTATGATAATGCTTTGATTTTTCAACAAATTTTGCAACAATTTTGTAGATATCCCATTTTCAACTCCTCTTTTCCAACTCCAATGAACGTTCTACATCTTTTATTTTCAATAACTTCCAATATTTGGCCAAATATTGCAATTTTTTTATTTTATAAAATCAGAATTGTAAACACCTCCTAATTAGAATGCTTTTAGCAATTCCAGGTGGTATTTGGGCTAGACAGGTTTTACTACAAATATGCTGTATTATTTTTTTCTAAACAGGTTTGTCTCAAAAAACATGTGATCCATCTACATCTACATCAATAATCTGCAAAAGGCTAATAAGCCCATTTAAAGCAGATATATGGTTTAACAGTGATAGAATTGGAATAGAATATAATTAAAACCTGAACATTTAAAAAATAGATCTATGGTTTTGTCACAAAAAGGAAACTCCCTCTTTGGCCCATGTACCCCCCTAGGAAGTCTCTTTGTACATGAGAACCTGGACTCCAATTTACATCTGCCCTTTGTTACTGTGCAATCTCTGCTATAAATGTCATATTCAATACCTACCAGGTGTTTCTGGTACCTCCCTATAGCCAATATCATTCTCCACTGGGACAACTATGCCTGCTTTGTGGAATGAACTGAAAATTTAAGAATCAAACATTATTATTCATTCTTACATCACAGGAGGAGTTGATGATGATTTGAGTCTCCATCTATCATTCTATGTCCATCAGTCATTTTTCTAAAATGGGGGGGTGCAATAACTGAAAGGCAAATACTGCTGAAAATAGGGGATGTGGCTTCAAGATTTTAGCCAAAAAATGACTGATCACGGTTGAAAAAGCTGAACAATACTGCTAAAAAACAGCTTATTTACATTTCTGGAATTGAAGAGCGCAGAAAGTCATCAAGTGACCTTCGCAGAAGAGGACTTTAAAAAAATATGTCTTATATTTTTGATTTAACTTCATTGTATGTAATTTATGACATTTCTATCACCAATCTTGCGACTGTTGGTTGAAACATATCAACTTGAATAAAGTTTGTAATTTAAAAAAAATACTTACCTACATACAACTTTCTTATCTCTTTGCTTCATAGATTTGGTTTTCAAATCTAATGAAAAATTATTTTTATCAGCCCATTTCTTCAAAGATGCACTTATATTACAGAGATCTTTATTTTCCTTTTTCTTGTTTTTCTTTTGTTTGTCATCGATGTACCATCTGAAAGCAAAGTCATATTTTACAGTAACTTTATTATGGGAAATTTTAAAAGGGGATTTCCTCAGCGCTGAAGCTACTTGGTAGCAACTATATTTTGCATCTTGTGAGTTCGAAAATATAATTGCACCAAATGTAAGATATATTTGTACCTTACAAGTTTGAAATATCAATTATTGTTCCAAGTTTACGATATATTTGCACCTTCCAAGGTTGAAATATCATTGATCCAAGTTCTAGATATATTTGCACCTTGCAAGTTTGAAAATATCAATTATTTCTCCGAGTTTAATATATATTTGCACCTTGCAAGGTTGAAATATCAATCGTTGTTCCAAGTTTATGATATATTTGCACCTTCCAAGGTTGAAAACTATATTTTGCATCTTGTGAGTTCGAAAATATAATTGCACCAAATGTAAGATATATTTGTACCTTACAAGTTTGAAATATCAATTATTGTTCCAAGTTTACGATATATTTGCACCTTCCAAGGTTGAAATATCATTGATCCAAGTTCTAGATATATTTGCACCTTGCAAGTTTGAAAATATCAATTATTTCTCCGAGTTTAATATATATTTGCACCTTGCAAGGTTGAAATATCAATCGTTGTTCCAAGTTTATGATATATTTGCACCTTCCAAGGTTGAAATATCATTGATCCAAGTTCTAGATATCTTGAAATATCAATCATTGTTCCAAGTTTACGATATATTTGCACCTTGCAAGTTTAAAAATAACATTGCAACAAGTTGAACATGTATTTGCACCATCTTAAATGTATATTAGGAAATCATGATAAAATGTTCAGTGATAAAATGTCCAGGTAAAATGAATGACATACAGTATTTAATGCCTTCATTCACTGTAAATCTCATCTTAATTCCTTGATAAACATGAAAATGAGAGCATTTGTATTAATAGTTATTGAATGACCCTTGCATATTGCAATCTATAGTATTCATGTTTCAGGATTTTTGTTTAGGTTTTTGTTCATTATATATTTACATTGAGTTTCTTATACGGTTTCAATGCTTTTCAGATTTTAAAAGAAAATGTTTTATCAACAGCTTGGATTTCATTTCCACTAAAGAAATATTTTAGATTTAATTTGCAAAGGTCAAAGAGCGCAACAAATCCCTAATGCAATCAATAAAGTTCTCTTGAATAAAATGACATCAAGTTTACAATGTTAAGGAAAGAATAAAACAAATATCTAGGAATAACACTCAAAGTAGGATATATATGTATACACTTAAATAAAGTATTTGGGAATTGCAAAAAATCATGAAGAAATAGTTTGGAAAACTTAAGAAAGAGATGATAAAATCAGAAAGAGATGATGATAAAATCAGTTCAGAACTGAGCCCAATGGCTCAGCCAAAATCACTAAGTAGCAACCAATAGGCTTATTATACTATTTCAATTAAGAACCAATTGGTCTAAGAAAACCATACAACCAGTTATTGAGGATATAATACATACTATGGGTACACACTGACTGTAGTTGAATGTAGAACTTGAGGTTGAACATAGAAAAAGTTAAAAATGAATCTCCGGATGTGATTAATCTCCATAGTAACATAAGGTAAACAATTTGTGTATTCAAAAATGTTTTTGTTGGTTACTAGTATTTAGTTGTCAAAATGGGTTTTCAAATGCTTTAAACTATTGATAATTTTATTTGTGCAAATATATAACATTTAAATTGATTGACATTTGCAAGTTTTACACTATAAATTCTCACAACAGGCAAAATGAATGAAAACAACAAACTAAATTTTTGATTTGAACATGGAAACAAGTAGAATTCCTCTATCAACCAGAGAATATTGCCCTTAGCCTGCTACTTATGAAACTCCTGTATTAATATTTTCAGGTGAAGCCGTGCTCTCCAAAATGGCTAGCGAGACATTGGCAGAGCTCATAAGGGGAGACTACCTGAAATGTAAAGTCTGCAATAGCAAGTTCAACAAGCCAATACTACTACCCTGCCTACATACTGTATGTAAAGCATGCATAGGGTCATATACACAGAGAGAAACTGGTACAAGTGAGGCAAATTCAAACATAGAGAAAACTCCTACCGATAATGACTCCATATCTGATGAGGCACATGTGATCGAATGCCCAATATGTGCCACAGAAATAGAAACAGACAAAACTGGTGACATTCTCAAATTGGACAACCCATTTATGACAAACCTATTAGATTTAGCATGGTGCAATGAGCCAAATGATAAAGAATGTGACTACTGCGCATATGAAAACGCAACATCAACTGCGACTCATCGATGTTTAGATTGTCGTGATAGCATGTGTGACGATTGTACAGGAGCACATAAGCGTACAAAACTAACACGCAGACACAAGGTTGCTCCCTATGAACAGATCTATGAAAGCCGCTATGACTTTGATATTCGTGATTTACAACACTTAAACTGCAGTACCCATCCAAAGGAACTAATCATACTTTTCTGTAAAAGATGTGAACGTTTGGTGTGTCAGAAATGTCAGGTAAAATGTTTCATTTAATCTCTGAAGCAATATACTTTTTGAATAAAGTCATGAAGAGATTATACCAAAGACCCATGCAAATAGAGAGATGCATTTTGACAGATCTTTTTTGTCATTGATCTTGAATACTGTAGATCACTTAATTTGGCTACGTTTCAATTTGATGGATTGGCTGATTCAGAAAATCCACCAAATTAAAAATCCATCAAATTTCAGCTTGGAATTTTTGTCCAAAGCACTTCAGAAATTAAACTCCAGGGGCCCCTTTTCCTGTCAACATGTCATCAATTCTACATTATTCCAAAAGAAATACAGAAAATATCTTAGTAAACACCTGTCCTAATGACATGAACATCTTCAAAAATTAAACTTCAGCCCCGAATTCTCCAAATTAAATTGCCACCAATATTTGAAATTGAGCAAATCCGTCAAATTAAGTAGCGTCAAAATAAGTGTATCTACAGTAGTTTCAAAGCGAAATAAAGTCTGAAAATCAGATTAGTATTTTGGAGAAAGTACCAAGGTTTGGTTCAATGCAATTACTGTCCCTTTTGTGATCATTATCATTTATTATGAAAAAACAACTCTTTTGAAATAAAGTCAGCATAACATAGAATGATGACAACAAAAAATGTAAAACTGTGACACTTCTCTGACTACAATATTGAGCAAGTCAAAACCATACCCTTTGAAATCATATTAATATACATTTATAATTCTCTTTATAAGGTTAAAGACCATAACCAGCATGAGCTTCATTCAATCCCAGACATCATCCCCCACTATCAGGAGCATGCAAGGACTCTTCTGCAGAGATTACAAGAGAAGATGCCAACCATACAAGACTACACAAAGTTTTTACAAGATTACAATGCAAACCTTCAACAACTGAAAGAACAGGTATAATATTGATTTTCTACAGAGATACAGAGGATGTGCAGGGGTGTAGCCAGCAATATAAGGAGGGATGTGCGATTTTTTCAGGTGTTTGCATCAACTTGAGCGAAGGAAACCCAAAAAGGGGCATAAACATTGTATATGGTGCATTCTAAGCATTTCAAACCATATGGCACTTAAGTCTGCTCCTGTATCTTCAAAAAAATGAACAAATACATATTAAGTCGTTTTTGAGAATTTTGGTTTCAAGATTTATATGGTGCATCACAGACACACGCACAGCAGCACAATATGATGACAATATAGAACTTTTTCTAAGTGCATAAAAATACAAAATGTTTGAAAAATTAAAAAATACCAAGTTTATTCATGAATGTTGGTCTTCAAGCCTGAAGCATTTTGGGTGTACAACCTCTTTAAAGTGAGTAAAATAGACTATTTTTTATTTATACTTTTCCAGGTGATTGACAAAGTTGAGACCCAAGCAGAGTTACTTCACCAACTCATTGATGATGAAAAACGTGACATGATTGGTGACATTAAAGAGATGTGCACTGAAGAGCAACTTCAAGTCATGAGCAAAGCTGAGGCTTTGGAGAAAAATATGAAGGCAATGAAAGACAGTGAGGATGTTGTGGAGAAGATCTTCCAACATGGAAGACATGATGAATTACTTGCTGTCCACAAATGGATGACAAATCGACTTTCTCAGTTGATATACCAGCAGCTTGATGGAATAAGCAAGAAGATAAATCTGTTTTTCAAAGAAGGCTCTGCCACAAAGCTGAACATTAAGATTATGTTTGGAAGTATCGAAAAATTTGATATACCAATGGGAAAAGTTGCCTCATTGGGCTCTCCGCGAACTGGATTAGCATCGCTGATGACAAGTGTGCTGCCATCTATAGCCCCTGAGCCAGAACTTGTCCTTGAATTTGAAGCAAGAAGCTTGAATGACACTAAAGATATCTGGCCAACAGGTCTAGCAATATCCCGTAAAAATGAATTCATTATTTTGGATCATAAAAACAAAACAGTTAAACTATTTGACGATAAAGGAAAGTTTAAGTTTGAATTTGGCACTTCAGAAAAACATCCATTCAAAGAACCATATGATGTCACAATCTTATATAACGACAATATTGCAGTGACGGACTATGAATGTGAAGATGTGAAGATCTTCACAGCCACAGGTGCCCACGTTAAAACTATAGATGGCGTATTCAAATACCCGAGAGGCATCACATGTAACAATGAAGGTGAGCTCTTGATTGTGGACAGCGAAAAACACAAGCTGACAATACTCGATCCAGAATCAGGAAAAGTCATCAAAACCATTCAAGGCAAAGATGATGATGGATGTGATTATTTCACAGATGCTTACTATATCACAACAAATATCAATGATATTGTGATTGTCACAGATTGGGCTGCACCAAACATCAAGCGATGGTCAATACATGACCAAATATGGCACATACGGCATCAGAGATGATCAAGTATTACAACCCTATGGTGTTGTAACTGATGCATTTGGTTATATATTTGTTGCCGATCATCATAATCACAGAATTCATCTCTTGATGCCAGATGGAAGATTTATGAAGTTTTTGGTGGATAAATCACATGGTCTCTGGCACCCTATGGCACTTGCTATGTCAAATAAAGGACACTTGGTTGTCACTGAAAGCTTGGGTAAAATCAAAGTATACAAATATATGTAATACTGAAGTCCTAAGGTATTGTGGATTGCAAGAATGAGATTTTTAATGTAATTTTCAGGATTATTAACAACAATTAACGAAATGGGTAATATTATTCATATCATTTTATTATATTGCATTTTATGTAGCATTTTCATTTTATGTGGATATTAAAAATTATGGGAGATGCACAGTTCAAATTCAAAATATATCACAATCTAATCTGAAATGGCATTTCCCTGAAACCTCCCTTTTTGTAAAATGATCTATCCTTTTTGTGAAGTTATGATCATAATTAACTTAGGGGAAGTCAATGAAATTTTGGATTTAAACACCTAGAAATTTATTATCTGTATACATGTATATGATGATTAATGAGAGTTAAAAAATGCAAATGGAACAATGTTCAATGCAAATGGAAATAATTTAGAAATAGAAGCATTATAAAGTATAATTAAAAAAATAGATGAAAATAAATTTTAATTATAAAAAATAATTGTTATCAAAAATTACTTTTTTCTTGAAAAATGACAGCCATTTTATAATACAGTGGCCATCTTGAAAATATCTTCGTGAATAGAACTCCTGTGCCTCTGAGGAAGACAGCATATAAATCCTGAAATAAATCGACTGGTATTAAAGCCCTCAATTTTGGAAAATGATGGCCATTTTAAAATTGAGCTGCCATATTGAAAGTTCCTCCTTCAACAGAGGTTCTATGCACATAAGGCAACAATGTATAAATGTTGAACCAATTAGATATCTCTAACAATTTCTCATGCCAAATAATATGTGGATGATTAAACAATATTTTCAAACTTTACATGGGATCTTTATCAACTTTGAGAGGCTTTTTTACTTTATAAGGACAGACAGCCTTTGTAGTTTTCATGTTGGACTGAAACTGCAAAACAATCAGTTATGAAGGCTAAGCGCTATCAAGTCTGTATAACTGAGTTAGTTCAGTGCAGTCATCATTACAAAGCAACTATTATTATACACAAGTGATCTCAAATATTGCTATTGTAAAAATGAATCTATGAGCAGTAAAATCAACATTAAATTAAAATGGGTTTTTATCTGTTTCAATACCATTAAAATCAAACGTGACTTGTGATATGTCAGCACCTGAATCACTTTATCATGAACTAATGTAATTCAATGTTAATCAGTGGCTCATTTGAACAGACTGCACCACCGACTGCAGAATTTTTGAGACATGCTTTCCCAGTAACTAGGTAACTTCTTGCAAATATGTTGAGAATGCTGGTGTTGATCTACTTGGTGTTTGGAGGGAAAACTGTCAACACTACACTCCTCGGGAATTCAAACAATGAGTTTGCATTGGACTTGTACAATGAGATATTGTGGAGCTTGGATAATCCAGTTAATGACATGTTTTTGAGACTGTTATGTATCTCAACTGCACTTGCAATGACATATCTTGGGACTGCTAGAGATACAGCAACGGAAATTGCAGATGTTATGAAGTATCCATCAAATGTACATGTTCTGTTCAAGGTTCTTCTAACAAACATTAATGCACCCAATGAAAACTACACACTGAGTGCTGCGAACAACCTATTCCCACATATCTGTTTTGTCATTTTGCCTCAATATGCAAACGATGTCATTAATTTTTACTTTGATGTGATAAAAAAAGCTAAACTTTGCAGAATATCCAGATAAATCCAGGCAGTACATCAACGAATGGGTCTCCAATAAAACGATGTAGAAAATATGCGACTTGTTGCAACCAGATGATAACACCCCTTTCACAGTTCTTGTGCTGGTGAATGCTATCTACTTTCAAGGGCGAGTGGCTAAATCCATTCAACCCTGAGTGGCTAAATCCATTCAACCCTGAGTGGCTTAATCCATTCAACCCTGAGTGGCTAAATCCATTCAACCCTGAGTGGCTAAATCCATTCAACCCTGAGTGGCTAAATCCATTCAACCCTGAGTGGCTAAATCCATTCAACCCTGAGTGGCTAAATCCATTCAACCCTGAGTGGCTAAATCCATTCAACCCTGAGTGGCTAAATCCATTCAACCCTGAGTGGCTAAATCCATTCAACGCTGAGTGGCTAAATCCATTCAACCCTGAGTGGCTAAATCCATTCAACCCTGAGTGGCTTAATCCATTCAACCCTGAGTGGCTAAATCCATTCAACCCTGAGTGGCTAAATCCATTCAACCCTGAGTGGCTAAATCCATTCAACCCTGAGTGGCTAAATCCATTCAACCCTGAGTGGCTTAATCCATTCAACCCTGAGTGGCTAAATCCATTCAACCATGAGTGGCTAAATCCATTCAACCCTGAGTGGCTAAATCCATTCAACCCTGAGTGGCTAAATCCATTCAACCCTGAGTGGCTAAATCCATTCAACCCTGAGTGGCTAAATCCATTCAACCCTGAGTGGCTAAATCCATTCAACCCTGAGTGGCTAAATCCATTCAACCCTGAGTGGCTTAATCCATTCAACCCTGAGTGGCTAAATCCATTCAACCCTGAGTGGCTAAATCCATTCAACCCTGAGTGGCTAAATCCATTCAACCCTGAGTGGCTAAATCCATTCAACCCTGAGTGGCTAAATCCATTCAACCCTGAGTGGCTAAATCCATTCAACCCTGAGTGGCTAAATCCATTCAACCCTGAGTGGCTAAATCCATTCAACCCTGAGTGGCTAAATCCATTCAACCCTGAGTGGCTAAATCCATTCAACCCTGAGTGGCTAAATCCATTCAACCCTGAGTGGCTAAATCCATTCAACCCTGAGTGGCTAAATCCATTCAACCCTGAGTGGCTAAATCCATTCAACCCTGACCTCACAGCAATTACGAACTTTCAAGTGACACCTACTCAGCAGATCTTAGTTGATATCATGTATAATGAGAGCTCATACAGATACATTGAACACGCTACACTAGATGCTAAAATACTGCCTTACACAGGGGAGGATGTAAGCATAATAGTGATTCTACCAAATGATCAAGATGGTTCTAATATGGTTAATGTAAAAAAAGATTGGGGGATATTACATAATTGATCTCAAAAAGAAAATAATAACAAAATAACATTATGACAAATGGATTCTGAGATAATCCCTTTGGATTATGAGATAATCCCTTTCTTATTTTATTATTTTTTGGAGATCAATTATGTTATACCCCCCCCCCCCCATCTTTATGTACATTAACCGTATCAATAAATGTTGCTTTTTGGGCCAGATATTTGACATCAAATTTTCATTGTTTTTCGGATCATCCTAATCCCAAGGAGACTCACAGAGGTAAATCATGATTTATAGTACATTTCAATTTAGTCGTAAAAATTGGAATAAAATGCTGCATTTTTGGGAAAAATTGGCTAATAATTGGGGAAAACTTGGTGATGCCATGCCTGGATTAATGACGGCTTAAGAGATAATCCGATCGACCTTATTTTCATTCTATTGCCCTTATTGAAGATAACATATTGGCCTAACAAACACATTTGTTTTTGTGGTTTTGATGTTTTTTAAACTGTAATTTAATTTATGATTTTGAGTGACCTTTTGTAGAATCTAGGAGATTTTGAGTATTTAGTAAAAAATGTGCTCAGTACTGGAAGAGGCTGGAAGTTGTTGCACTCAGCCATGCAACTTTCTCTGGCCGCTTCAATTAATGAATCTATACTGCTTTTTCAAGAAAATTTCATTTTTATTAGGGTGCATCTAATAATAAGTATTTCATCCTTTGTAGTTGCCTTTATGCATTCTGCAGTATTTTATCAATACATGTAGTATATACTTACTTGATGGCAGCGAAAAGATTTTCTCCTCTAGGAGTAATGACACCATTCACTGAGGCACAATTGCTGGCTACGAATACTGGTTCTTCCTTAGGATCATCTCTGTAATATGGACATTAAGTAAATAAAGTCATATTATGACACCATTCACTGAGGCACAATTGCTAGCTACAAATACTGGTTCTTCCTTAGGATCATCTCTGTAATATGGACATTAAATTAATAAAGTCATATTATGACACCATTCACTGAGGCACAATTGCTAGCTACAAATACTGGTTCTTCCTTAGGATCATCTCTGTAAAATTTACAAGGACATAAATTCATATTATGACACCATTCACAGAGGCACAATTGCTTGCTACAAATACTGGTTCTTAGGATCATCTCTGTAATATGTACAAGTAAATAAAGTTGATATTATGACACCATTCACTGAGGCACAATTGCTAGCTACAAATACTGGTTCTTCCTTAGGATCATCTCTGTAATATGTACAAGTACACAATGTCACATTATGACACTATTCACCACATACAATAAACACATAACCACGCCTAACCATCGACAAGGTACAGTCACGTGACAGTGACAAAATATGCCGTAGTACACTTTTGATGTACTATGTCATTTCCGCCATTTTATATCGCCATTTTCTAGAATGAGGGAGCGAGGTAAGAACTAGCATTGATTTGATCAATATTGTGTCAGTTCATCATCAGGCAGTTGTTGCATTCGATTTGTAATTAAGTTGCAAATATGCATATCTATTTCAAATGATCCTCAGCAACTTCAATATCTTGTTATAGATCTACCCAGTACGTCAGGGATCTCTAAATCTTGACTGAATTTCGCAAAATTCTCTCTAATTTTTGTTTTGCTATGCAAATAACAGCCAAACTACGACTAACACAACTTAAGATAAGTATACAAATATACATCCAGAGTTAATGCAAAACCGCTTTTTACTTTGGATGCTACTACGAAAAACAGATAATGTATGTTGTCAACTCGAATGTATGTTGTCACATTGGCCTTACAGATCTCAATTCACAGTTAATTTTACATGAATGAAATGCTATAATGTACGTGTAATAGAAGGAACATATTTGATAATAAAGTAATAATTTATAATAATAGGGCTGGCATATCGAAAAATTTACTCTAATATTTTGTCCGTTAATCAATAAAATTGTCATTGATATGATTAAATTTCAATGTTACTAATAATTTTTTAGTATTCCATAACCCTGGCTTTTGAACTTCTGCACTTTCCCCCCTAGGCAGACATATACCAATTTCTCCATAGTATGTGTCATATATCATATTTAAGCTTATCCAAAGTTACATTGATTTGCCATATATGATGGTTCAAATGGTAAAAAGTAACAGGCATTTCAAAAATTAGCGTTTTGCCAAAAAGTCCATTTCAGTATCCTGGAAACAGCCCTGACCTGAATGTGACAGAAAATATGGATGCTATTCTCGAAGATAAAATATGGATATCGAGTTCTAAAAAGATGACGTTTAGGGTAGATACTCCAAGGAAACTCTTCTTATGCCTTAAAAAGGTTTTATGAAGATTACAAAACGCCATATCCCTATTTGAAGCCAGTTTAAGATCATATATGGAAAGTATTGCTGCTGTTAACATGGCGGCTAAGGAGACACACCGACTATTGTTTTGGTGTAAAACTGACTTTAATTTTGTTCAAACACTAACTTTTGAAATTCCTGTAACTTTTTCCATTTGTGAGTTGAACCATGATACTCGGCAAATTAATGTAACTTTGGATGAGCTTTAAAATGATATACGACACATACATGGAGACATTGGTATATGTCTGCCTATGGGGGCCCATAATTTCGGGACACTCATGTATTTCAATTACAGGGACAACATACACTGTGAGTTGACAACGTACATTTCTGATTTTTTAAATTATATCAAATGCATGAATGTTTATTAAATGTTCACCTGTCCTAAACTGTGTAGTTTAGAGAAACACATTCTCATAAAAATATTCGACACTCTGAGACGTCAGGGGAGAAAATTATCAAAGGAAATGTGTAAAAAACAACATTTTTCCAACCGAAGAATCGTATGGGTAGACTAACAACGAAAAAAATCGAGCACTGCTCGAAGATCTTTTAACGTTATTAGAAAAATAAATGTCTTTGAAATCGAATGCACGCGAAATCAAACATAAAATCCTTTGTGTTCTCCTAAAATTTATTTTTGAAAACCTGCATCGAACCTACATCATGGTCTTCGCTCAAAATCAGTTAATAGTGACATAGTACATCAAAAGTGTACTACGGCATATTTTGTCACCTGTCACGTGACTGTACCTTGTCGATGGTTAGGCGTGATAACATAAATTTTGAGATTTTGAAATTAACAGTGAACATAATGGAAAACTTAATTTTACCATATCTTTGTCATTAAAAGTCAAACAAAAATTTTTCACAGAAATAAAATTGGGAGACACCAGTGTATGAAGCCATGATGATGAAAAATTTATTAACTGTTGTCCTTCTAAAATCTGAAATGTCAAACCAGCTATATACTATATATATTGACAATATTTCTCATTCTAATCTTTTTATTTTTATCCGAGAATTTTTTATTCTGCTTCATCTTTGATGAACCTAGACTTTTTCAGACAAGAACTTGGACTGGAAAATTGTGTATCCTGGATTACTAAATCAAAAGTAACAAGGCATTACCATGCAAAATGTCACCACCTGTCATTTGTAAGTGACACCAACCACAAAATTCTGAACACCAACCACTGGACATTGTCCACAAAAAAGTTTGAGACTATAACAATATGTCAACACTGGTGGTGACATAAAAAGGTAATAATTAAGTTTCAATAGAGAGAATTTGCAACTCACTTACAACTTGTTTATTATTTCCGTATATAACCTATAGAGTGTTTCATTATGTCATCATTTATTGCGCAGTGTTTGATTATGTCATCATTTATTGCGCAGCTCTTCAAGTACATAAGTATGATTTTCTTACGTTTCTTGCGCAATAAGTGATGATGTGATCAAACGATTCATAAGTTGTACGGGAATAATACACATGTTATAAGTGAGTTGCCAATCTCTCTAATATGAGTTGACTCTTACCTGAAGTATCCTAAATGAAACAAAGATTCATCTTTCTCATTAAAAACGACAGTCTGGAACTCAGGAGGGTCATAATAGAACCTCCAATGCAGTAAATAGTTAGGTGTCCCCTTAAATTGTTTGTGTTTTTCTGCTATTATGTCATATGGTCCCACTAGTTTGAGATCCAGTCCCTTCAGAGCATCTGCAAATGACAGGACTTAAATAATTCCATAGGACATTTACATCTTACTCAGCCAATTACATATAGATGGCGTTAATTCTGTTGCTGTTTTATAATTTGCCGCCTGAACACTGCAGATTTTGTTACATACTGTAACTTTATTCAGACAAATGTGATTTGAAAAAAATTGCTAACTTACATATTCAAGAAATTTGTTATTTTCATAATGTTGTACAAATGTAAAGTTTTTCTATTTTCATAATGTTGTACAAATGTAAAGTTTTCCTTCAGGTGAATGAGTAAAACAACAAAACCAATTGTATACACTGCCTCTATGGTTGAGTGAACATGAACTAATATATTGCTCACATGGTGCTTACATTCAATAATTATGTTTGAAAATCTCATGATTGTGACCAATTAAGACCTGAACTTGGCCAATACAAAACATGGTCTGATTCTAAAAAATAGAAATGGAACTTAACAAAAATGTGCCAAATGTAAAAAAATCACCAGGTTAAAACAGCATCAAAAAGTATTACAGATTATATTCAATTTAACTGTTCTTAGCACATCCAAGACATTTTTACAAATTACCACTTACCCTCAGGATGTTTAGGATTCAGAGCCTTACAGAACTCCCAAAAGCTGAAGAAATCATCAGGAAAATCCACTAAAAACTTCTGTTTCAGACTCTCTTTTATATTTGTAGGTGAAGAAGGAGGTTCATCCAAGTCTTCTGTGGTAGCTGCATCTGAAACAAAAGTCAATGAAATATAATTATACATTCTTCATGAGTAAGAAAATCTGAACTTGCACTGTACAAAAAAAAGTTCTGCACCGTTTGCTCAAAAAAATTGGAATACTTTACAAATACTGTTCATATTTGGCCTCAACCATCCCATTTATGATACTGTAGTTTCATTTTGTGTAAAACTGAGCAATAAATTTGACAAGTAACAAATGGTTCCCATAGCAACACGACAACAGGGTATGTGGAGCAAAAGTATGACATGTAGTAATAATTCATCTACTAGACTTACAGAATGTATGTACATATTAAACAAATACTGGATGACCATGAGGTGGATATGCCAGAATACCTATCCGAGGAAATAATACTAGGCGAGGATAGGTATTCTGGCATATCATCCTCATGGTCATCCAGTATTTATTTTATTATGCACCTCCCTTGAGAAATACTTTAGGCTATTTTAAAGAATGGGTCTACTAAAACAGAAGCCGAGCCTATGAACCCTGGTGTTCAACAATCAAAAATTCCATTTATTCTCTCATTTGCCCTTATTCTTAGTATTCCCTCCATATATAATAAGTCTGGCCGATGCCTTATCTAGCGCCACCTACCCTTTGTCAGTTAATCACAGGAAATTTAATAGAAATCCCCTTCTCTCATATAATCAAATCATTTCTCCCTCACATTCGTTTCAAATTCAACATGGAAGAGATTCTAAGAAAATGACGTCATCGACAAATGGACTCGTCGAAAGTAATTTTTTCGAGGATAGGTATTGTGGCATACGGGATGGTTGGAGATCTCGTTGCTTCAATACTGGATAGAACGAAATCTTGCTGCCACGTATGGCAATAGACCCTGCAGCTCTTAACCAATCAGATTTGAGTATTTTAATGAGGTGCATAATAAAAATAATCATGATTCCTCTAAACAATGTGTGATTTTGGTAAAAACAATTGGAAAAAATCACCCATTGCTTTTTGCTACTGAAACCCTTCACATACCATCATCTGAGACTTGTCTCACATATCCAGATGATTTTTCCTCTTGTACATGTACTTCTCCCAAATCATCCTTTGCTTTGCTGGTTCTTTCTTCTTGCATGGCCTCTAAGTCTTCTTCTCCATCTTCATTTGCCTTGGAATTCTTGTTGAAGTAATCATCTATTTTTGCTTTCTTTGCCTTTACAGGAACATCACTATCCTATAATTTAAGACATATATTATCACTTAATCACTTTAACAATTGTATTGTGTGTGAAAACCCCAAACTTTAAAACCAAGAAACCATAGACTAGTCAGATGACCAATCCTATCTATTGCAAGACTTAAACCTGGCACAACCGTCACCATGTTGTTAAGTGTTTTTAAGTTTCGCAAGGATCCTGCCATGACCGTGGTAGTGTTATCGTGAAAGCCTTATATTACTGTGACAATGCTACAGTATATTATATTGCAAGGCTTGTCATGACTGTGGTAATGTTAAAGCCTGATATGACCATGACAATGGTTGTAAGGCCTGTCACAACCGTGGTAATGTTAAAGCACAATATGACCGTGACAATGGTTGCAAGGCCTGTCATGACCATGGTAATGTTATAAAGCCTGATATGACCGTGACAATGGTTGCAAGGCCTGTCATAACCTTGGTAATGTTAAAGCCTGATATGACCGTGACAATGCTATAATATATTGCAAGGCCTGTCATGACTATGGCAATGTTAACGCCTGATATGACCATGACAATGGTTGCAAGGCCTGTCATAACCTTGGTAATGTTAAAACCTGATATGACCATGACAATGGTTTCAAGGCCTGTCACAACCGTGGTAATGTTAAAGCACGATATGGCTGTGACAAGGCTATATTATATTGCAAAGCCTGTCATGACCGTGATAATGTTAAAGCCTGATATGACCGTGACAATGGTTGCAAGGCCTGTCACAACTTGGTAATGTTAAAGCATGATATGACCGTGACAATGCTATATCATATTGCAAAGCCTGTCATGACCGTGGTAATGTTAAAGCCTGATATGACCGTGAAAATGGTTGCAAGGCCTGTCACAACTTGGTAATGTTAGAGCATGATATGACCGTGACAATGCTATATTATATTGCAAAGCCTGTCATGACCGTGGTAATGTCAAAGCCTAATATGACTGACAATAGTTACAAGGCCTGTCATAGCCATGGTAATGTTAAGCCTAATATGACTGTGACAATGGTTGCAAGGCCTGTCACAACCGTGGTAATGCATTTGATGTAAGGCTGTAACAGTATTATCCAAACAAATGTACATTAGGCTTCCAGACTACGAAAGTATCCACTGCCAGATCCGGGTTTGTGAAAAAAAACGGGTGACCGGGTAACCGGGTACCCGGTCAACCGGGTACCTAACGTTCCTAGCAGGGTTACCAACTTTCAAAGTTCCACATTTCCCCCGATATATAGTAGCGAATTGACTTGACAGACTTAGCCTTCCGAGTGCACTGCTGTTCGATATTTTTACCCTATAAGAGACAGAGCACTTTTTAAAATAATCGATCCAGCAAACAGTGACGTCCATGTCACGTTGCTCATAAGTAGCATATAAGTTCCTAGAAGACGTTGCACATTTTCGTTCTTTACACATCGAGGCAACGTAAACATGAGACATCTATTGATGGTATAAAAAGAACGTTGTTGTAACGGGTCTGTAAAGTTCGTTAGTGTGGAAAACATAACAATCAGGAATGTTTGATTTTTTACTACATTGGTCCATATGTGTCGTAACTCAAACGTTAAAATTCAACGTTGTCAAAACAGGATTTTAATATCAAAATATTTGTTGGTGGGAAAAAAACATGACAAAAACTTTGTGTTCTCACTAAGTCGGTTCATTTCTGACGTATTGTTAACGTTAAAATTTAACGTTGTCGAAACGTTTTTTCGATTTGAAATAACCTCAAAACGTGACGTCAATAATGACATTCATGGACCGTATTGATCTGATGTTATTTAAATATTCAGCAATACGTCGATGGATGGTTGAATTTCAACATTGTGGAAATGGCTTCAAAATATTTGTGAGTTAAAGGAAAAAGGACAAAATATAATTTGAGACATGTCACTCACAAAGTCAATCAAATATGATAAAAACTTTAATTTGGGATAAAGTGAAAAAAAATTACTCGCATAGAAAGCAGCATATGAAGTTCAGAGATTGAAAAAAGTGAATTACCACTTTTCACAAAATGTATGTTTTGAATAACTTTTGGATTAAAAGATGGCGTATGCTTGAAAATCCAGTTAAAACTGAATGGATAATTAATGCAAACAACAATGCCATCTTTCTATGGACATTGCTAAAAACTTGACATGGTATATAAATTGATAGATCTATCAAAAATATTTTTTCATGAGCTAGTGTCAACTCTGATAAGGTCTGTTTGAGCTTTTTTGGTGTCATATGAAAGATCAGGTGTTTATTAATCCATTGGAAATACTATGAAGATCAAAAATGAGACTTCATTTACGCACTTTGTCCCTTTAAGGAAACGTTACAAAGACGCAATATGTTCTCACTAAATCGGTTCATTACCGTTATTTTAATGTTAAAAGTTAACGTTGTCAAACCGTTCGTTCTTACGATGTGAAATAACCTCAAAACGTGACGTCGAAAATAACGTACATGTATCGTCCAGATCCAACGTTACAAATTAACAAGATAATCCAGTGAAAAAATCACTGAAAAACTACAAAGACCCGAAATTAGGTATAAGGGGCGGAAAAGATGGAGTGATAGTGAAATGTTGCTTTTAGTGGAATCTATTAAGTAAATGGTCACAGAAGCGTGTAGCGCCACTTATACTATTAGGCTACTGGTATACTGTTCTGGATGGGGTAGGGTTACTTACAACATGGGCTCTAAGGAACTCTATTGTTATTTTTGTAAATGACTTTTTTACCAAGAACAATATAGATAGCGCTTCGTGCTCTTTTTCGTTATGTTACATTTTGCAAGGGGTTTTAAATCAGATTTTCAAACTTTGAACACAATTTCTATATCTGTTTTTTGTGTTTTGATGCAGCATTGCATTACCAAGAAAAAGTTGAAATATACGAATAAACTCTAACAAACTTCATTATGTCACCTTCTCTACACGGTGACATAAAACAATCATGTAACTTAGCACATATTTCAGTATATTGTGGCGTCAATGCAATAGCCCAAAAATATACAACAAATCTCAAAAAGTCCAATTAAATCCCTAGTGAATGACATCTGGACCCTGATTGAAACTCATTGGATCTTGTCGTGACATCATTTGGAATCTGTGGAAAGTTCTAATGTACATCATCCTTCTTGACCTTTGTTATTATTACCGTGCCCTGGAAATATGAGATAAAAGCATATCTTATACTGTTATATGTGTGGCCTTAGTCAATACATTTCATGCTTGTCTTTGTACAACATTTATACCTTTGAATGAAGATATTTCATGTAATCACACAGTTCATACTAATATTTTTTTAAATACAATATTATTGTATTAGTACTTCTTCGCAACATAAACCGCGGCTCAGAAGGGTCGAAACACTCTTATTACTTTGTCATAAATAGAAAATAAAACAGAGACCACTAGCAAAAAGAAATAAATCAGTTTTAAGTTTAAGACATACAAATTACATGTACTAGTACGTTTCCTCCGTTTTTAAAGTAGCACATTCACAGAACGAAAACGGTAATGTATAGGTTTACGTTTGTGGTTCATGTAATAAAAATGGTATTGCTTTACCTCTCTATTGTTACAAAATGTACCTTAGCTTTTAGTCTTTTGATCTCTTGATTTGATACATACCTTGACACCTTAGCATATACACTTCTACAGTAAACTTTCCAAGTTTTGCCGATTTCACACCTGATTTGTAAATATATGTCTTTGTTGACATAACATTTATAATTGTTTGCCTTATTTGTTGTTGCACTTGTTGTTGGTGTGCGTGGTCGTATGCATAGGATCTTGTTGTTGTTGGCGTTCTTGTTCTGAAAAAGAAATGAATTGGGGCAGTCTATATTCATTTGAGTTCCGACCTTGACCTTCCAGTTAAAAAAACTATCGTTCTAGCCAGTCTCGTCACATAAGTCTCGCGGGAGGCATCTATGGTTCAATGTCGACGGATAAGCCTATAAAACTAAATAAATCTAGAAGGGGAGGGGGGGTGGGGGTCAAAGCCATTTCAGTTTGCTATCAGACAAATTTTAACATTTCAATTTTTGTGCAATTTTGACTCGGATCAGAATTCCTTTGAATGCATGGTTTTAGAATAAAGAGTTTACTTGATGTTTTCTGCAAATGCTGTGCCTACTGTTGTTGTCACATGTTTTAAGAATTCTAGCCTACATTGTAGCCTAAATACGTTATGGTAAGCCTAATATCCCAATGAAAATCGAAAATCCACGAAAGTCCACACGCGAAAAGTCCGCGATGATCACGTTTTTTGGGGGGAGGGGGTCAAACTCAAAACTAGATAAATTTAGTTTCCTATCAGACATTGATCTTTTGATACCTCTCCTTGCGACCAGCATAGCATCATACTAACCATTTACAGAACATTAAATGTATCATTATCAGTGTTGACTATTTGAACCATCTGAAAAACTCGTTGAACCATGAGTAACTAAAGTTCATAAATTGATTTTAAGCCACTTCTGGCTCGAATAATGATTCAGTAAAATAAGAAGTTACAATTCTATTCATTTCTACAATCAAGTTGAAGTGAAATTCGATTATAAATACTGAAAATCAGGCTTTAAAATGACAGAAATGTTAAAATACGCTTACCGGTTCAGACAAAATTGAGAGCAATGGCGGACAATGCGTTCTACGTCACATACGACATTACTTGGAAACACAATCGATCCGTAATCGCGTCATATGACGACTTAGCAGTTCCCTTGACAATTTGCCATATAAGGTAATAAAGGCGGTCTTTAGGTCACGTGACCGATCTACTGGTCCATGTCGGGAATAAGGTACAAAGAACCGCACTTCGTGGGGGGTCTTTGTAAAAAAAATTTCTAACCCTGCTAGGAACTTAAAGTACCCGGTCATTTTGAGAATTTCAGGCCCACTTTTATTAGATAATTTGGCCTAAAAAGGCACCGGTGCTCTCTGAGTAATAAGAGTGCGAGGCCCCTCTGGAAACAGAAGAAAAGGGACCAAAAACTTTAGGACTTGATACCTGTGTGTGATCATTGAGATTTTGAATCGTAATATTGAGGCGTCATATAAGGGAGAAATTGTGACTATCAGGCTTACATACCGCTTCGGCTTTCCTCTTCAATGGATGTTTATATTTCATATGATGTGCCTTGTTATTTTGGTAGCAATCAGAGCCGTATTTACACTTCAAACGTGAATCTTCTTCATCCCATCTAATTTTACCGCCAGTAGCCGCCATAGTTGTTTTTAACACATTCCATTTTCTTGAATAGATACACAGTCCAATTTGTGGCCTGTTTGTTCTATATACTTGACGTTTCTGTAGCCTATTAGTAGCAAAACGTTTATAACTCGACTGCTTTAGCAATCATTTACAATTACAAGCAAATTCGAGAACGTTCTGACGGCTCTAAAATATAGGTCTGGTGTGCCACAGGGTTCCACTATGGGGACCAATCTTAGCCTATTTATAATTTATCACGATGGACCCATTTCAACAATCATATATGTAAAATACGATCAAGGTTGTAAATAAAAATTAATGAATTTATCATGTTGACCGATTCAATGAATCGTGACTGACTTACTGCTGAAACTAACATAAACTTGTACAGCACGCAAATCTGGACCATAGCATAGATGCATATAAATACAGAACATGGCGTAGAATAATGGAAATAGCGTCATGAATCCCGGGACGATGAATCTCGGATCCAAGTACGTCATTGACGGTCGAAAATCAAAATATTGACAAATTTATAACCTAAAAGGCCGAAAGATTATGCAGTAAATATTGAAACGGAGGTTGTCAACATATTGTATTAGCTTTGATCTCTTAGAATCCGTTGAATCCTAAGCGATTGGAGCTGTTTAGATCACTTAACGAATGATATGAAATGATGAGGATTTGGGTTTTTTCAAAGTTTATAATGGCGGCCAATGGGGGATTTTAGCAAAATATCCCGAAAATTAAATCATTAAAAGGCCGAAAGATCTGTGGATGGATTTTGCTGTTTTATATATCAAAATGAACACTTCGTTGGGTCTAATAAGGATCCGTTGAATCCGAAGAAAATAAATGTTATGCTAAAAAGTTATTAAGATTTTAAATTTTGATGAAGACTGCTCTCCATTGAAATCTTTGGACCATGAAATGTCGATTTACGCGCATGCGTTGTGACGCTATTTCCATTATTCTACGCCATGAAATGCGATCTAACACCGATAGTTAAGATGTAGGCCAACATGAGCAATTTTAAGTTTAATGTGTGTTTAACGATAGGAAAACTTATGAAAATTTTACTCTGAACATACATCCTAAAAGAAACACAATAGAGAGATTTCGCACATACGTGAAAGTACAACTTATACGTATACGAAAAATTTCGAACGGAATGCGTGACATATACGTAATTCGCGTGAAAAATCCGAACGGAATGCGTACATTTTTTTCCGGCGTTCGTATTTTTGCTGTGTAGACGATCTTTTTTAGAAATTTTTCTACAGAAGGGTCAAGATTGCAGTAAAAAATCCCATTGACGACCATTATAACGTTTCATTTCATAATATATTCATGGGCACAGATCTAGCTCAGCGAAACAGTGCCCAGTGTTCATTGGAGTCTTGTCTAGCTTGCCGTTACAAAATAAGCATACGGTGACCACACCGTTTTTGAGATAACTGAATCTGGAGAGAGCTACCACCGTAAAGCTGCCTGTTTCAGAAAATTATTCTGCTCTACATAGTCTCAAAAATCACTCCGCCATCTATAAAAATTCTGTTTCTAACCAAACTTGTAAATGTTTCCTGATAGATTAGTACTTACCCTATCGAGAATAAACCTTGATTCATTTATCAAACACTAGATGGCGCTGCGACGGGACAGAAAAGGAGAAAGAGCTTTTTATACAGAAAACCAAATAACCAACGGTAACCGCTAGTATCCCTACTCCGGACTATATTCGAAACATTTTTGCTTGACAATTACCAGGTAAAATGCGTATTTGCGTGACATTTTCTGTCACGCAAAAATAACTGGCGTGACTTCAAATTCTTCAGCAAATGCGTGACAAATACGCAAATTGCGGGACAGTTGACAGGCCTGTGATCAGTATAAGTTCAGTGAACTTACAAAACGGTAGAAATACGTAGATGATAAACGTATACAGTTTGATCCCCGTATAATAAAGCTTTACCAACATGTGTGTGAAACAATTGACCGCGAGCATTTTTAAAATAAATTGGCTGAGTAGGAACAGTATCCAATCAAATACTTTAAACATCAATTTGAAACACCAATCAAACCAGTAGGTTCTAGCAATTCCTGGAAACGACCCATTCAGTAGCTCAACAAATGACATACAGGGTGTTTCATAACAAGCATCTCCAAAAAGTCAATTTGAGAAGAGATGGGTCTATAACATATGTTCAATATATGAGCCTTTTTATTCTAGACAAACACATTTGGATCAACTAAACATGCTACAATTCAAGAAAGTACAAATGGCATCCTTTGACCTTTATTTATTACAGTCCGAGAAGATCTTTCCTGACGAAAAACCCACATTATGAAACACCTCAGCTTGTATGTTTACTTAAAAGTATAAGTATACGTTATAAGTGTACTTTCACGTATGTGCGAAATCTCTCTAATAAATAAAAGTTTCGTTTTATTTTATTTTTTCCCACCTAGTATTTTGGAACAATGTGTGTTTAAATTCTAGTTTTGGAACTTACGATTTGGTCGCAAGTCAATGTTCAATTGGTTAGAATCATATTTCACGACTGTGCCAAAGTAACAGAGTCGATCGCTGTTTGTTTGTAACTAATTTGTTTAGAAATACAATTTCACTTGTTTTGCACGAATCCTTACTTTAAATCCAAGTAGCCAAAATACCCTTGTTAAAGCAAAGATCTTTTGAAATTGCGAACCTTATATGATAAAACTTAAGAAATAAAACGTGATAAATATTGGTCAATTGAGATATGTTTTGACCTAAATGAAGCTTTCGATAAGATGATCGTACGGTGCTGTTCTTCTAAAAATTGTAAAATGTATATGTTTGCATAAACATGCCTTTTAATGCGGTTGCACACTTTCTTTAAATAGGTCGCTAAAAACGAATGATAATGACGTTGCAATTAATTGTTTCAAACGTTATCTCGCTATCAAAGATTCAGGTGTCTGTTTTGGCCATACTGTGACAATAGTTCTTAAATATTCTTTGAGTTGATTGTTTTCAGAGGACATGTTTTGAATTGGTGTTATTCAAATTGAACCCATCGACCATTAAATAATCATAAGCAGGCCCGTATAAGTTTTTGTTCGCTTAGGGTAGTGGGAAGAGCGATTGGGACGAAGCCATAGTGGAAATGGTTGCAGATTGTATCTGCGTGTATGACGCATTCGAAAATGGAAGGCCGTATTTTCAAAAAGACCCGGCTAAAAATGAAAAAGATCTGTTCTTCTTGATTTAAACTACGTTGTACATGTTTGAAATTTTGCGTTTGCTTATTAAATGAGATGCATCTTTGCACGTGCTGACTTAATTGCGTTCACCAAGGACCGACTGTTTGAGTCAAGTGAATAAAAGTGTATGATATGTAGAGGACGCACGTTCATGATACGATTCAGACTCTATAATTTATATTCTAAGCTTACTAAGTATTATTATTCAGATCCATTAATGCAAGTTTACGAGGAGCCACTCTGGATATGTATAGGCTTCCTACTCAGGTACGAGTCCGTCCCGGGAGTCCGTTTCAAGAAATCTTATCGGCTTTCTTTACAGAATTTTGATAAAACAGCTGTGCAAAATGCGTATAAATTAAAAGCTTCGAACAGATTTACGCCATCATGTCCAACGACCATGCACGAATTGAAGAGTATAGCGTCATCAAATTATCTTCCTGGGGTTATCTTCGAAGTCTGACTACGTTTCCGACAGCATTGGAGATAGTGAAGGTGACATTGATGTAAGAAAATGTTGTAAAACAACGATTTTCAAGGTTAGGCAGTGAATATAAAAGCGGTTTCGAAGAGTTACAGTAATGCAATGTCAGAAACAAAGTGATACCACATCATATCACATTTTTAGCAAACTCCAGTCCTCAGACTGAGCTGGGTGAACGTAATTACGAAAACATATACTTTTATCTTTGCATATTAGGCGTCATTGAAGATAAACATCCTCCACAGAATTCAGTAAAAAAACTCATGAATTTAGAATTGATTGTAATGAAAAGTTTATTGAAGCCAGTAGTACTTTTTATCATGTGGGTTTGTACAAACATTTCAGCATATTTAAACTGGCAGGAAAGAAATTGGTAGGAAATTCAAGCCTTTAAAGAGTATAAGTAGCTATATTTTGCTGGAAAATTTAAGGGAGATTTTAACATTTCTACTAATGCACTATGCAGGATCATGAGGATGGAATGCATTTTTATCAATAGACATCATTATCAACATTAAAATCTGAAAATTATGTTTATCATGTTTCCTTATTTTCTACCATACATTTAGGGAAACTACATGTATTTACATTGTATATCAGTATAAAATATGAGTATGAATAAATGTATAGTTCAATATGAATCACTTTAGCTTAATGATGATGTTAACAAATATTTACAGTTCAATGCAATCTTAATAAAGTTAATACAAATACATTCAAAGTCAAATAAATGATTTACAGTTTCTTAACTGAATCAACTACAATAAATTCAAGGTCAAACAGATTATGAACAGTTTTAACTGAATAAACTACAGTACATGTACATTAAATGTACATTAAATGTTAATTAAGTTATCTACAGACTTAGAATCAAGTACAGTGCATTCAAGGTCAATTAAATTAACTACAGTTTTAACTAAATCAACTACAGTACATGTACATTAAATGTCAATTAAGTTATCTACAGACTTAGAATCAAGTACAGTGCATTCAAGGTCAATTAAATTAACTACAGTTTTAACTAAATCGACTACAGTACATGTACAATGTACATTAAATGTCAATTAATTTATCTACAGACTTAGAATCAAGTACAGTGCATTCAATGTCAATTAAATTAACTACAGTTTTAACTAAATCAACTGCTATATATCAAAATGTCGATGAAAGTTACTACTGCACATGTCCATTTCATCAACTAAATTATGCATTATAATAAAAATGGTTAAACATATTTCATAAATGTCATAAAATGATTACATTAAAGTCTACATCTAACATGCAAAATGTCACCACTTGACATTTGTTACAGACACTGAATGTCAACCACCAAACACTGTCCACAAAAAAATTGGAGATGGTGACTTTTGGTGGTGACATAACAAATCATATTTTTGCATGTAGAAATAGTGACTGAGATTACATAGTTCATGAACCATGGTTGGACATATTCATACATCCTCCAGTATGATGTCAAACATAATTTTTATCTGGATTGGAATTCTGTTTCCATAACATATCATCCATAGCAAAACTATAACAGCATAATGTAACTAAATTTTTTTAATCACAGGTCTTTCCATTCTTTGTTTTGGCGCTTAATGCCAAATGAAGGTACTGAATAAATGTTACCATGGTAACATTGCATCCTAAATAAATCAACAAACTATATGTAACAAAATAACATAACTGTAACTGAGCTTTTTTATCTGTTTAGGGACTTACCCAACTACAGCAATATCTATAAAGTATATGTTAAGGTCTCCAATATAAATTCCTCAAACTGAAATACTTCTAAATGACATTCTTTGTGCTACTGACTCTCTTTTTGAAAACTGAACCATTTGGTGAGTTCTTTTTGTGATATAGGTCATTATTAGTCTATATATCAATGATAAGCATAACCCTTATAATACAATAATTTGCTGATGAAATCATAATTTGAGTAACGTTGCAATAATATCTTGTTAAGCACACTGTTTTGAGCAGAAGCCTCCCAGACTTAATACAGTTATCAATTCCTTACATATCACATCTCAAATGTGAATTCCTGAAACTAAAACACTTCTAAATGACATTATTTATGCAATCGACTCTAAACCTTAAAATAAAAAATAGATTTTCTAGAGACTATAAAACACATTCGAACCAGTAACTACAGTAAATATCATTTTGCATTGTTGCACCCTGTCCGTGATATGTACCTGAATTAAACATTAAGCATTATGCATCAATAACTCCTTGTTCCAAGTTCATGTACATGAGCTACATGAATCTATGTCAATACTCCATAATATACCAATGGCTTACTGACATAACTGCACATGACCTGTACAGCATGACCTGTTTAGCATTTTTAGGAGAGTCTAATGAGAGAAAATAATATTTCCTCCTTATATGGGCACATATAATAATAACACTTCCTCCCTCTATGGGCCCATGCAATAACACTTTGTCCTTATACTGTTATATGGACACATACCAAAACATTTCCTCCTTATAGGGGCACATAAAATAACACTTCGTCCTTATATGGGTACATACTAATATTGTCCTACAATAACATTTTATCCTTATATGGGCATTTACAACAACACTTCCTTTTTATATGGGCACAATGATTGTCAACACACTCCTTCCTGGAATCTTAGGATTATTTCATAGAAGTCCTGTTAGTTTGTTACAAGTCTAGCTTCATCCGAAGGGGAGTCCAAAGGTATAAATAGGTTCTGAAAAGTATGTGAAATACATGTGAGTTTTTTAAAGCCATTAAACATTTAATCAAACTGATGGAGGTTGAGATTGGGGAATTGAATAGTTCAATAACTTGATTTTGTGTTGAAGGGCATGGCTTTTCCTATAAAAAGAAACCAAGAACTGTATGAAATTCAAAATAGAAGTTACAGAGGAGATACATTGTCCCCCGAAACAAAAGATGTCAAGGCATTAACATGACAAAATGTCACCACCACCTTGTTGCTCACAATATTCAGAGTTCAATCTTATAGATTTGAATTTCTGAGAACTCTGCAGATGATTAGATAATTTTGAAATAAAATTGGTCAAGTTAAAGCAAGCTTTTTTACCCTGAGAAGGTAATTGAAGGTGAGATCTCATATCTAAAGTCAGATTTGAATTTCTGACAAATTGTAAATGATTTAGAAAAAAATTGGTCAATTTGAAGCAAGTTGACAAAATACCTTTTTGATCTTGAGAAGGTCAAATCTTTTTTTTGACCTTGTTCTTGTAACTTGTGGTTAATGATACTTTTTTTAATGCAGACTCACTTGTTTTTTGGCAAATATCTTCTTGAGAGCAAATATGATAGCACAAAGGAGGATAAAGCTTCCCACAGCTATTAGACCATACTGCACTGCTTCTGTCACTTTGATTGGCTCCATCACTTTGTTTTTGAATAGATTGGCCGACTTGTCATCGACTTTGGCACTCTGAAATATTCACATTTTCTGATTTACATTCTGCAATATTCACATTTTCTGATTTACACTCCGCAATATTCACATTTCCTGATTTACACTCTGCAATATTCACATTTTCTGATTTACATTCTGCAATATTCACATTTTCTGATTTACACTCCGCAATATTCACATTTCCTGATTTACACTCTGCAATATTCACATTTTCTGATTTACATTCTGCAATATTCACATTTTCTGATTTACACTCTGAAATATTCACATTTTCTGATTTACATTCTGCAATATTCACATTTTCTGATTTGCATTCTGCAATATTCACATTTCCTGATTTACACTCCGCAATATTCACATTTCCTGATTTTCATGTATCTAATGACACTCAGGTAACAGAGTTGACAAACATCAACCAATGAGCCAAATTAGTGATTACACAAGTTCAACTGAAAATTAAAATTGAAAAGATTTGATGAAAAAAAAATCAATTGTAAAAAACATATAATTTCATACTCCTGTAGTATAGTTCAACATGCTCGTACTGTACTTCTACATAATTTGGCGAATCTGCCAAATTGTTAAATCAGGTAGCAGCCAAGTTCCCCAGAATTTTAGTAACATTTGTATATTGTAATATTGCAAGTCCTCAAAATTAAGTAGCAGCCAAATGTTCAAAACAGCAAATCTGCCAAAATAAGTAGCGCCAAAGTAGAAGTACAGAATGCTACATCTAGGTAAAACTTAAATATCAGCTCACACTATAATCGACCATGGATGTCACGGTACAAGTATAGTAAACCTTTGTAAGTGAAACAGCCTTGGTACCTCTTAATATTCTAATCAAAGAGGGAGGTATTCCACTTACAGAGGTGTTCCACTTTACAGGTTTTGCTGTAGGGCCTACTCATATTGTAATAATCCTGTTATACCATGAGCTAGAGCAGCTTCAGGGCATCAAATATACTACCCATGTAGAACTAGTATGTTGAGACTGCAGGGATAGGAGGCCTTACCTCATTGATCCATACCACAGGCAGGAACAGTCTACCTAAGTTTTCAAAATCACTGGAATCAAAATAATGTTCGCATTGTAATACTAATACATTAATATTGTAGACAATGTATTGTACACAGGGTGCAGCTCACATGTAAGCACAGGTTCATGGGATAATACCCAGGGAATCTTACAACACTACAGACCAGAAGGTTTAATTTCCTCATTATAATGGTCCATAAATCAATATTGACAACAGAAGTACTAGCCAAACCTCAACATATTGTGAGCATTTGATAGAGATGTCACGGAACAACAACAAGGTCGTCTAGGTCTATTTGGAAGTGAAAAGCTCTTCAAAACTCTTCAATGAGAAGGAGTGAAAGGAATGAACTTCTTCTGGTGCAAAATATTGAAAGAAAATGCTGTTTTATGGCGATTTAAAGGGCCACAAGCTGTGAAAGGGTGAGATTTTCTTGTTCCGGAACTGAACTGAAATTCTTAATTTTTGTTCCGTGTTCCATTCCGTGAACGTAATTCCACGGGTCAGAACACAATCGGGGATCCGTGACACCTCTACCATTCGAGTATCCACATTCAGCTGAACATACCATCAAGCCCTGCTAATACATACATATTATATGCATTTAGCTATGATACCAAGCTCACAGTATCATAAGTGAAGTCTGTTTAATACCCTTAAACAAGTAGGTCTAAAATTCTTACGACACAATCTGATTGAATTTGCTCCACTTGCATTACAAAAGTGTATTATGAAAATGTTATGTCAAGGACTTGCCAATGGTACTTGAAAGGGAGAGTAACCACACAAATGAATTATTTGGAGCCACATGGCCATTTTTCACTTTTGAAAAATGTCAGAACAAGTCCAGCTGAAGATACGAATTTTTGAAACAATGTACTGCCTTGTACCATACCTGTAAACTTCCTCCTTCTGCAGAAATATGCTGATTTGTATCCTCTTGGAAGCACCCATTACGACACCTGTCACCTAAAAATACATTTTAAGTTAATGTAAATTTAAAGCAAAGAAAACATATAAACAAGGCTCTCAGCAAGAAATACAGGACGACACAAAAATGCCACCCACTTCGGAATAACTTTCTATTAAATAAATGAGGAATCTTTCTGATTCTTGTTTTGGAAACTTGAATGTTTTTACCCAACATTTTATGGAATCTCCTCATTGGCAATACATGGCAGTTTGTGAGATATTCATAAAATAAGACTCATTATTATGTTAAGTAATTCCTAAGTCATCATGAATAAGGATAGAATGTCTTACTGGTTCTACATCTAATGCTGTCTGGTGCTCCTCTTTGTTAGGATTAAGGCCTATGACGCCATCTATATACTCCTTGTCTGCCTGGTAGAAATGTGGCTGAGATAAAACAATTGGAGCATCTGAAATATTCCAAAAGTCTTGTACCAAGTCTCTAATGAGCCATCGTCATTTTTACTTGTGGTAGAGAGAAAGAAATGGTTAACACAGGGCTTAATGCAAGATTTATATTTTAATACAGTAATAGTACCACTAATCTTACTACCATTCTTGTTTGTTAAAACTTACCAGGCCCGTAGAGAGGATTTGCCAAGGGGGTTCACTTTTTAAAAAATTCCAGGTGGGGGGTTCACTTTGGACAACTTTGGCCTAAATATGGCCAAAATTACCTCAGAATGGTGAAACACTGCATGGTTTTGAAAGAATTTTTGGCCAAGGGGGGGGGGGGCTTGAACCCTCCTTGGCTACAGGCCTGCTTGTGGACATTGAAACGAAAGTAGAGAATGAATCAAGGGCATGTTGTTGATCCCAAAACAAGGTTACTTCCTTGTAACATGGCTGATCAATTCAATGTACGAAATACAATCAGCATAAAGCTACATGTCGACCTACCAGCTTTTTAAATGAAACATTATGTAGTGTAGATCTTGGACCATTTGCGTCAGTATCAATAATGATACGATTTCAGAGTGAGGGTTGTTGTTGTAGATTACATGTATGTGCAATATTGGGACGAAAAATACACTTACTCTGAGGTTTACATACACTAACATTGAGTACCCCCGAGCCGAGACATATTGTTTCATTGTCTGCACAAAATCCAAGATTAGCAGGATTTTTAGCGGGAGCAGCAAATACACTAGTTGGAGGGACAAAACGGTACAGATCGATTCCACGCATTTTCTGAGGTCCCTCATAGTTGGCATATATTGACCTAAAATACGCCATATAAAGCTATCAATTACTGATTGTAACATGGACCATTTGCATATTTATTCAAAGTAAATGTAGATTGCTTGTTTATGGACATTTTCAATGTCAGCCAAGTGGAGTAGGACAGGTCTACAGAATAATGTCAGTAAGCCAATCTAATCTGTGTGATGTCTGTAAGCAAGCCTACATATCACTAATTATTGGGCATATGACATCACTTAAAATAACAGCAGTTCAAATTGTCTCCATTTTCTCTAAAAAATTACAGAAATTTGTGGCGGCAACTCCTACCTGCATATATCAGTGGAGAACAGTTGGAGAGTTCTGTCAGGGGTAACACCAGGTGGAAACTGAGTGCCATCTAGAGAGTGAAAAAATAAAAGTAAAACTTCATTGTCAATTGAATGCATTTGGAGCTTAAGTGTTCATAGCATTGTATGTTTGTTGCTAACTGTAGATTTTTTATACAGTTTTTATACAGAACTCGGTGAAGTACAGTCAAACCAATAAACTGGAACACATCTCATAAGTGGAACACTTTCATAAGTGAGCACCTTTCAGAGTCCTGGGACCAACTGACTTATGTTAAATGAACATTAGTAAGTGGAACACCTCCTAAGTTGAACACTTTTAGAGTTACTGCTAGTAGTCAACTCATTTACCTGTTCCATTGATCATATTGGTATAATTATCCCCCCAGTAGTTGAGCAAACTGAAATAAAAACAAAGCAATTAGCAAATACTGTGTACCTCAAGAAATAAAATACAAGTTAGCCCAAAATGGTTGGCTCCTTTTTGTAATTCAGGATTGCTTCAAGCTTGAAAATGTGGTCATTCACCATTCATGTGCTCATCCATGATACATATTTATTTGTTCATTTATTTACTTATTTATTTATTATGAAGTATTAATTGTGTGTGTTGTTATATATACTGTTTTCTGTTGTATTGATATATTGTAAAATTAGTGTTTACTTTGTGTACACTTAACCCTTCATGGGTATGCATGTGTAATAAAGTTCATAAATCTAAAATCTATCATGGAGTTATTTGCCAAAAAACCGATATACTATTCTTAACCAATTTCTTTGTTGTTCAGGTGTTATCAAGTACACTGAATACAGTGATCTCCCCAGCATTAAAGCAAGTGGGCGCAGCATCCACCTGAGATTTTAAAAACAGGCTTGCACCCACCTAAGATTTCATTTGCACCCACTTGAAAATGAGAAAAGTCTTGGGCATATTTTGACCAATTTTGGACTGAATTGTGAAAATGAGCATTTTGCACCCACTTGTACCTGAAGTGTCATTCATCACTAGAATTGTTCCAACTTTTTAAACTCTTGTTACAAGTTACACTTCAAATTATGTTGAAGAATGTTTTCATATCTATTTTATTTCATACAACAATCTCTGTGTGATCCAACTTACTTTGAGCCATTCCAAGTCTTGATGGTAACATACTTGTCAAGTCCTTTCTCTCCTGTGTAAATATTGTAGACTCCATCTCTACTATTGTTTTGCTGAAAAAAGGAACAGATATAATATACAGTATATGCATCAAATATATATCCTAAATTAAGGAGATATTATCTAGATATATTTTGCAGTTTTATAAGTATTATGGCCGTGGGGCATGTACATGAAACCACATATATTCAGTACTGTCAACCCCCAAAGATTTTCTCGCGGGACAGATTTTTTAGACCCAGTGCCCAAAATTCGCGGGATTTTGCGGGACATCTACTAAATTCGCGGGATTTTGCGGGACATTTAAGGGATTTGCGTGATTGCGCTTATAGGCCAATTTTTTTTATCAAATTCGCGGGACCATTCGAGGGACAAACACCCTAATTGCGGGACAGTTAAAAGGTTTACCAGCAAAAACTTCATAGAGGGACAGATTTTCTAGAAAAAGTGCCCTAAATTTGCGGGATTTCGCAGGACATCCACCTAAATTTGCAGGATGCCCCCGGGACATTCAAGGGATTTGCGTGATTTGGACTAATGTAAAAGCGTGTTAAAGTACTTGAATCAAACTTTCAGATACTGATTAATCAAATATAATGCACCGTTACATTGTAACTTAAATAAACGTCAACATAATTTCACAAAATACGCATAGAAATATTATTAAACTTTATTGTAATTTATCAAAAACAAAAACCATGCTTCAGGTGTGAGTATCATAATCTAACACGAAATTCAAAAATTTGGGACAATACTTTGCACTTCTCTGCTTCTGGCGTCTTGACCAACTACTAGGCTTACCATACTGTAGGCATGGGCTTTCAATTGAAAGCCCATGATATAGGGGTTCGATTAATCTACATCAAATTATAGGGAATGAGGTTACTTTTCTAGATAGGGTTTGTAGAAAAAACCGGGTACCGGGTAGTAAATCCTCCATGCTGGGTTCAAACTTGGTACCCGGTCGAAAAAACCGGGTACCCAAAAAACGAAATATACGAATATACACCATAATTAGATCATTAGAAAACGTGGAAGATTTGTTTTGAATTTACAAAAATGTAACTTCCTTCAAAATTGAGCTAGAAGCTTCAAATAAAAAGCATTTTAAGCCTCTTTTCTTCCTCTATCATCATGGTCATATTTCCATTGGTAATGAAGGGGGAGGGGGTGCGATCACATCACACCCTCTCCTGGCTACGCCAATGACATTGTAAGACGATTTGAATAACAAGACAAATCAATTTTACTCTATTTTCAATAGTTCGTATGTTGGTACGTGAACATAACCAATGAAAATATGGTCATGACGATAGAGGAAGAAAAGAGCCTTAAAATATGCTTTTTATTTGAAGCTTCTAGCTCAATTTCGAAGGATGTTACATACATTTTTGTAAATTCAAAACAAATAGTACACGTTTTCTGATAATCTAATTATGTTATACTCGTATATTCGTATTTTTCATTTTTTGGGTACCCGTTTTATGATCGGGTACCGGGTACCAAGTTTGAACCCAGCATGGAGGATTTACTACCCGGTACCCGGTTTTGTCTACAAACCCTTTCTAGATATCAGCGTCCATTTATTGTAACTCGCGTTTGCTAACATTTGCTCAGTTCTGAGATGAAGGCCACACGGATAGTAAAAAGGCCAACGTTGAAACTACTTGTGACCTACATCCCTATTGTCGTAATTAAAATGAAAGTTGAACCCTTCCTCTTTATTTTGATACCAAATAACAGCATGCTAGGTACTTAAAATTAGGTAAACTTTACTCCTCAAAAGTGCAAAAACTTAGCTTCGTATATAAGATAAGATAATCACCATATAGGGGATTGCAACAATTTCGGAAATTCGCGGAGGTCGAAAGCCACATTTGCGGGACTTCGCTGGACATTGCGGGACACGCGAATTAGCCTAATTTTGATCGAATTCGCGGGATAATCCCGCCATTCGCGGGACACTTGACAGCTCTGTATATTTGTTTCATGAACATGTACTGTGCTAACTTCCATGTACAGGTACTATAATACAGCGATACATATCATTACCTTTACTTACCCCGTAGAAAAGCCCAAACGTATCTTCAATATCTAGTGTTATTCCAAAAACTGAAGCGGCTTTCTTTATATCTTTAATAATAGGATCTTTATGTCCCCAAAGTGTCTCATGCACTGTATACTCAGCTATCAATGTTTCAGGGACTCCAACGAACACACCATTGATCGCTTCTTTCAAAAGTGATGGCATATACCTCGTTAGCTGTATGATACCCTGAAGATATTAATATCAATTAAAATACTGTGGTGGTAACCAAGGATAATCAGCATTATCCTATGCCAAGTAGAGTTTTAGGGAGATAAGTTGGTAAGATATATCCCATATCCTGATTTTGAGGTTTCCATATCCAGAACCTCCATATCTCCCCCTTCGTTGCATATCTTCCCGCTTCGGTGCACTATCTTCCCGCTTCCGGTAAGTAGTGGAAATGCAATAAAATGACTTTGCATATGAATGATTTGTTAATAAGTTGCTTGAAAAAGATTTACAGAATAAATCGAAATATTGCAAAACAAAATCAATTTGTTATTGTACTATTGAAATGGCAATATGCCCATGAAAACTCTACTTGGTATAGGATAAAGCAGTTATGTACGGTTGGTTTGGATATGGGGTTCATCCCTCGTGAGATATGCACATCTACCTTCGGCCCCTACGGTCCCTCAGGTAGATTATGCATATCTCCCTCTGGATAAACCCCATATCCAAAACCTCCCAGTACATAACCCTTATATATTTTTTGTATGTGCACTTATTGGAATCTCTCAATATGTTACCCTTTTAAATTTCAATTGGAAAACACACTGTGCAAGCATTAGACAGAATGTGGTAGTATAAGTAAGTGTGAGCATTAGCTGCGTATGATGATACAATGAGATTTGATGTGCACCTTTTGGTTTTTCACTAGACAGCATGCTTAAACTCCTAATTCCACCCATATAACTTTTGTCAAAATAGTACAATATTTCATCTTTTTCATCTTAAATGGCCTTTCAGCATTCACTAACTTAACAATAAAAAGCGATTATTTAGAATTAGTGTGAAACATAGAAGTTTCTTAGCAGCAGGTACTCAGTCATTTTCTCCAGTAATGTTTCGGGCAAATGACCTGTTTTATGGAGAACAATGTAATGCTAAAGATTATAATTTCCAATAATTTTGCATGTTGTTTTCATATGTTTTAGGTGTTATCAGAAATTCTAATGAGGTTTGATGTAAACACCAAGATATGCTTGTTTAAAACATGATAGTTGAAGATATGCTTGGCTGAAAACATGATCGGTTAAAGACTTGCTTCATGTCAAAAACATGATCTGTTGAAGATTTGGTTGGTTGAAAACATGAATGGTTGAAGACATGCTTGGTTGCAAATAAGCTTGATTAAAAATATGCTTAGTTGAAGACTTGCTTGGTTAAAAACATGCTTCGTTGAAGACGTGCTTGATTAAAAACATGATTAGTTGAAGACTTGCTTGGTTAAAAATAAGCTTGATTAAAAACATGCTTGGTTGTAGACTTCTTTGGACCTCAAAAACCATTTGAGGGTTAAAACAGGCTTAGTTAAAAACATGATTGGTTGAAGACTAGATTATTTAAGACATGGTTTTTTTGAAGACTTGCTTGGTCTTGCTTGATGAAAACATGCTTTGTTGAAGACTTGGTTAAAACCTAATTCGTTGGAGACTTGGTGGGTTAAAAACATGATGGGTTAAAAACATTATTGGTAGAAGACTTGCTTGATTGTACTCACCACCATGAAGAGGTTAACAGTATGTACTGTATCATTCTCACTCCCCACAGACATGTTTCTATCAAACACATAGATTTTACTTTCTTCATACTCTACAGTTCCCTGTTCTTGATTGAATTTGATGTGCTCCTTTTTTCGATACTCCCTGAAAAATAATGAATATAATTATTTTTGATTCAGATTTTAAGTACCAGTAGCTTTGTACTCTAAAAACTGTTAACTTATCAAGTATATTTTCTACATGATTCCTGTAAGGATTTTTATTCTTTAGTTTATTCACAAGGATATATCAAGCGTTACTGTACTTTTCCACACAGTAAGGCTTTCTACACAGTAAAGCTATATGCGTATGACCTTTTTGCCTAATACATTTATTTATGTGGCCCTTTCTGGCCAAATACACTTACCTATATGTGTATGGCCCTTTCTGGCCTAATACAGGCTTTTCTCCAAGTATAACCTCAGCTCTGTTTAAAACATCAAACAGGTAAAACTGCATATAAATCGGAACAGGGGGATCAAGCCAATTGGAATAGGAGTCAGTCCCATTCTTCAGTGGAAGGTCCTAAAATTACAAACATAAACAAAACAAATATCCTTAGCTATCCTTGGAATACATGAGACAGCCACGTCTCTGTGCCATTTGAAGAATGTTTCTTGTGGAGATAGAATTGATAGAGGTAAGAAATATATGCGCAGCTAGCGTCATTGAATTTCTAATTTTGATAAATACTGTAATGTGTGCTTTTGTGGAAACCCTTGAAGACCAGAATGAAGAGATGGTCTTGGTACAAGATAACTGTTACTACAGTGTAGATACATAGTCAGTATCATATCATTTCTTTATTTTTGACGATCATTGTCGTAAAATCTTTTCTAATTGTAGGACAAGGGAATTTTAGTCCTAGAACTGGATAAAATTTTAGTAGATATACTTCATTTTCATGGGTATTGTAGACTTGTATAGCTAGATTCTACGTACAGACCAACATTGCGTGAATACAGACGATGGATAACCTCATTACAAAAATAAATGTCATCGACTATGACAAACAAGTGACAACTACATCAATGGATACATTTAACGACAATATTTTGAACAAAGCTGGAATAAAGAGAGACGGCCTGGGAATCGAATCCACCAGACCAATAGGCCAAGGCCTACACTGTAGGCTACAGGGTAGTATGTATCCAACAGACTGACTAGAAGTCAGTCTGTTATGATGTACTACTTTCCTGTGGAAATTGCAGTGAAATTTTTTGCACAAAATTATCAATTAGGGGAACCATTTCTTCGATAAAATAAGCATTACAAAATTTCAATGAATTAGTAAGGTACAATTAAATGCAATAAAAAGAAACACAGCATATTGTCAAGTGGAAATAAAGCTAGTTGAAGTAACAAATGTGCAAATTAATTTTACCCAATCGGCCATTTTGAATAGCACTTCCTATGTAAACAAATATTTAAAATTACCAAACTTTAACATAGGTGCCTTATTATCGCATCCTACGACCCCTTTAGATTGTGGTCGTAGGCCCGTTTCATTCGTAAGCCTGTCTTTCTACAATGTCGGAGAATGAACTACGCATTGCGCTATTAAATGACCTACCTCGATACATTCCAGAGTATTTTAAAATTCTTTTTATGTTGTTAGATCGCCAATTGTATGGGTTTATCGTCAGAACGAAGAGATTTTAGTTTTTACATCGGAAATATCTCAGCAATTTTCAAAATGTCGGAAGGGGAATTCCCCAGGGATATCCCTTATGACTGGTGCATGCCGGGAACTGAATGGAGGAATTTGACGGTTGAACCTACACGCAAATATTGCTATCAAAAACGAAAATATCTTCGTTCTGCCGATAAACCCATACAATTTGCGATTCAACTATATGAAAAGAATTCTAAAATACTCAGGAATGTATCGAGGTAGGTCATTTATGTGTGCAATGCATAGTTCATTCTCCGACATTGTAGAAACACAGGCTTACTAATGAATCGGGCCTACGACCACAATCTAAAGGGGTCGTAGGATGCGATAAGGTGCCTTATAGTCTGAATATAATTCAGACTAAATAGGATATAGTCTAGGCTACAGGGCCCGCTAGGCTACAGACCTACCTGTTTCAACTGGTCATCGATCATTCCATGAAAGACTTTGATGAGGATGCCTCCTACAATAACTAGAGCAATTCCAACTATTGCAGTGATAGTTATGGTCACAACAGCTGGGATAGCCATCCCTAAAACCTGTTGTTTACATAGGAAAAAAGGAATAATGCAAAATCATGTAAATACAAAATTACAAATTTTCTCGTGACTCTTGTAAAGCTAGCAGTAAAACACTTTTGGTATTTTCGTATATTTGGTAGATTCAATATATTCATGCTGCATAACTATTCCATTTTATCACATTACCATAGCTTGTGCCGAAATAATTATTATAGATGAAATTTTCAATATCGATCCAAAATAGCACTGGAATATCTATTGTTCCGAAGAAAATGATTTGGCGAAACAAGATAATAAATATTTGCATATACCTCCTTTGCTATTGGGTGTCACTCCACTAAAAGGTTTGGGTATATGGCTTAACACCACCATTGTTTTGCCAATTCACTACTTGCCACAATCAACCTCAATGTTAGCATATCAACCCAAGCTCGTTTTCCACCAAACTCGGTTCAACTACCATGAGGTGAATTTTTTATTTCGATGAATTGCACTATACCCACAGGCTGGTATCGAAAAATTTGTCCGCTGTGACGGAGCGTGCTTTTTTGCATAGAAACACTAAGAAACCCACACAATTTATTTTTTTACTCATATGTTTCGCTATACCAAAGAAAGTTTCTTCCTCCATGCAATGGGTATATCATTTGCGGGTAACTTTAACTTTTGTTTGAAGTCCAACAACGCTAAGAGTAAAAGCTATTGAAAACGGCGCTGGGGTATCATGCTCCAAAATGTACCATTTCTTTTATTTCTTTCTAATGGTACAATATAGCGACACGATAATATTTACATATGTTTTCAGCATAACTCTGAATGGTATTAATGATATCTTGATGTGTTGGGTATTTTTAATATTTTTTATAAAAAATAATGTTTACATTTTTTGTCCGCTGTGACGGAGCAGTTTTAACTGTGAACTACGTTAAGAATTTAAGATTCAAATTATACCTTTTAAAAGAAGAGAGAACGTCACAAATCACTTTCCTAAATTATGACAAGTAGCCTCTAGGAGATCTGGGGTAATGTAAATCTGAGATATAAAAACTCTTAGCATTTTTCGGAGGTTTGTACTGAAATTAACATGAATCAACATGGTGTAAACTCAACATAATATTTAGAATACGTTTTCGCCAAGACGTCTTAGAATGTCACGTGTAGTGTAAATTGTTACGCGGAATATGGCATACATTCATGGTTGCGCGGTATTTGGGATACGGGTGAATATGCCATACTCACCTGCGGTATATGGCAGTATTCCGCAGGTGAGTATGCGATATTCCGCAGTGAATATGTGATGCATTGAATTCAGTGATACTCACTTGCGGAATATACCATATACAGCAGTTGAATATGACATATTCCGCAGGTGAAAAACATGATACAGAAAGACTTGGTTTGATTGGTTGCGAGAATCGACTCTGAATGTAAAACTACGCTGGATTACCAATAATGTCAGTGCGTCGAGTACTAATATATGAATCCTGGATTGATTGGGTAAGTTTATTACGTGAGATTGGTGAGTGATACTTCTGCATACGTTGATGTATTCGATAAACTGTACTGTTGATTCAGTAATCATTATAATAATTTATAAAGTTTTACTATGCAATTGACAATTGCATACTTCCGTATCACGTTCTCATTGGTTAGTGTGTATGCCATATACCACAGGTGAATCTGTTATACACCGCAAGTGAATACTAGTATGGCATATTCGTTGCGGAATATGGCATATTTTTGTATCGTGTTTACCGCGTAACATAAATAGGGATAATATGAATTTATTCGAAATAGCGCACAGACATCCTGCATTCCGACAGATGTATAACCTTTTACCACATAATATTACTGTATATAAGTTACCATAAAAATGACCATGTCAGGTGATGGATCCACAGTAGGCACAACGAAAGGCAAATACCCTATACTGAAATAGAGTTGACTATCATTTTCATGAGTTACCATGCATAACTTGGATTACAGTTCAAACTGAGAAAAGAAGCTTAAAGAGTGGTCGTATATGCATCTCAGAATTTGAATTGTGTACTTTTATTTCGTTTTATTTTTCAGAATACTTTACGAAAGAGATTTGATACGCTCCCTCCTCTAACGTGTAGTTATAAAGAGATATATTATAAATCTAAATTCTTAACGTATTTCAGATTTGAAACTGCTCCGTCACAGCGGACAAAAAATTTAAACATTATTTTTTATTGAAAAAATTAAAAATACCCAATACATAAAGATCTCATTAATACCTTCAGAGTAATGCTGAAAACATATGTAAATATTATCGTGTCGCTATATTGTACCATTAAAAAGAAATAAAAGAAATGGTACATTTTGGAGTATGATACTCCGACGCCGTTTTCAATAGCTTTTACTCTTAGCGTTGTTGGACTTCAAACAGAAGTTAAAGTTACCCGCAAATGATATATTCATTGCATGGAGTCAGTAATTTTCTTTGATATAGCAAAACATATGAGTAAAAAAATTAATTGTGTGGATTTCCTAGTGTTTCTATGAAAAATAGCACGCTCCGTCACAGCGGACAATTTTTTCGATACCAGCCTGTGATACCCTAATGTTTGAACATACGATTGAAAAGGGAAAAGTTTCAGAAATATTAATCCAATATGATTATGGAGCTTTGGTGGTATCATACTCAAATTAACCCATTTATCTCCAAAGGGTCATTTTTAATAAAAAAAAAATTAATAAATTCCTATATTTATCCACTGAACACTTATAATAACAGAACATACATGTATGACTTGTACCAATATTTATTTCACTATCTTACCTTGAGAGTTTTTCACCACGACCTTGATTTCACTTTTGAATATTGTATTTTGTTGACTTATATAAATGTTACTTAGAAAAACTGATTTCAATTTGTGAGTTAAACCAATTGTGTCAAGGTGTATTGTTTTGTTGCATATAACAAGATTCAGTCAGGGTATTTCATTTTTTTAAATCTAACAATTTCTCATATAACATCATATTATTTTTTATTTTTATATTTGCATTGTCAAAAGTAGAAGGAATATCTTGCCTGTTAAAAATGACATAATGTCATAATTTGCTCTACGTTAACATTGTGAAAATGGGCTATTTAAATGACTGAAAGATCTTTCTGACATTTAACACACGTATCTTCAGACAGAGAAAGAGAAAAAAACGACGTTGAAAATTGTGACTATGCTTTTGTATCACACAATCGGTGGGATAAAGTCGTCATGATGACTACGTTAACGTTATTGTGATCGTTATCATGATCGTCTCGCTTCTTTTTGTCATCACAATTTCAGGAAATCCGCTCAACGAATTTTCTCCAAACTCACACACATGATAGAGGATATCCAGTTTTAGAGTTCTGCTTAACTTTTTGGCAGCAAATTGTTTTCCGGCGGCCATTTTTAAGGTTTTTCAATAAATCTTCTCATCGACATTTTAGAAAAAACGCTCATAGGATGTTCTTCAAATTCACACACCTGATAGAGGATATCAAGTTCAACAATTGAGATATCTCAGAATTTTTCTAGATTTAAGCATTTGGGCCACAATTTAGAAGTATGAAAAACAATATTAGTGATCTTATATAGGAACATGAGAGATCTAAATAATAGCATACAGCTCTTTCTTCCTTTGTACATGCATTTATACATTTTTAATTTGGAGGCACAAATTATAATTGTAATCTAAAATGTGAGTATAGAATACTGATACTTTAAACAGTTCCAGAAATCATTCGTAAATCTCTCACTTGGCGGTCATTTTGAGATATGAATCATCAAGATTATCAGCAATCTACTTTCATTTGAGTGTTATAAAGCTATAATTCCCAAAGATCTAAAACTTAACAAATATTCCAGTTTTTCCCCAGACACACAGCCTAGAGTGTTTCTTGGAACATTAATTCTGTAATTATAGACATCTTACTTACAAATATGAAGTTCTTGATAAAAATTTGGGGATTTATGGTAATTAAGATTAATTTCATAATTTTACCCCTTGGTGATGAAAGGGTTAATTCTTTAACTTTGCAACAAGCAAACATCTAAAATCAGTTCAGTTCCTTAAAGCTGACACTCAAAGCTTTCCAATGGTGTATTAGAACTTTTGCTAAAATAGCGACATTCTTTTGACCCTACTTTGCACTATTAGATGTTGTTAACCCAGCTTCTAAACGAGACCCGAAATGTTCATCCTTGGCCAAATTGGACAACAAAAAGCTCTTAATATACCCAGACCAAAACCCGGGACCAAAACGCAACCATCCTCGACTAGCTATTTATGTATTTCATCACCCACACTATCCATTGTCATATGTTTTACAAATCGTGTGCATCCCCTCAGCAAAACCGCATGCATGCAATACCCATGCAAAACACATGCAGCAGAATTTTAACTCATTTAAAAAAACCATGCAACATCCATTCAAATCCATGCAAAGTCCATGCAACATCCATTCAAATCCATGCAAAGTCCATGCGACATCCATTCAAATCCATGCAAAGCACGTTAATCCACATGCAAAGTCCATGCAGGCTGCGAGAAATATTGTTAATAAGTTCCATGCAATGTCCATGCAAAATTGCATGCATCTGCATGGATTTATATGAAAACCATGCAATCCACATGCAATATTGCATGGACTCGCATGATCCATGCAACATCCATTCAAATCCATGCAAAGTCCATGCAAAATCCATTCAAATCCATGCAAAGTCCATGCGGCATCCATTCAAATCCATGCAAAGCACGTTTATCCACATGCAAAATTGAATGCATCTGCATGGGTTTTAACGAAAACCATGCAATCCACATGCAATTTTGCATGGACTTGTATGGTTCATGCTACATCCATGCATCTGCTGTTCTGCCCGTAATATACAATTCGTATACTAGTATCAACCTTACTGACAATGTCAATCAATCAAGGAGCACCTGTTTTAGATTGTGAGAGTTAATAATAGTACTGCTTCCTCCGCTGCACATTAGGTCAAGGATGCCATGTGATCAGGAGTCTTCTAAATGCAACATTTATAATAAGGCATTTAAGCTGACAGATGTCACCACCAATTTCATATGCAAATGAGCTAATTTACACTTTAATTTACACTCAGTTTACACCTTAGTATACACCCACTTTACACTTAAGTTTACATCTACTTTACATCCAGTTCGCACTTAGTTTTCACTTAAGTTTACACTCAGTTTACACTTACTTTACACCCAGTAAATAGGTGACCAATTTCACATGCAAATGAGCTAATTTACACCTAAGTTAACACTTTAGTATACATCCAATTTACATCAAGAGCACATTCTGATTGGTCAGATTTTAAACTTAATTTACAGTTAGTTCACATAGTTCACCTAATGCTTAATTGGCGAAATGCTAACTGCTTATCGCAGGGGGAGAGAATGCAAAGATATTCTGAATTTTGAAGCACTGTGATCAGAGAATAATATTAATGAAGATACAGGGGGTCCAAAGCATAATGAATTGCAAAAAATTACAAAAACAAAAATCCCATGTTAAATCCTGTAAATCGCCATGGGGATTTTCCTGGAATTTTCTGTCTAAGCGCTTTAAAAAGTATTTGTAGGAGTTATGCTATATAGTACAAATATCACAGAATGATCAGCATTAAAGATCTATACAAGTAGTTCTGCTCAGATTTTTAAATTGAAGTTTTACACAAAAAATGCTAGAATAATTCTGTCTTGTAAAAAGTTCAAATCCGCCATCTTGAATTATGATGTCACAATGACACTCTTTTGCATATTCAATTTTTTCAAGAAAAAACCCCATAAAATATGGGTCTATATGGGCCTTGCTTCCTTCTCTTGCTTCTAGATTCTTTTACAAATAACTTTTTTATTTTCTCCAGTCTCCAAGGAGTTAATGAATGTATATGTCCTATGTAAAACCTATACAAATAAACTGACCCATATTGAATTACAGCCCAGGATATAATGCCATCATGATTCAGATTAGAATGAATTCTAGGTGAAAAGATCAAAACAAACAGGCAAAGCACAAAAGGTAGAAAGATTCAATGGATATATTGAAAAGAAATTTGAAGCTTAAGAAAATGGATAACTAAATGAACTATGATGATGAAACTGGAACAAATGCACAACTAATACCTAATGGTAAAGTTGACATCAAAATCAAATAAAGTAAAACTGCATCAGGGCCGATGTTATAGGATTTTGTGAAGACTTACCAAAACCAAAATGGCTAAGCCAGCTTTGATTGAAAGAGAGGCTGCATGAGCCTCGTTTTGGAATTAGGATTCAGTCTGATATTGCATGGTTCTTGCATGGATTTCAGTAGTCCATGCGCATACATGCAAAATGGCATGGTACTTGCATGGATTTTAGTTTTCTATAATAAAACAGTCACAGCAAAAAATGCGTATGAATACAATGAAACCTGACATCAGGATTCATACAGGATATGCACGCAGTGTGCCAAACCGGTATAAATCCTGACGCCTGGATTCATACAAGATATGCACACGGTGTGCCAATCCTGTACGTATCCTGAGTCAAGATTTATACAGGATACGCTCGCAGTGTGCCAAACCTGTATAAATCCTGACGCCTGGATTCATACAAGATATGCACACGGTGTGCCAATCCTGTACGTATCCTGAGTCAAGATTTATACAGGATACGCTCGCAGTGTGCCAAACCTGTATAAATCCTGACGCCTGGATTCATACAAGATATGCACACGGTGTGCCAATCCTGTACGTATCCTGAGTCAAGATTCATACAGGAAACGCTCGCAGTGTGCCAATCCTGTATGAATCCTGACGCCTGGATTCATACAGGATATGCACACAGTGTGCCAATCCTGTACGTATCCTGAGTCAAGATTCATACAGGATATGCTCGCTGTGAGCGAATCCTGTATGAATCCTGACACCTGGGTACATACAGGATTGGCACACTGTGTGCATATCCTGAACATATCCTGTATCAGGATTTATACAGGATTGGCGCGTGTAGGAATCCAGTATGAATCCTGCCTCTTGGATTCATACAGGATACGCTTGCAGTGTGCCAATCCTGTATGAATCCTGATGCCTAGATTCATACAGGATATGTACAGTGTGCTAATCCTGTACGTATCCTGAGTCAAGATTCACACAGGATAGGCTCGCTGTGCGCGAATCATGTATGCATCCTGACGCCAGGATACAAATGATATGCACACAGTGTACCAATCCTTTACGTACTCTAAGTCAGGATTTGTATAAGTTTGGGGAGATGGTTTAATCCGGTTTAAGCTCACTATTATAAATCGATCAAGGGATTGATGATGAAAGGATGGGACAATTGGTACATGTATCTTGCCTAGACTCCCAAATATTCTATGGCGGCCATATTTTGCAAATGTACGTACAGTATAGTGGTTATTTACTGGTAGGGACTCAATATGGGTTTTATTACGAAGGACAATATCAAAACTCGTACGAAACCTTTTTTTGTAAACAAAAAAATCAACAATAAGTATGAATCCCACGAATGGGTTTCCTTGATCATTGATCTTAACCACACAATACTAGTATATACTTGTTTGATTGCATTTTTGGTTTTTCACGGGTATGATATTCAAGGGACCTCGATTCCGGGCCTTGATTGCAGTCTATGCATTAGGTTTTATGAAGTACTATTTTTAATTCTTCATTTTAGATATCACAGATAAACAACTAAAATTTGATGTAAAAATATTACCATAGGCCTTTAAAATCAAAGTAACCTGCCATATAGAAATCAATCCTCATCATGTTGCTAACAAACAACAGAATTTGGCATTAATATCAAGTACTGTAGAACTGGACAATAAATTAATGACAATAAGATATTGTTTTAGATCCGGGTTTTGGATTCTTGACCGTTTTTCAAAATTCAAAAACATTTTAGAAATATTGTCCTCGAGATCTTGCTACCCTGTGAATTTTGTAATGATCAGATAAGGATAAAGTATTTTATTCTTAGGTTGAGTAAATGTTACGCTAATTGTCCCCAGTTTCGTGCGACGTGTAATATACAGTTCTACCTTTTCGAAAAAACGTCGACTGGTTTTTCTGTACCTTAAAATTGATATGTGTAAGAGCAAAATATCAACAGTTACATATATTGAAATAGGACTGTTTCAAGAAATGAGTGATTAATAGAAATCTGTTGTGGGAAGCAAGTGGATCTAATTTACCAAAAAATGTGTATTTAAGATCTAGCATGGACTTTCAATAATATCTATCGAATGCCCATGGATCTAGTACATTTGGGGCACCTGGGATAGGGGCCCGGGGATAGGGGAGTTGATCGTCACTTCAGTTTAGCCATTACATATATGTACATATCGTGTAAGTCAATATTGTCAATCAACCAAGTATCCGAGTGCTAGAATGCGGAGCTTGGTTGTAGGGGATATTATGTATTGCATATAAAGATACTTTGGAGATTTTTAGACATGACAATGAGTGATATAAGCCAGACATATTGAAACGTTTTGGCTTGCTCGGTAGATCTGATTCTCTCTTTAAGTAACCCTGAAAAGTATTACCCAGTAAGAGCATCTAGAATTAGAAAATGTAGCTTTGTCTTCACGCGTCCTTTTGGTATCAGTTATGTTCTCAAATGTCAACCTTTGTGCTTCATTTTGAACTTGGAAGTTGCATTAAATTAATCAAATACTGTATGTGCAGTTGATGTCCATAACTCATATAAGCCTCAACTTGGATTTTTTTGTTGTTCATATGCTTTCTTACGTGTATTTCCATGTATAGTTACTTAATTAGCTGCTTGCTTGGTTCCTCGCTTTGTTTGTTGCTTATATGGTTGCACACTTGCTTGGTTGCTTGCTTTGTTTTTGCTTGGTCAGTTTCTTGCGTTCTGTTGACTGGTGATTGCAAAGTTGGTCGCTTCCTTTGGTTGCTTGGATGTTTTGTAGTTTGCTTGATTAGTCGATCGATGGGTAGGTGGTTCCCCCGGGGGTGGTTCAGTCGGTTGGTCAATATACCAATACGCGATAAGGTTTAATTTCGTTCAGTTAAGCAACCTCTCGTTTGAAGAGCTCTCATGTATGGTACAACTTCATCTGCATCTGGGTTCTTTCCCATTGGATTACACAGGGGTGCTATTTTCAATGCCGCACTGCGGCTCTATTAAACATTTATGTAGAGTTTCATTTGCACAAACGATAGGTATGTATGTAATTAAGATATATGACAAAGCTTTTTGAGCTATAATCCCCAAATCCGAAGTAATGTGTAGTTAAAATGCCATCCAATTCCAGTGACGTCACTGATATCCCATAAATTGCTCAGACGCCATCGAATATCGAAAAATATAAATAATGTTACTTTGAATCTCCGATTATCTTTCTGATTATTGAATAGATTGGATAATATAACTATGCTTGAGGGCTGATGGAAGATCAGAAGCTGAGAAACGTTCAGAGTAATCGACTCGTTCGGCGGGCCAATGAAAATTTGTCCCTTCCAAAGCGATGCATCATGGGAGATATTTATGTAAATTACCACCTGAACTCTTATCGCGAATAGGAGTATTGGTTAGGGTATCGATAATTTTATTTTTCAGTTTTGAGACCGGAAGTCAGATTTCTATCATGATTGCAGATGGGGGGGGGGGTACGTATATGATCAGATTTGATGACGAATATGCAAAATGTTAAACTGCCTAAGGTTTAAATATTTGACATAACATGAAAGTATTAAATGTTAAGACTATGAAATATGATCTCAATTTTGGATTTACTATCTTTCTACTGTAGCGTCTCCTTTCCTTGTAGCATGTATCTCAAACAGGGACAATGGGGGCACAATAGAAGCGGACCATAAAGCAGAATTCTCAAACGGCTATCTGTTGTAGGATCGTGAATAGTTTTGTTTAGTTCTTCAACTGTTGCCTTTTGTGCTATCCAGAATAGAATATTTAATCTGATTTGTTCCACCTTTCGTTTCGCTCAGTTCTGCAAAATTATGTTGACATATCAACATTTTTGGGTTGTTTCATTTACGAAATAATTGTAATTAAGAGACACTAGATGGGGGGGGGGGGGGTGAGTTTGAATTGATTCTCTTCACAGGATTTGATATACACATCTGTAAGGAGCATACTCGTTTCCCAGTTTGATTTTCAATCAAAACATTATACCTTGGAAATCCAAGACAAATTAATGCTGTAAGTAACTAATATTAAATGATAACAAAAGATTAATTACTTAGTCTATGTCTTTGTTTTTATAACTGCGGAAGTGTACCACCTAAGTTGATTACAGAAGAGATCATCGAGGAATTACTTTAGATTTTATGAATATAATTATTCTTTGCCTCTAGTCTCGTTTCTTAAACCTGCCTCTAATTTGTGACAAACTATTTCAGCTATTTGACAAAACCAAAAATTACTACATTATAGTCCCCCTCCCCCTTGCACTGTCGAAGTCTACGTCTGTTTTTCAAGTCCCGGGCCCACATTGGTGTGTGTAATGTGATATGTGTAAAATATGCATTTAGATTTGTTACTTGGAGAGGCACACAGAAGCAAACTCACTGGAGACATTGATACATAATCAGGATTGAGAATACACGGGGCATTGTACCCGGGGCATTGTATTCTTCGATTTCAAATATATGATTCAAATTCGGAGAGTTATTCTAATTCCGGGTTTCTAATCAAATTATTACTCCTATAGTGATGCAAGACAACAATACACGTCATATTCTGTTTTTGAACATTATCACTATAATTATTTTGGGAACATGAGACATCAACCGCCGATATAGATATTGACAACGTGCAGATGTAAAGTACATGTTCATCATCCATCCTCGCGTGATGCATATGTATGTCATTGTCGCCATTAAGTGTCAAAACCATTTTCAAAATATAATTTACTCTGAGTCAAGATGCTAGAAAAAGCATTTTTATTTCAGATTTCATTTTCCCGTGGCTTTAAAAATGTGAGAACTGATATCATAAGTTACATTGCGAATACGCCGTCTGATTGCTGTATTTGTTAACATAACATCCGAACTAGACGACATGTATATAAATAATCCAATTTACTTTGATATTACAGGTATAACATATTCAGGTACAATATATATTATATTTGTTTTCAGACATATCTTATTCTTAACAATAAGTATTAGCCACAACTCTGATCATGATAACTCCCCCCCCCTCCACTCCATGTGATGCCTTTCAATTCAATTTTTTCATAAATGACATAGTACTGAAATGTGCGCCCTGGAATGTGCGTTGCGTCTACAAATGCATCTAGGCACCAGTCGACGAAAACGAGACAAACCAAAGTCTTCCAACTGATACACAAAAGCACGGTCTAGGTCAGAGTCACCCAAATAATTATATCGGCCATAGCATTTGAGACTATCGGCCATAGCATTTGAGACTGATTTGAGATACATTTCATTCCATTTAAACTGTTTCCCTTGCGCATTTGTAATTATAGTAGACAGGCATTATAGTAGACAGGCAACACAGGGGGGATGAGCATTAACATAATCAGATTTTAGGATGCATTTGCAAATTGTATTTGAAATTCGCATGGGAAGGAAAATGAGTCTTAAAATTTGTCACTCACTCATGGAAATAGTATGATGCCTGAAAACAAGTACGGTATATGCAATCAAAAAATCTTGCCTCCAGACTACCCCCCTCTATTTATCTACCTTGCGTTACTTTTAAGTTAACCTCCGGGTCATGGGTATTCTGAGGCACGCCTCTCTAGCGAAAGCCCGGAGTTTTAGCCATACAGTATGACGCAGGCCAGTAGCCAGGATTTGCCATGGGAGGTTCACTTCTTAAAAAATTCCAAGGGGGGGGTTACTTGTGCCAATGTTGGTCCAAAAATGGCCGAAATCACTTAAAAAGTGTTCAGAATGGTGAAAAACCGCATGATTTTGAAAGATTTTATTTGCCGGGGGGGGGGGGGGTAAATCGAACCCCCCTGGATACGTGCCTGTGACGGGCCAGTTATCTAGAGGGGGCTTGATAATGATCAGGGGTGCCGGGTAAACAAATTCTTATTCCCCGTCGAACATGAATACAATTATATTTGCATGGAGATGAAGGGCTGACGCAAGTGAAGTTAATTTGTTGTTGTATCATATTGGCTAAATCATAAGTAAATAAGTCCAGAAATACATGGACAAAATGTAATCAGAAAGGTGGACTAATTGGTATTATTTGTTTTGATTAATGATTATACATAACTAAAACGCTATGTTAGATGTCTGTAATCCCCCCCCCTCTCACCAAGGGCTATGCATTGTTTCAAGTGATATAAAATCTAGATTCGTAGAACATTAATAAAACAGCCTCGTCACGCCTTATTTCGTACTTTCGCACATTAACAATTTATCACAAAATGTCATGTTGACCTCCATTTGACCCTTTTGACCTACCTTTTGAAAAACAATACTTTTTTGAAGCGCTAATTGAATATTAAAGGGTTGAAAAATACCAACAATATTGAAAAACAGATAAGTAATGATAAATCGCCGAGGGAATTCCAAATATCCAAATCCCTCCACCATTGCGACTATGTGTTATAATGGGCTTTTAATTGAAAGTCTGTTATAAAAAGGTTGCAGACATTAGGCTCTTTAAAGTATGTCATATTGCTATTTATATATACCATTTGTCTTCTATAGATTCTTAAGCATCAAATATCAAATCACAATAGTCCAGGGAAAAAATAATTGTGAATAATGGCAAAATGTTCATTCTAATCTTAATGAAATTCACTTTTTTATCAAATTAACATGGATTTTGTAATAAATTTTAGTAACAATAGCAATCAATAATTTGTAAATTATGTGCAGGATATGTAATCCGGGATATGCACACAGTGTGCCAATCCTGTATGTATCCAGGCGTCAGGATTCATACATGATTGGCACACTGCGAGCGTATCCTGTATGAATCCAGGAGGCAGGATTCATACTGGATTCCTACCTGCTCCAATCCTGTATAAATCCTGACTCCTGGATACGTACAGGATATGTACATTGTGTGCCAATCCGGTATGTATCCAGGCGTCAGGATTCATACAGGATTGGCACACTGCGAGCGTATCCTGTTCGAATCCAGGGGCAGGATTTATACTGGATTCCTACATTCGCAAATCCTGTATAAATCCTGACACGGGATATGTACAGGATATGTACATTTTGTGCCAATCCTGTATGTATCCAGGCATCAGGATTCATACAGGATTGGCACACTGCGAACGTATCCTGTATGAATCCAGATGCAGGATTCATACTGGATTCCTACACGCGCCAATCCTGTATAAATCCTGACCTAGGATATGTACAGGATATGTACATTGTGTGCCAATCCTGTATGTATCCAGGCATCAGGATTCATACAGGATTGGCACACTGCGAGCGTTTCTTGTATGAATCCAGATGCAGGATTCATACTGGATTCCTACACGCGCCAATCCTGTATAAATCCTGACACAGGATATGTACAGGATATGTACATTCGGTCCCAATCCTGTATGTATCCAGGCATCAGGATTCATACAGGTTTGGCACACTGGGTGCATATCCTGTATGTATCCTGACGTCAGGATTCGTTGTATTCGTACACATTTTTTGCTGTGAGTTGCATGGACTTTGCATGGTAGTTGCATGCTGCATGTGAATTGCATGGTGATTGCATGGAAATATATTTTGGGGAATTTTTAAAGTTTCATTCGCATGGACTTTGCATGGGCATTGCATGGATAAGTGCATGGGTTTTCTGTTCAGCCTTCTCTTTCCAAGCGAATTGCATGGACTCGCATGGATTTTTTCTGATTGCATGGACTTTGCATGTGCTTTGCATGGAAAAAATCCATGCGCTTTTGCTAAGGGGATCATGATCAAGACTCACGAACTTTGGGAAACATTATCTATTTACAAATATCGGTGCATTTTATGCGGTACGACTTGAATACGAATGCGGTTCATTGCTGTATGTATTATAATGGTACGCAGTTGTCACGGTTATTGACTGGATGGTGGCCAAGCATTTTCGGGTCCTCCACCCTCTATTGATACAATTACCTCGCAAACACACAATGTATATTTTAATATGTAAACTCATACAGCTTTAAAATAAGAGAAAAACAGAAAGAGAAAGTGCCACACACTTAACCTATCATTTATTAACATGATATCAATAAAAATCCAGAGATTAACATGTTTGGGGTGACTTTTTATTGATGTTATAAAACGTTATTTGTAAGGTCGTACACAGCGAACATCCGCTGGCTGATTCATGAACTGTGACCAGTCATTATTGTATGTATTTCGATACTATCCTATCCAATATTGATACGCCTTGGTTCACATAGTTAAGATGCTTGGATATACAGTATACACAGTAACAATGATAGAAATGGACTAATATTCTAATTATATGGACTTGTAATTAATATTTGATAAAATAATAAATATAAATTATCATCAAAAAGCGCCCAATATGGATTTAAAATTACATACAGTATTTTTGGTACTCACGAACACTTTCTTGTGTATTAGAAGCAATGAGGTTTCTACGGACCAGTTTGCAGGGGTGGGTTTTCCCCTCGAGAACACTGCCGGTTACTCATCGATCCCTAGCGGGGGTTACAAGGCGTTTATGTCTCCTTCAATGGGAGAGTTGGGCGATGGCGTTGTAACTGGCTTCGAAACGTACCTCTCGGCCATTTTGCCATTTGAGTTCCAAATATGGCGTCCTGCTTCGGCCGCTAATTCATACACGCTTGTCTTTACATACAGAGTTGAAACGCCGACACTTGGAAATCTGAGGGTAAGTGTTAGAGAATGAGAAATGACCACATCTTATTTAAGGTGTCATATATAAGGGTTATGTACTGGGAGTACAGACGTAGCCAGGATGGATGGGTGTATGGGTCCCACATAAAAAATAAAAATATATGAGATAGAGGAAGGAAGGAGCTTTACAATGCTTTTTATTTGAAGCTTCTAGCTTATTTAAAGGAAGTTGCATCAATTTTTGTAAAATTCAAGATAAATCTTAATCTTTTGGCCTGTTTATGCCACAATCTTTGCCCTGACTGAAAACCGAATTATTTTGGCGATCGCACCCCCTGACTGAAAGCTGGCTACGTCCCTGGGGAGGTTTTGGATAAACCATGTATCCAGAACCGACAACATACACTGGTGATCCACTCGATTACGCTGGTTACCAAAACGAACCGTTTTGGTAACAAAATGTCGGAACGTCGAAGGCACTATTTTTCTTTTTTCCTTATTTCACGCGTTGTAGGCAGAATCCCCATGACGTTTTTTCTCACAACGTGCAGCAGTATCATATGTTTTAGAAAATGTACATGTTTGCGAAAAAATAGCTCAGAGGACAACAGAATCGTCGATTTACTTCCTCACTTAAGTTACATAAACGGTTTTTCGAAAATCAGTTAAGATCTGCACTTTTAACCCAAACCGTTTATGTAACTTAAGTGAGGAAGTAAATCGACGATTCTGTTGTCTTCGGAACTATTTGGTCGCAAATATGTACAATTTCTTAAACATATGATACTGATACACGTTTGTGTTAAAAAATGTCATGGGAATTCTGCCTACAACGTGTAAAATAAGGAAACGAGAAAATCGTACCTTCCGGATGTTCCGACATTTTGTTACCAAAACGAACCGTTTTGGTAACCAGCGTAATCGAGTGGATCACCAGTGACATAGCAGATGTAATCCATAGCTTCTGAGGTTCAAGATGCATTATAGCTCATAAAATCTAAAATTTCGAAAACGTACTTACTCAGGCTGGTATCGAAAGATTTGTCCGCTGTGACGGAGCATGTTATTTTTCATAAAAACATTTTAAGAAAACCACACAATTTATTTTTAACTCATATGTTTCGTTATATAAAAATAAAATTACCCGCTCCATGCAATGGATATATCATTTGCGGGTAACTCTCACTTCTGTTTATTAAGAATTTAAAATTATGTTTTATATGTCTCTGACCTTTGTTGCTTGTAGTTACGCATGAACCAGATCACTGGCGGATCCACAAGCTAACAAGGGGAGGGGCACATTTCAAATTAGAAAAATAATTTCCGTTAAAGATTTTGGGCCCCTAAATCACAAAGTCGGGCTCAAATTTTGATAAATTAAAGGCCGATTTTTGGCCTATAAAGGCCAAGTAATGCCGACTAATTGAGGCCCAACAAATTCCCCTGGGCCCACCCAAGGGAGGCGGATCCGGGCCCCTTCTACCCTTGGATCCACCAGTGCAAACTGCAAATGAAGCAATCCTATTTCAAGAATATTTCTGTCGTTGATTTTGCAAAATAGCGCTTTCAAGATGCAGCGTTTGACTGGCGTTTGATGATTGGGTTACATCCTGGAATTCCGTACTGTTTATGACATGGATATGCATTTTCAATCTTTCAGGTGAATTTACCCGAATCCGAACAATTCCAAGTTAAAGCGGGAGACAAAGTGGGGTTCTACGCCGACTCGGAGGCGTTCGCACTTGGCTCCATCTTTGATATGGCTCTTGCACAAGCAGGCGCAAGTTATGTCATTCTGGACATCAATGCCCCACCTACTGTAGATGTTGATTATACCTGGTCGACCTTTGTTTATCCATTCAAGTTCTCCTTCGGTGCCCACTGGTACAATGGTATGCTTGTTTTGTTATTCCTTGCCATCATAAAACAAAGGAGGAAATAATCCAGAATTCAAAGATGGGCCTACCGGTATCTTCATGTAAAGTTGAACCTGTGAATGAAGATGTTTTGCATTCTAGGTAGTTAACTATATTGATATTAATGATGGCTATTGATGGTTGTTTGGAAGAGGTTGGGAGGAGGATTTGGTGTCACTATATAAAGTGAGGAGATGAATGTTTGAACAAATTGCATCAGTATTTCAATCAATTTTCTTTGGAGATAGGCCCATGTTTGAGTTCTAAATTATTTCCTCTTCGAATAATAATGGATTTTGTTTCAATACGATACAATATCTGTGTATTTTCTACAAAATAAGAAAGAATGAAGAAACGGCATTTTCATGTTGTCCTGTTCTGTTCAACGAATATGAACTTAATGAATGGTACATGGTACAGTCGGCTATTTGCCAAATCGTACAACATATAATATGTTTGTATTAATGCAATATAAATTCATCATATGTATCTACGTATCACACGAAATACGGGCGAATTTGTTTTACAAAACTTTGGTATAATTTTGTCTGTTGTGGAAATAAAGTTTTTCTAAAGTAAATGTTTCTGACTAAAATTGAACAAACGACTTGTATATCTGAAACACAGGACTGGTGTCAAGAATCAAGTCCATGACATGGTCTTATGCCATTCGTTAGAAAGGTACTTGTTATATATGATGATGTTGTATTCTACACGAATATTTGGTATTGAACTTCTTGAACCATTGAACGGTAGATCTGTTTATCCAAACTTAACTGGGGCCGCCCGAAAGTATTGGATTGGATTTGTGTTTACGTTTCGAGGTTTTAACTATGGACCTAAAAACATTCACATTTAGAGGTCTTAGGATTGGAGAGGTGTCCCACATAGGTTATTTACTGGGAGGGATTGAGTATGGGTTTTATTCCGAGGGACAATATGATATTGACCGAGGGAGCGCAGCAACCGAGTGTCAATATGATATTGCCCAAGGTCAATATCATATTTTCCGAGAAATAAAACCCATATTCAATCCCGACCAGAAATAACCTATTTATTCCATAAAACATTCCTCTAAAATGTTACATTTGGATAATGCTTTTATCAATTGGCAATTATCAATTTTATCAATGTTAAAAATAACCGAGAAACCAAAAATAGGTTAATACGTTCCAATACGATTTTTTCCCCGGGGACAAAATCAATCAATACGCTTTTTATTCCTTCATATTTCTCTGGGAAAACAGTAGTATTATGGAATAAACAGGTTCTACTGTCCACTCAATTCACATGTGTTTTTTTCTTATTACAAAACCGTTTGGTTTCAGATACTGATGAGTGCCTTACTGGCAATGGTGGCTGTGAAACGACTTGTGAGAATACAAAGGGGAGTTATATATGTAGCTGTAGTTCAGGTTTCGTCCTAGCAGCTAACAGCCATGACTGCGAAGGTAAAAGATAATTAAAATGCCATTTTTGATTTTTTTAACTGGAAAACTCCGTGACCAAACATCAAATTCAGAAGTATGTGAGGGTTTGAAACAGCGGATTGACTGGGCTAGGTGTGGGATATACGACACTTAATATTATGTTCAGCAGTATTTATTTTGCCCTACGTATCATTCTAGGATTTATTTTATATATACCGCGTGACACAAAAATGCCACCCACCCACATAATGTTGCATAATCTTTTTGTCTGCAGAAATTCTGATAGTCTTGCTTCAAGACAGTGGACATACCCCCCCCCTCTTATCTATTTTACCACACAACGCAATTACCGAGTTTCTTTTTACCTTATTCTTACCATTGTTTCATATAAAATCAAAAGGCATTTTTTTCTAATTGTTTGACAAATGACTCATCAATTTCAATTACCATCTATTTTCCATAAAAATCATTGTCCGTGACTATTCTCTGAAAGAGAAGGAGATGCAGATACCACAATGACGGAGACTTTGAAGATTTTTGAAACACGGGACTTTTGATCGCACGCAATTTGTTTATATACTATGTAACTGTTTGGTTTCAGATATCAACGAGTGCCTTACTGGCAATGGTGGTTGTCAAACAACATGTACTAACACACCACCTGGGAGTTTCACCTGTAGTTGTAATCCTGGTTCTGTCCTAGCAGACAATGGCCGTGATTGCGAAGGTATGACATAAATCTTTTGCAGAGGTTGACTTAGCTTGTATTCGCGAATGCAACTAACGCCTGTCGTCTACTGGATAAGCCTACTATAGTAACTCATTTAAATATGTATAGTACCTGCCACTATTCCATTCATATTTAAATAGTAAGTTAATCCGGTAGCCGACAGGCGTTAGTTGCATTCTCGAATACAGTGACTGGGCTTTTATAGATGTAGACTATTTGTTTAATTGTGCATGTTTGTCCTGCTGGTTTTCTGGAATAAGGGAAATAAAATTGTTCAGCATTATTTGAGCATTTATGATATTAAGATCAATGGGTAAAAGAAGTGGAACGGATCATGCCTAGTTAGGGAAATGGGGCGGTATAAAAGGGTAGGAGGTCCTATCAAATTATGGTCTTACTCTCCATTGATTTATAAGGTGACCTAAATACTCTTTCCCTTATTATCATATTAAGTCATTATCAATCTCAAGTCTCATTATGATATTATATTATCTTATCCACAATCAGGGCCAGCAAGGGCCGTTTAGAAAGGGGACCATAATCCCCGTGGGACCATAATTTCACAATTGGTGACATGTGTCTGGGAAACCTCTCATTCGAGGGACAATGGAATATGTCACGGCACCACGGGCTAAGGGCGATAGAAATAATTTTTTAATGAAGAGGGTAGGGCAAACAATCTGTGTTTGATTAATAGAACTCTACCGCTGCTGCCATCTTTGAATCGCCCCAAAACTTAACCGCTTTGGCATCACTATTATTGCTTTACCATAACATGTCATACAGCATCATGTTATCATGTTCAGTGGTTAATTCAGGCGTAACATAAAAACAAGAAACCACACCAGAACAAAAGTCTAATACCATGTATAACTGTTAATTTGACGCCATATCTATACTCACGAGTAAACAGCTTATTTCATTTACCCGTGTCACACATTTTTGCGATTTCAACACAGCTTTAAAATTAATCTAAATAAACTTATTTGGGATTGCAATTTGTACTAAAACGTTTTCAAGAATACCATCACAAAACAAAATACAAAACATCTACCACAAAGTTCTGTTTATAATATTCTAGAACCTCTTGAATACGTAACAATTCTATCTCTACTTGCAAACATTCCAAACAGTAGAAATTGTGCTTAGGTATGCTGGCATACACATATTTGAACAATAACTTTACTTGAAATAAAGAGTACGATTTTCACCGGGGAAATTCCGAAAAGATGATCAATACTAGATATCATCCTTTCCCATTGAGCCACTAATCTGTCTGAAAAATAAATGTTAACTTAGGAATTGATTTAGGAATTGGTCCTGGGTAGATTGTATGACAGAGATCTTTAATTATCTTAAATGGTTGTTGTCTTTCCAGGAGTGCAGGTAAAATAACATCCTTGAATGTATTACTAAATACTACCTATACTGTACTAGTATAATGTCATGTATTTCCTCATAATTTCATCACATTTCATACTTATATATTAACACTTTCCTAACCCTACTATCACACCAAACTAGTTCTCACTACGTTCTCGAAAACGGGCTTCAACTGTGTACGAACGGACTGGACCTACTAAGAACCGTTTGGGATATATTTACAAACTTCATCAAACGTACTCAAACGGGTAGGTCCTCTAGAACTTAGACAATGCTCAAAATGTTCTCGTGGTCGTCACGTTCTACAATTAGAACGAGTGACAACGTACTAACGACGAGCTGGACGTACTACGAACGGAACCGTCGCACTTCAATCCTACAAGGGACGTTTTAACAACGAGTTGAACTGTCTGAGGACGTGTTGAGAACGAGGTAGAACTAATTGCAAACGGGTTTAAACTGATTAAGAACGTATTTAACACTGCTAATCAAATGAACGAGTTAGCAAAAATATAGCTATCACACCAAACAAGTTGCCACTGCGTTCTTCAAAACTGGTTTTAAACTGTGTGCGAACGGAATGAACGGAGCTGCAACTTTTTAAGGTCTATTTACGAACTTTATGAACATTCTCAGACGGGAATGCGATTTTAGAATTTTGAATCGATTCAAAATTCGATGGCGACCATACCGTTCTGTAATCAGGTCATGTTGACCTTCTAGACTAAGGGATGCGTGCTACGACGTTGCACACCGACGTGGTGCGACCTGAACGAACTGCGAACGAGATGGACGTATTGAAGACTGTTTAAGAACGAAGAAGCTAATTATTTCAGACATATTTCCCGACCACAGCCAGATTGAGCCCGTTTTACGACGTTTTCGTAGGACTGGCAAGAACGGGTAAGAACTAGCTTGGTGTGATAGGGGGGGTAACCCTACTATCACACCAAACTAGTTCTCACGACGTTCCCCGAAAACGGGCTTCAACTGTGTACGAACGGATTGGACGTACTTAGAACCGTTTGGGGTCTATTATCAAACTTCATCGAACGTACTCGAACGGGTAGGTCCTCTAGAACTTAGAACATGCTCAAAATGTTCTCTTGGTCGTCACCGTCTACAATTAGAACGAGTGACAACCTACTAACGACGAGCTTGACGTACTACGAACTGAACCGTCGTACTTCAATCCTACAAGGAACTTTTTTACAACGAGTTGAACTGTCTGAGGACGTATTGAGAACGAGGTAGAACTAATTGCAAACGGGTTAAAACTGATAAAGACCGTATTTATCAACGAGTTAGAAAAAATATAGCTATCACACCAAGCAAGTTGCCACTGCGTTCTTTAAAACTGGTTTTAACTGTGTGCGAACGGAATGAACGTAGCTACAACGTTCTACGGTCTGTTTACGAACTTCATGGACTTTCCCGGACGGGAATGTGATTTAGAATTTTGAATCGATTCAAAATTCAATGGCGACCATACCGTTTTGTAATCAGGTCATGATGACTTTCTAGACTAAGGGACGCGTTATACGACGTTGCACACCGACGTGGTGCGACCTGAACGAACTGCGAATGAGATGGACGTATTGAAGACTGTTTATGAACGAAGTAGCTAATCATTTTAGACAAATTTCCCGACCACAGCCAGATTGAGCCCGTTTTACGACGTTTTCGTAGGACTGGCAAGAACGGGTAAGAACTAGTTTGGTGTGATACGGGGGTTACTCTATGGCTGATGCTATAATCCCATGGCGCTAAATAGTTTAGAAGTTTGCTTCGCTCCCTCATACATTGTTGCATTTGTAGCATCTGGTGCGACAACAAATGAAGCAACTACAAGTGATGAAACAACCACTCCTGGTAATGGGGCTACGACCAATCAAGTAACGACCGAAGTTACTGTTCCAGCGACTACTAAAGTAACAACCAATCAAGTAACTACCGAAGCTACTGTTCCAACGACTACTAAAGGAACAACCAATCAAGTAACTACCGAAGTAACTGTTCCAACAACTCAAAAAGTAACAACCAATCAAGTAACTACCGAAGTTACTGTTCCAACGACTACTAAAGGAACAACCAATCAAGTTACTACCGAAGTTACTGTTCCAACAACTCAAAAAGTAACAACCAATCAAGTAACTACCGAAGCGACTGTTCCAACAACTCAAAAAGTAACAACCAATCAAGTAACTACCGAAGCTACTGTTCCAACGACTACTAAAGGAACAACCAATCAAGTTACTACCGAAGTTACTGTTCCAACAACTCAAAAAGTAACAACCAATCAAGTAACTACAGAAGCTACTGTTCCAACAACTCAAAAAGTAACAACCAATCAAGTAACTACCGAAGTAACTGTTCCAACAACTCAAAAAGTAACAACCAATCAAGTAACTACCACAGCTACTGTTCCAACAACTCAAAAAGTTACAACCAATCAAGTCACTACCCAAGTTATTGTATCAACGTCACAAGAAACTACGGAAGCTATTGTCTCAACCACTGTGACCGATCCTGCTGACCCTACAACTGGTCAGTACTTAAAACATACGACCAAAGCGTTAATAATTCGTATTCTGCCAAGCTTATTCAATAAATACTGGATAAGTAGAACCTCCCCAATAGGGGAGATGAAGTTTGACGAAGCCCTGGGTTTACATATGTTCTTCTCTGACTTTTTTGGGGTTTATTGCATGAGTGGTGATAGGTAATTTATAATTTTAGGTGGGTTAGGGGTATTTAAAATAGAGTTACAACTTAATGTTGATTTCTCACATTTGGGGTTTGCACGAGAGGTGATAGTTTAACTGTTTTAGCGGAGCTTTTTATGTCTTTAGCATACATGCACTGAACCAAAGGTGGAAATCCATTTTTCACATACTTTTCAGTTAGTGAAGTAACCACGTCAGCAGCACCTCTATCCAGTTCTCCCCCAACTCTCCCAGACGGAGGCTCTACACTTCCAGACTCGGGAGGTGGTTCAAATACGACACCAGCAAGTTCTGTGGGACCACCAGGTGACAAGGGAGATCCGGGGCAGAAAGGTGCAAAAGGAGAACGTGGGAATACTGGGACGAACGGAGCAAATGGCGATACTGGTCCAAAAGTAAACAGAATTAGAATCATATTTTTCTCAGAATCAGTTTTTCTACATTGTGTTTAAGTTATAACCGTCCCGTCATCCACATCTAATCCAAGATCTTGATGGTCTCATTCTTATAATCCATAGATCATAATAAATCAGATTCAGTTCAGGGCAAATATCCAAATATTGACATGGTTGATCATAAGGAACGTAATTTGTGAACTTATGTTTGGAAGTCATTATCATCCCCATACGCATGATTCATGGCTACATTTAGGAAAGTAGAAGATCGCTAAACAATCCATTGTTGCATAGATAATACCATTGTGTCATTTAGAGCGATCTGTACAATTCAATAATATAAATATTGTACAATAGTATACTCTTCATATCATACAATAGCATACTCTCCAAATTGTACGATGACATACAGTTACTCTTCACTTTGTACATTTATCTCTAGGGCGACGCAGCTTCAGCAGGGGCCAAGGGAGACACTGGCGTTGAAGGTGACACGGGACCAAAGGGAGCGCAAGGGAACATGGGGAATGAAGGATCAAAAGGTGAACCAGGTAAGGAAAATATACAGGAAGAAAAAACGTCATTATGTTGCAACAGAAAAAATTAAAGTACAATAAGAAATTTGTTCTTGATGCATCGGAAGTGCGGTAAATTCACCTGACCCCAATAGATATTTTTGAACCAGACAAATATACGTCATTACAGGAATACGAGGTGACGATGGAACCAATGGTCAAAGGGGAGAGCGGGGAGAAACAGGACCAAAGGGAAATCAAGGCCCAGAGGGTCCGGCCGGTGATGGTACTATAGGACCACCTGGCTCCCAGGGACCCAAGGGTGATTCTGGAGAGCCTGGTCCCAAAGGAGATCCAGGAAGCAATGGCAAGTGATGACGTTTTTCCACGAGTTAAGTAAAAACAAAAATCCCACATGAATCAAACTCCCTATGTCCAAGGAAAAGACTCTCCAAAGACTAAAAATCCTCCACGAGTAAAAAACTCAATGAGTACAGATCGAGCTTACTTCAAATTCTGTCAATTATATTCAACTCCTTAATATTCATCATTGCTATCTCCGTATTGAGCCAGGCCACAAAAAAGGGGTCTTATCACAGGTTTTTTCAATATTCTGATTTATTGTTTATCATAAAAAGCACAAAGAGAGCTTTCAAATGAGCCATGGCTTGTGTCTTAACAATTTTTCCTTGCAGATATAGACCAAAAAGACGGATTTGAATTTAGCACATTTTCCTCTTAATCTTTGGCACACTTTTGACTCTGTAGCACAATTTTAATTTTTGTGATAAGACCGGTTTTCCTATGGCCAGGCTCATATATAGAGTGAGTATAGGACGAAATAAATGAAATTCTTAACAGTGATGAATTTTCGTCCCATTTTCGACCCATTTTTAACTATACTTTTTGATTATCCATAGGTTCTGCTGGTGGCGTTGGAGCGGCTGGAGCTAAAGGTGGACCGGGGGCTAAGGGTGACACTGGCACCCCCGGCACAGATGGATCGAAAGGAGATAAGGGCCAAGCTGGACTACAGGGGGAGCAAGGACCTACATTCTCTGGTAAGTAATGTTTATATATGATACATAAAGAGTTACCACGCTTTCTCTGATTGTTAAATGTACATGGTAACCTAGATATAAAGCAATTGCGTCATTTACAGAAACTGCTAATGTAGTCATGGATACAATCTGTTATCATCTATCATAATAAGAGAACCCTGAACTTTAAAATTCATAAAATTACGAAAGTTTCTGTTAATGCCCTCCCCAGACCCCCCCCCCCTGCACTATCTAATTATCACTATTATCACTATCTAGAGTTTACGTCATTTTGGCTCGTAGACCTACAGAGGGGGATTAACACCAGAGTTCAAAGATGACATGACATACGCTTATTATGTAAACCTGTACTGAGATGACATACACCTCTGATTGGTCCGAATCGATAAACAAAAATGGCGGATTTTAAAAATTTCCAATAACGCTTCGAATAATATAATGTTTATTACTGGCGTATTAACCAATATCATACCTTGGTTTTTCACATTAAGATAAAAAAATATGTGAGGATTATGTTTACATCGATTAAAATATCACTACGACGCGCTTTGTTCGAATATTAACTGTTGAGAACTTGCGCAAACAAAGGTGGTACGCAAGAGACGTATTATGTCAGTCATCGCTAAAGCTCTGGGGCTTTCCCTCCTCTTGTAGGCCTATAAACATGTAATCAACATGTTTTTTCAATAATTTATGTTTTAGACGTGAATGAATGTTCGGTCGCTGGAGTCTGTGAAAGTAACTGTGTCAACACCTTTGGTTCATACTACTGCACTTGCCCCGCTGGATACAGCCTCCGAACGGATAAACGAACATGTGCGGACATTAACGAATGCTCCGTTGACAATGGTGGGTGCCAACACGAATGTTTGAACACTGACGGGAGCTTTAGATGCGTCTGCTCAAGAACCGACGAAGAACTGGGGCTGGATAGAAAATCCTGTATCGTGTCAAAGAAATGTGGTTTGAACAATGGAGGTTGCACTTCCGGTCAAATGTGTGTTGAGTCGACCCCTGGCAATGCCCCCTATTGTCTATACGAGGCAACCGCGTCATTCCTCGCACCGTCCTCCCCAAATGCACAACAGGCAGTCAGTGATTTAGATAATGCTCTCTTGAACTCCACGACGTTGCTCATCCTCATCATCTGGATGATTGTCGTGACCCTCATCTGCTTCATGCTCATAATTGTTCTATTCAGTATACGTAAAGTGCAACATAATGAAGAAATGCAGGGAATCAAGGGCGGGCGTTTAGACTATAGTGATTATGGCAGGCAGAGGCCAGAGGCATACCTGAGGGAAAACATACACATATATTAGGCCATATAGATTTTATTGACTTATACACCATATTCCAATTATTGTAAATTTAAAACTATTACAGAGATAGTCCAGAACGCCATGAAGGCTGACTGAGTAACGACTTTTGAACATGTGTGCGCATGACGTCACTACATTTATGAAAGACAATATTAAAAAGATCCAATATTTTTATCAGTTGCTGTTTTCCGATATTTTTTGTTTGGATAATTATTTACAACATTGAACTGATAAAAACTGTTCTATTAATTCATGATATTACAGGTAAAATCCGCAAATGTTTGTCACATTTTACAGTAATGGGACTGTTTTGTTGAAAATCATTATTTTGGCATGGATTAATGGATTAATGAGGATTAAATACTTAATTAAATGTCAGCAGTTGAGGATTCCAGGTTGCAGTTAGCTTAGTGAACAAATCTAAAATTGGCATCCCTAATTTAAATATTGTATAATGTACTTTTCGTCTAGGTCAAGTATTTTGATTCTAGATCATGAATATGAATGCACAAATATGTAAATACGTATATTTTTAAATAAATATTATTGTACGATAGCGTATAGCAAATTTAAATACTGTTTTCGTGTAGGCTATACTAAATGTATCCGACAAATAATATATTTGCAAGGTCATTCACTTCAAATTCTGAAATAATATTGCAAGGCCAATCACTCTTCCCCTCAAAAGTTTGCCAATATCCAATGGGCCACATTTAAAGAAAATAAATATAGTCATATTCCAACCGAATGTAAGTGCGGAAAAGGCGATTTCAAACATAAAAAATGCTATAACACACAAGCCAACAGGGAGTTAGGAAAAGAGAGTACCTAAACCCTGTAAACCACTTGCCAAACATTTATAAAAGAGAGTACCTAAACCACTTGCCAAACATTTATAAAAGATAGTACCTAAACCACTTGCCAAACATTTATAAAAGATAGTACCTAAACCACTTGCCAAACATTTATAAAAGAGAGTACCTAAAACACTTGCCAAACATTTATAAAAGAGAGTACCTAAACCACTTGCCAAAAATTTGGAAAAGAGCATAGCTAAAGCTTAGCACAGTGTGACTATTTGGCAGTCTTCTGGTCTTGTGTCAGAAAAACCCTTCAGATTCTTTTTTATTCAAAATCTATTAAAATCTAATGCAATCTCAATGGTTTAATTTATACAACCAAAAAGCAAAATTCGTCCCAAAACCTATAGAAGTGAACAATTCATCTCTGCATGAACTATGCTACGAAACCACGATTATATGATTTACTTAAAATTATCTCTTATTTCATATTAATTTATTGGATATACTGAAAGTCAGCTTTATCCTTTAATACTGTAAGAAAAACATCGAAATCATAGTTTGTTCAGTATTAAATCCATTTAATAACACCTTCATTGTTATTGGATTATTATGATACATAATAGCGATTACGTACATTATACCCCAGTTTATCCTTTCTCGAAATATGAAATACAAGACTTCATTGGAAGAAACATAGAGTAAACATTTGAGTATTAACTTCATGTACACTGCTTATTGTGATAAAATGTTGATTTTTGGCTAGTATGATTTGAAACGTATATTTGAGTTGGATATTCTATGGACTACTTTTTAAAGCGGATGTATGGAGAAACAAGACACAGATATCAAAATAAATGTTAGTTACGTTGACGTAACTAGCCACCATAGGGTAAGTAAACAACCCGACTATTCCGACTCTTGCCGAAGTATACTGACCTAATCCCAAGTGTTCTAAGTTTACATATTTTTTCAAATACATTCGATAGATGTCTACGTCAGTTTTATTAGTTTAGTTTTTTTTTATCATTTTATGGTTTGATTTATTTTATTCGAAAGATGGCTCTCCTCATGCTCACTCTGGTTGATTTCAATTGCTGAATTATTCTACAAGCAGGAATGATACGTAACGTCATTTCACGACCACTGATTGTGACTTCTACTTTTATATTGTTGGCTCAGGCACTGACCTCCCTCATTCCATTCTTACGTATGATTTAGCGAACTTTGGACCGAATTGTTATTGTTAGTTTAAATGGATGTACAGGTTTACGAAAAAGACCGACCCCACCTGCCAACGACCGGTTGGTGTTTTCCAAAGGTAACCTCAAAACAGGGTTTGAGGAAAATCCCACTGCAAAATAATGAAATAACCATGTAGATATCTATAGAGTATATTGAGAAAATAATTAAGTAAACTCGAAATACTTGGGTTAGGTCAGAATACTTCGGCAGAAGTCAAAATAGATGGATAGCCAAGAACAGTCGGAGCTCCACATATGTTTTTCTTTTTTCTTTTTTTTCTTTATTTCTCTATTCAAACATTACAAGTACAATAATAAGAACAATTCAGATATTTTTCACACCACCTCCATTCATTCAGACATTTGCAATTATGTTTTATACATTTTTAATATCATTCCTCTGATTTTAAAATGTGGATATCCGTCAAAATGTCTTATATTTTCTTTACAGGATGATTTTTCTGGAGAAGATAATGCTCCTAAGAATACGTCTCGGTTACTTCCGAACCGACGTCTTCAGCACCAGCAGATCCCAGAGAAACATAAGATTAACAGAGCAGGGCCCCAGCGTCTTTCTGTTGTCAAGGAAACTGATGGCGTAGAACGGCGAAGCTCAGACGTCTGTAGCGAATCAGGAAAGTTGGGAACCAATAGACGAGTATCTACGGCTGCGCAATGGGAAGATGAGTGGTTAAACTACGAAGAGGATGATCTTCTTGATGTTATGCCAACAACCACACAAAAACGACTGAATACAGCGCCATCTAACAAGACTGGGTTTGTTGCTTGGGATGATGGTGCGTATTTCCATGGCGACCAAGCTAATACTGAAATTTCCCAATGATAACTACAAATCGGCAGTCTCCATTCATCTTCAGAATTGAATATACATCCAATTTCTTATATCATATCAGACATACATTCAACACCGTTGATTGGTAGTGCCATTAGCCACAGATTAATGACACTTTTTGGCGTAAATTGAGAATAGAGGATAGAGGGGTGCGCGGATAGTCGGAAGTTACTGCCAATAAAAATGATATAATAATAAAATGTTGATAGTCACCTTGTAGAAAATGCAGTGATAATTGCTATGTTTGATAAAAAAAATATTAGCGCATTTAATTCCCTTTCTAACATGCTTTATTTCATGAAAATCTATAGCCACTATTCTTCACGATTTTGAGAGAAACATGTTTATTTTAAAATCTTTTAGATGAATTCCTCTGAAATTTTTATATGTTCCTGAATGTTCATGCAATTTGTGGTAACAGATTTTTATGAACAAAAAGAATTAATTATTATTATTAGTTTGTTTTAAGTACACACCATCATGAAATTATCCAACCATATATGGAATTAATTCTGTTCCAGATGATTTTGAAACGGAGGAAGAGCGAGTGAAGAAAGAAACAGAACGGAAAAAGAACTTTTACCGCTCTGCCTGTAAACTTGCCAGAAGTCAGCCCATAGACCACGTGACTAGATCAATCACTACACCGGAAATGAACCTCCAAAATCGACCCATGTCAACCGATGAAGTGAAAGCTATTTCAATATCACTAGTAGTACGTTTGTTTCCTTGATACTCCGCCACAAGACATGTCAAACATTTATCTAATTCCAATTGTTCCAAGAATTATAGAACAAATCCAAAATCGGAATAGACTAGATGCGAGTAGAAATTTTTTAATTTACGGCATTAAATATTCAAATTTCAGGCAAAGTGATGTCATATTTGAAATCTTCATACAAAAGTAAATTTATGAATATGGTTTCGAAAATTGTTTCTCAACTTTGAAAATTTATGACTTCTAGTTCCTGGAGATTCCCCATAGATCCCATGTTATAAAATCACAATAACAAATGTTTTAAATTTCTTGTATTGGACACTTAGGTAACATTTTATTTTACTGAAATTATTTTAATTTGCATAACTATATTAGATACACATGGGTGATATGAAAAAATTGAACCACTACAACAGATAAAAATCAAAGTTAAAGGGAACTTTCTACTTTACCCGCCATGCTATCTGACCCAAACGAGGCACCAGCACCTGGTGGTGAAACTGGTAACTACCTACTCGTATCTGAGTTATTATGAATTCGTAAGACTAGCTGACCATGGTTTTTTTCATCCGCTCCAAGATGTCGTTTACTTTTTATCTAAGTAAACTGTTCATCATGTCACTGTCACCGTGCACAAATAGTGTATTTAAATGTTCGTCTCTTACATTTTTAGAAAAATACCGATGTCCAAAAGTTGGACTTGACGCATAGTCAACTGTCAGAGCCATCTGTTGGATATGTCACTCAAATGATACAAGAAAACGTCTACATTACAGAACTTGTAAGTTGTTTAATTGCTATTAAACTAAAAAAAAGAAACTCCCCGAAGTAGCAAATCCCACCTAATGTCCTGGTCAAATTTTTCCGATTCATCGGACGGCGCCCGACCGATTGAGTGTTTTGTTCAAAACGGAATTAAACAAAATACTCAATCGGCCGGGCGCCAGCCGATGAATCTGGGCAAATGTGAACCAGGCATTACAAAACAAACACGTCATTTTGACATTTTAACTAACCAATCAGTAGTAGGTTTGCCTATAGTGGTATCGTCTCCTTTTGCCTAAAAAACCTGCACCCATGACATGGCGCCATGTTCTTGAGTAATTGTCATGTGACCATAATTCATCAGCATTTGGACCAAATCCGAAAACTGATATTTGCATCTACAGTATAAGAAATGAAAATGGTATTTTCCTGAAAAGTGACGGACATTTTGAAATCAGCAGCCACATTGAAAATTGGGCCAGATAACGTCATTGGAATTACTCCTGTTGTAATTTTGTACATTGCTCGATATGTATCCTCCAAAATATGGAGACTTACGAATTACTATCATCTCATACAGATCTCATGAATGTATGTATCTACAAAGCATACACTGTACACGTATTAACGTATACGATCACAAATTAACCATGAGATTTTATCCCTTCCTGGTGCATTTGGAATAATTTGAAATGCTTTTCAGAGTCTTGCTGATAACAATCTTGGTACACCTGGTGCTAAACTGATTTGTAATGCATTGGTCGCCAACTCAACTCTCCTTCACTTGGATGTCGCGGGTAAATATATAACTGTACATAGTCTATCGTAGTACTGAACGGGAATTTTTCACTTTCTTTGTTAGCACGTATCTTTCGAAGACATAACGTTTTTGGTGTTTTATATGTACTGTGTTTTTGTTTTTCACATTATCGAGTTTCCCTTTACAGGCAATGGCTTTGAAGACTGCGATGGATTCCATATTGGCAATCTCATAGAACAAAACAATAGTCTAAAACACTTGTCTCTGGCACATAACGGATTCAGTGAGGAAGGAGGAACGATATTAGGGGAAGCATTAAGTGAGTGAGCTTAGGAATTCTTGTCTTTGAAATATTTATTTTAGAAAAAGTTATATACTAATTAAAAAGAATACATGACAAATACTGACACCAAAAGGCATATAAAAGTATAAAAAGTGTAATTAATGAATCAATTAATGACAAATCCCTAGGATTATCTTTTGTAAAATATATTCAGAAACGTCCTCCGAACGCAGGGCTCCAGCCATCATCCACTCCGTTCCTTAATTCTTCCGTGGTTATGGAAGTACGAGGTACGAGTTCTGGAGGCCTGTGTTTGGAGGGTGATTCAGAAAGTTTCATTGTAAGACGACTTATTGTATGATCTGTAAAATGAAGCCCTCTAATTGGTCACTTCTTGTGCTGTCTCGATATTCTGTATTGGCACTCGACTTCGTCTCGTTCCAATACAAAATTTCCCGAACAGAATATATCCTGTATTGCACTTCAAATCATTCAATAACTTATATTATTGTACTTGATTAGCACCCATACCTGTCTTTGATTAGTACATACTTGACATTCTATGGAACGATATTTAAAGCACTACAATCTATATAGCATTTACTAGATGGATGCCAACAATAGTTCTAATAATCTTGATACCAGAGCACACAATTACTTACAATCATGTACAGTATGATGTGACATTTCGCACAATTAAGGGGTCACCAAGCTGTGAAAAGTATTGTTAATCTCATATGACCATCTTAAATTTAGCCATCCTTACCCCATACAGTCATATTTCATAAAATGTGAGACTTATTTGTTATATCACTTTTTAATGAAAACAACATAAGCATAACTTTGATATGAGCATTTTTGCTTCTTATGAATAGTTGTTGTGATCGCAACAATACAAATATATTTGTTGGTGTGCTTATACTTCCCCCTGTTACAGTGTTATGCATCTGTATAAAAATGTGCAATGAAGAATGAAAAGCGATTTATCTGGCACTATACAGAATTACTGATACAATTATATGAAAATTAAGCGTCCTTGCATTCCTACCTGTTAAGTTTTGTCCATTCCTGATTCATTAATGGTTATATATTTTGTCTGACTCGACAAAGAAGAATCATTTAAAGGGACAATCTTGCACAGTTACTCATAAATGAACCTCTATAGCCTATACTCATGCTACTGATACTGCAGGTCGGAATACTGGGCTCGAAAACCTGGATATCAGTTGGAACAAACTACGCAGGCGCGGGGCTGTGGCAATATCTGACGCTCTCAAAGTAAGACGTTCATTTATGCTTACCTCTTCAGGTTTTAATTGTTGTGTCTATAATTTCTGTCTTTGACATGTTTACAGAAAGCTTGTGACTGGAATGGGTTAGGATCGAAAAAGAGATTATATATGCATTTCATAGACACGTTGACATTTGCTCTACGGCGAGCGTACTGCGACTGTAGCTTCAAAAATCGATACGAATTCGACATTGTACTACTTACCCTGACATCTACTGCCCTATTTTCTCGTTTTTTGGAAGCTACGGCTGCCATACGGTTGCCGTAGATCAACTGTAACTGAGGCATTAGTGTAAACCCGGGTGGAATAAAACTGTTTAAGATTTTGTTCAACAATTCTTTTTTAGGTAAATGGAACGTTAACTGTGTTGAATGTTTCTTGGAATGGTTTCGGAATAGAAGGTTGCCTGGCTTTTGGGGACTCACTCGGAGAGAATAACACTCTCGTGGAACTTGATCTGACTGCAAATCGTATCATTCTAGCCTGTTTGCTCTCATTACTACGTGGTATCAAGCATAATACAACATTACAAACATTAAAGGTATGCCGAGAGGTATTTCATAAACGCTTTGACGTATTTAAGCTATTTCATCACGTCTGAACCGTCGCTGACTCCTAATTATTTTCTTAACTACTGAAATAGCGCAATTGTTTGTTCGACAAATGACTTAATTATTTTGTTTTTATCCTCACTATAGATTGGTCATAATTCGTTGACTGATCGCGGGGCGTTTGCTGCATTGAAAGTTATTGGGGAGCATACGGAAGGGAGCATCAACTATCTCGATATCACAGTAAGCAGAAAACTTTGCGCAATGACAACATGGGCATAGTCAAGGACGAAGGCGAGCCAAACACTGTCAGAACGATATTAATCCAGAGGAGTTTTCCAATCTAATGTCTATGATTCGTCTTCAACTTGACTGGCCCATGTTCAGATCCTGGCAAGCCCCTGGACATGATAGCGCACACTATAGATCCCTTCTGTTAGTTTGACAATCATTAATATGATCCTCTTTAAGACCACTTATTGAAGCCTAGAGCGATTTCTATCGAATTCTTGAAAGCCATTTTCCGAACTATTGTAATTCAGGAGCTATATCCCTAGTCAAGCATTAACATGTTGTGATTGGTTATCAATGGAGACTTCCGGTTCCGGTTGTCAAACATATTGTTTTACATATACAGCATTGGGTAAGACTTCAAACAAAGCCAAAGTAGTTTAAACTTTACACAGGGCCTTTAAATATATGCTTTAAGTCTTTAAATATGTAACTTCTTCAATCCTTATCCAGGATGTGCCCGTCGACCAAAAGTTCGTGGAATATTGGCGATCAATGCAAACACATCGCCACTTAAAGGTAACGCACGGAACGATTCTACGCAAGATGAACCGCACAAGCGTCGAATTTGAAGACACACTGGATCCAATAATGATGCTATTTGAATATATGAAACAAGACAACCTACGTCTTGTGGATCTATTTCATCGATTAGATACGGATAAAAGTTCAGATATTGACTCGTCTGAGATACAAAAGGGACTTATGGTAAGGCTAGGATTTGAAGGCATTTAAGTACAAAAGTATACCAAAACATGTCTGATGTTTTATCAATCATATACAGTCACTTTTGTCAAATCGATTTCAAAAACAGTTTTAGTTGACAAATTCATGTCGTTGACAAGCCCATACATTCATGAAGATTATTGAAGAGCATGATATCAGGGTGGGCTAAAAACGCCATTTTTTTCCAAGACACTAGACAAGTTTTTTTCAACCTGTCTTAATTACCAGCGTGCCAAAGTGTTTTTTGGCCCACCCTGTATATTTGTCAACAGTATGGTTACAATTTGTATATATACACTGTTTATACCCTCATTTGCTACTTTCTTCAGACATTTAACATTCCTTTTGACGAAGAAGGGCTTAAGAGGATTATGAAGAAATTGGACGTTAATGGAGATGGTGTCATTGATTTTGAGTGAGTATACGATCAGTGTCTACAACGAATGGAAATAAAAGGGCCACCGTAGCATTCCAGTAACCGAAGCATTAATTGGGCAAATTTATGCTGAGGGAAAATGCACATGTATTAATAATGTTTTTTCACTTTTCAGTGAACTAAAAATGGGGCGACGTGAAAACACAAACAGTATTAAGAAATGGCAAGCAGCAGCTAAAAAGGCTGGCCATAGTGCGGACAATGTAGAGAAATTAAAGAGCAAAGTTGCCAGTTTATTGAGTACAAAACCTGGAACATTAACAAAAGCGAATTCACCGAAAAACTCGTTCGCTGACATTGTGCAAAGGAAGGATGATGGATACCTCAAAATAGTGTTTCAAATTGGATAATTGATAAATAAGCGAGGATTTTCAATACTGGTCATACGGTTGTTATAAAACATTTAATAATTTTTTACAATGAATTGGTATTCTCCTAACATTACACAAAATGAGTCTCCACGAATTTTAGAGTAAGAGGGGCTGATATTGAGTTTTGGTGACTATCCACATGATTAGCAGATCTTTATAAAGCGTTAATTATAATTTTAATGTCGTTTTTAAGAAGAATGCAGGCGGTCGTTTATCCTGTTTCTTTTATTCACATGATCAAATAGATTATACAATAACCAATGACATACAGCATTTATAAACGCAACAAACCCAGAACAAAATACAACAAAAAACAAGATAAATAAAAGTTTACAATGATTAAAAGCAAATAAAAAATTGACCGCAGAGACTACCCGTCATAACTCTTTCATTTTTAAATTATATTGCTGAAATAAGGCAAAACTGCAGGCTGAGCCAAAAAAGTAGGCCAAACAAATGTTAATAACTCCGTCTTCCAACATGGCTTTGAATTCATATTTCACACAATGAAACTGTGTTTAATGTTCTCTAATTCTAGTAACTTTCATTGGTCTACTCTTTATGGTCACGATTTTAAGGCAATTTCAAAAACCCATATAAACCCATGCTCAATGACTGAGTTATTCACATTTCTTGGGGTTACCTTTTTGGCCCACCCTGTATATATGCTCATTAATTTACATACTTGCTAAACCCGTGAAGGCGTTTCTCTGACATTATAGCATTGGGACTTTGAGAAATATCCTAGCTTCAAACAAATCTGTAACCATAGTGATCCTATTCAGCATGCTATTGAGCATATTAATTCGTTCTGGAGCAGTTTCTGTGCTGTGCGAGACAGAATGTCTATTTAGTGATCAACGGTATTCACAAAGCTGTGATTGATAACATTATTGGCATATCATTAGAAAGCTATAAATCCTCTTAATTTGATTAATGATACTTTAAGCAATCATAAGAAAGCTACTTCTCCCATCTTTAATGTCTTTTTTCCAACTTTTTCCAACTATTTGTAAATTCAACCAAAAAGTCATCGTTTTTTCTAAAAACTCTAAAAGTTTACCTAAAATATAGTTTTTAAAGTCTACCTGAAAACTACCATTTCAAAACATATATTTATGATGCTGCGATACCACTATGCCGCTTAGACCTGAAAATACGATTTGAGTACTGCTCCATCGAGGTTACACGGGTGTGATTACTACAAAGTCATAAGATGACTGTATACGATGCTGCAATACAACTATGCCACTTAGACCTGAAAATACGATTTGAGTACTGCTCCATTCAAGGTTACACGGGTGTGTTTACTAAAGCCATTAGTTGTCTGTATACGATGCTGCGATACCACTATGCCACTTAGACCAGAAAATACGATTTGAGTACTTCTCCATTCGAGGTTATGTCACGGGTGTGTTTACCAAAGCCATTAGTTGTCTGTATACGATGCTGCGATACCACTATGCCACTTAGACCAGAAAATACGATTTGAGTACTGCTCCATCCGAGGTTACACGGGTGTGATTACTATAAAGTCATTAGTTGTCTGTATACGATGCTGCGATACCACTATGCCACTTAGACCTGAAAATACGATTTGAGTACTGCCCCATCCGAGGTTACACGGGTGTGTTTACTATAAAGTCATTAGTTGTCTGTATACGATGCGGAGATACCGCTTTGCTATTTAAATCGTTATTCCCGGAATTTTTCCCTCTATTCCGTAAATCGTGGCGTTGTGTAGGTTCTATAGTTTGTTTTAAACAAGGGAATGGCAACACTCTTACAAGGGCAGCCCTAAAGTTCTTGTTCATCACCACGTATATAAATGGATTCCAAATAACGCCTGACTTGGCTATTACCGCCGGGATAACAACAGCCACCATCGGGATGCTGTCGGGGTCACCAATTGCAGCCCAGAGTGACACAATGGCGTATGGACTCCATGATAAAAGAAATGTTCCTGTAAGAAAATGTTCATGTGGGTAACAGTCATACAAATTTTCTATGAGCGATGACATATTGGTCACTATAGACTATTATATGTGGGCAATAACATCTAAGCACATTTTTAGTCAAAACGTGCACCAACTGAAAGTCAATTGTCCAGAAATCAATATAGGTCGTGCAAAATGGTGAAAAAGCAAGTGTTGGACAGAATTTCAGAACGAACCATAATCCAATATTATGAAATTCATCACAAGTTGAACAGAATGTCAATAAGAACCACAATTCAATGGTGAAATTCGACACAATTTGAACAGAATGTCAGTACGAACTACAATTTAATATGGTGAAATTCAACTCGGCGCGAGTTGGACAGAATGTCAATAAGAACCACAATTCTTAATGATGAAATTCAACATAAGTTGAACAGAGTGTCAATAAGAACCACAATTCAATGGTGAAATTCAACACAAGTTGAAAAGAATGTCAGTATGAACTACAATTTAATATGGTGAAATTCAACTCGGCGCGAGAATGTCATTAAGAACCACAATGCTATATGGTGAAATTCAACTCGGCGCGAGTTGGACAGAATGTCAATAAGAACCACAATTCTTAATGATGAAATTCAACATAAGTTGAACAGAGTGTCAATAAGAACCACAATTCAATGGTGAAATTCAACACAAGTTGAAAAGAATGTCAGTATGAACTACAATTTAATATGGTGAAATTCAACTCGGCGCGAGAATGTCATTAAGAACCACAATGCTATATGGTGAAATTCAATACAAGTTGAACAGAATGTCAATAAGAACCACAATTCAATATGGTGAAATTCAACACAAGTTGAAGAGAATGTCAGTACGAACCACAATTCAATATGGTGAATAGAAGAAGTTTTAGAGCAAGTTAGAATATTTTCTTGGGATTTATCCCGTAAATAAAATGCACTAGCGTAAGATCATACGATAAAACCAGTATAGAACGACGCCGTACAAAATAATTTTTAACGGCGTAAAAATTGCTTTTGACGGCGTACAAAATCATTTTTAACGGCGTAAAAAGTAATTCTTTACGGCGTATAAAATCGTTTGTACGGCGTTAAAAATTATTTTTGACGCCGTTCAAAATGACTTTTTAAGCGTACATAATTATTTTGACGCCGTAAAAAAATCAATTTTGACGGCGTACAAAATCAATTGTAACGGCGTTAAAAGTCATTCTTTACGGCGTATAAAATCGTTTTTACGGCGTTAAAAGTATGACGATACATTGGTCCAGATGGCCAGCCATATGATACAGTTTATTTCTCCCCTTAGCAATTACCAACTATGATGGCAATCATCAAAGTCATCTTTTTTTCCATCGCAAAAATCTTTCTCATTTGAACCGTCATGCCAGTGCCAGGGCCAATGCCAGTGTCAAAGCTTAAATTGCTAGTAGTTCTTCGGACCTACAATACAATACAAATATCATTTAGACAAGCCATTTTGAAGGAAGAGTGTGTGTTTTTCCTTTCTTTTATTCCAATTTTATACATTTAGATATATATTTTAAAAGAATTGGTGGCAGCGTGTTGTTATGAAATTGTAGAGAGGTTATGTTACGCGTTGTATTACGGGAAGATTATGAATCGGAACGTCCAAGCACACGCAGAAACTATTTTTCTTCTAAGTTCTAAGTTCTTCATAAATCTTATGTTTTCTACAATAAGAAACGTTTCGGTAACAAAATGTCGGAACGTCGAAAGTACACATTTTCTTTTTTCCTTATTCCACACGTTGTAGGCAGAATTCCCAAGACATTTTTATCACAAACGTGTATCAGTATCGTATGTTTCAGAAAATGTACATATTTGCGAACAAATAGTTCAGAAGATAACAGAATCGTCGATTTAATCCCTCACTTAAGTTACATAAACGGCCGGTATTTCGAAAAACAGATAAGATCTGCATTTTTAACCCATACCGTTTTAATACTATTTTTTAAAAATGCTCCAGGGAACATCCTTAATAGAAAATGAAAGTTAACAAAACACTAAAAAAGACATGCGTGAAAGTTCATGATCGGGTGTCGGAAATCAACGTGTAGCTTAACCTCCCTAATTACTTACGTGAAAATAAATTCTGCCGTAACAGTAAATTATAACACCAACTGGGATAAGAAAGCAGCATATAAATATTGTTATAACATAGGAAGTGTCTCCCGGGGATCGGCCTTGCCAATTTACACTGCACGAAATGTTTGCACCCTCAAGCGTGTAGGAACTCCATCCTAGTAGAGGCATGGTGGCGAACACTACCGATACAGCAACACATGCGCCTATCAGTAATAAGGCAACTCTTTTCGAAATCTGAAAAGATTTATCATTATCAAGGTTACAATAATAAATATTGTAAAGCCATTTTCATTCATTTTGAACATAAGTTTTATTTATTTGAGTCAATATATGAATGATATAGAGAATGATGCGCACTCGTCCATCGGCTTTAGGAAACCACCTCTCTAATTTGCTATGTTGAATTCTTAAAACAAAAAACTCTATTTTCGGTGAATAGCTTTTCCCCTAAATGATATTCCACTAACATGGAGTATTGCGAAAAACGGATCATGAATCGTGGAATATTGTGAATGATGAACACAAAGTTTTTAACAGAGAGTTATTTTTATTTCAAAGGTAAATCAGATCTAACGACCAGCCTGAACAAAACATCGTTAGAATATTTTTCATGGGCTTATATGACTTATATTATGTTTCTTGTCAGGCTTATTTTCTAAAAATCACCATAGTGCATACCTTTGAGATCAATCATGCTAATAACGAATGAGTCATTACTCTTTAAAATCTTAAGATTTTCCGGCCCACCCTGTATATGAGAAAACTAAGGATTTTTATAATGATGTGTTTTCTCCACTTTTTATTTTCCACATAAATTAATGAATGGATCATTACGTTTCAGATGCTTAGAATATTATTATTGGAAAGTTAATTATTCATTCAGGTTGCATGAAATGTCATCACCCCCCCCCCCCTAAAGGATTTGATCCTGCCTTTAGTACATTGGCCTTGAAAAGCATAGACCTTGGCTGAACAATAACATTGAAGATCACTTCCAGAATAAGACATCAGGGGATCATTAACAGAAACTTAGTAAAGCTACGAATTCATAAATCAATTGTTGTAACCATGCATGGATATAAAGAATCGGGATATTGATTAAATGATGATTGTGATTGCAATTCAATAATTTCTGCGATGACGACATGTAGTCCATGGTATGACTTCCGAATATGAAGGATCCGTAGCACACTATAGCGCAGCAACATTTGAAGCAATATTTATGAAGGTGTATATGTCTTGATTCTTTTAAAATACCATTTGTTGAAAAAACTTCCGGCTTTCGGGTCGAAAATTGTATTTCATTACAAGGGGTCAAAAAACGTAAATATTTTGATTCGAACTTTTATACATTTTATAAGACACAGACTGTTATTCTAAGCATACGAACAAAAAAATTGAATATCATAATGTCAAAATTACTATGATTTTACTGTAGATGTCGGTATTTAATTAGTGTAATTACACAAGTGTGTTTTTCAGATTTTGTTTGATTTTTCAAATATGAGCTAAGCCGATTCAACAATTGTATGGAATATTTAGGTAATTTTTTTTTGATTGGGAACTTATTAGTTTTCTTACCAGTTAAAACATTTTATTACCAGAATTTTTCCATATAATCGTAAAGGGTCTAACAACAAATTATTGTCGATGTTTTATAAAACATAATACAATAACAAATAGGTAAGATTCATATCTAATTCGATGTTACAGAGGTATTTGCATGTTCATATATTCCAAGGGCATGTCTAATAATCAATTAGAGTCATATGCAGTCGAACGCCTTAAAATTCTTTCTCGACGTTAGTTGTGGCTATCATCAAGTTTTCTGATGGTTGTTTCTTCTTTGACCTTACCGAAGGATATAATCAAATTTTAGGAAGATAATGATAACGATTTTTCAAATAATAATTATTCATGAATTCGATCAAGTCTTGATGGTTGTTTCATAAGCAACTGAGCTATATCTAACTACGAGAAATATAATTTTAGCTGTAGTCGCAATTAGTCAAGGAAGAGCAATAGGCCCACCTTTATTGATAATGTTCACCGCTGAATAAAAGTTCATATCTTAAAACGTATTGAGACCCATTTTGTGAAAACCTAGCATAATTTAAGCATTTGTCATTCTAATATAAAAGTGATTCATTTGTAGCATTTATCTTATTAATACCCGAGAAACAATACAAAATGTCGATACACTGATGACATAATCTTTTGGTATTGATAAGAAAAATAACCTCAAACTTTCAGGTTAGAAACCTAAATCATATACTTAAAATCATATTTTATTATTTGCTATTGCATTGTGTACTCCAAATTCTGAAAGTTTGGAAGTTTATTTTTTGGAAATTTTTTGACCTCTGTTAATGGCAGGCATAATTCAGCCTTAAAGCCGGAAGTATATTAAACGGTTATAATAAAAATTATTAGGGTACATATGTAGGTATGCTAATGTTAGGTCAAATATCGCTGCGCTATAGTGTGCTACCAGCTCCTTTATTAGACGTCCTAGAGATTTCATACCATGGACTAATGTAGGTGTAAATGAATTTGATTTTCACGTACGTCTACGTGATATAAGTGCGACACGAATATACAGGATATGATAATTAGCAATATGTAGTAGTGTAAATTACATCTACCCACAGGGGTTGGAAACGTGGGTTCTTTCGTTTGAAAAACAAGTAGTGTAAATAACATCTACCCACAGGGGTTGGAAACGTGAGTATTTTCGTTTGAAAAACAAGTAGTGTAAATTACATCTACCCACAGGGGTTGGAAACGTGGGTACTTTCGTTTGAAAAACAAGAAGTGTAAATAACATCTACCCACAGGGGTTGGAAACGTGAGTACTTTCGTTTGAAAAACAAGTAGTGTAAATTACACCTACCCACAGGGGTTGGAAACGTGAGTATTTTCGTTTGAAAAACAAGTAGTGTAAATTACATCTACCCACAGGGGTTGGAAACGTGGGTACTTTCGTTTGAAAAACAAGTAGTGTAAATAACATCTACCCACAGGGGTTGGAAACGTGAGTACTTTCGTTTGAAAAACAAATAGTGTAAATTACATCTACCCACAGGGGTTGGAAACGTGAGTACTTTCGTTTGAAAAACAAATAGTGTAAATTACATCTACCCATAGGGGTTGGAAACGTGAGTACTTTCGTTTGAAAAACAAGTAGTGTGAATTACATCTACCCACAGGGGTTGGAAACGTGGGTACTTTCGTTTGAAAAACAAGTAGCGTAAATAACATCTACCCACAGGGATTGGAAACGTGAGTACTTTCATTTGAGAAACAAATAGTGTAAAGTACATCTACCCACAGGGGTTGGAAACGTGATTATTTTCGTTCGAAAAACAAGTAGTGTACATAACATCTACCCACAGGGGTTGGAAACGTGAGTATTTTCGTTTGAAAAACAAGTAGTGTAAATTACTTCTACCCACAGGGGTTGGAAACGTTGGTACTTTCGTTTTAAAAACAAGTAGTGTAAATTACATCTACCCATAGGGGTTGGAAACGTGAATATTTTCGTTTGAAAAATAAGTAGTGTAAATTACTTCTACCCACAGGGGTTGGAAACGTGGGTACTTTCGTTTGAAAAACAAATAGTGTAAATTACATCTACCCACAGGGGTTGGAAACGTGAGTATTTTCGTTTGAAAAACAATTAGTGTAAATTACTTCTACCCACAGGGGTTGGAAACGTTGGTACTTTCGTTTTAAAAACAAGTAGTGTAAATTACATCTACCCATGGGGGTTGGAAACGTGAATATTTTCGTTTGAAAAATAAGTAGTGTAAATTACTTCTACCCACAGGGGTTGGAAACGTGGGTACTTTCGTTTGAAAAACAAATAGTGTAAATTACATCTACCCACAGGGGTTGGAAACGTGAGTTTGAAAATATATGGAGAACTGAATTCAACAATGTTTTTCTCTTTAACCAATCATTGAAAACATTCTGTAAAAAAACAGGCATTTTATGTAATGTTGACTGATTGACAACAAATTAATGCGAAAATTATTTAGAAATATTTTATATAATTGTTTTTGTTAACATTTTTTGTTTTTTTTAGTGGAATTGTTTTTGCTCCTTTCTTATACAACATGTTTTTAGACCTCTCAATATTATAGTTAAGCAAAGGAATTTTTGGTTGATTTTAAAAATAGTATTCAAAATATTAAAATAAAATCCCCCCAAAATAGATAAAAATCAAGATAAACCTTTTATTTCATTAACAAGATACTTTTTTAAAATCAACCCAAATTTCCTTTGCACAATTATAATATTGAGAGACCTAAACATGTTGTGTTTATGTCGTTTTGTTCCAATGAGGTTCGGAAAGATGTTTCATTTCACTCTGGAAACATGATACCAAGAACAAAACAAGAGTTTGATGTGTTTTCAAAAACAATATAGATGAAAGTATTTATATTTCTTTCAAATCATATTGTTACCATTCAAAAGATGACCATTAAATTGACGATGTGTTAAATTTTTAGATTTTTTTATTACTGGTTTAAGAGAAACGTGTGTTCAAAAAGTTCTCCATATCGATACAACGCCTTTGTTTATAAAAAACATATTGTAAAAGTCAGATTTTCATGCAAAATTCTTAAGATCCCTTTATGCAGTTTTGCTGTTTACGACCGTGTGACTTGTAATGCTCTCCTTTAAACGGAGAAAATAAAGATATATTTACTCACCATTCGTACTGACGTTGCGACAATGATGATGAGCCGATCAACGGAGATCATCGCAAGAATAAGCACCCCGGAGAAGCCAACAAAGAATGAGATATACGCTGCCCAGTCGCAGCCTGCCTGCCCAAATAGCCATTTATGTGAAAAACTCGAGGCTGCAGGAAACGGGATTGATAAGACACACATGCTTAAATCAATGATTGTTAAGGCTAAAATGAAAATGTATGATGGCAAAAGGCTAGTCCGATTGAACCAAAATGTAACTAAGACAAGTGTGTTTCCGATTATCCCAATGGTGCCTATCACGGTTAGGTATACTCCAACAGCCGTATGTGCACCAGGGGGTAAGTACCGCCCTGTTTCCATCGCTTGTATGAGATATTACTAAAGCATCATACATGTAGTTTCATACTCGAAGTCTTCTTCGTCAATATCTTGTATAATCCTTCCATGTTGTTGATATATTATATTGTCAATTGCATAACTAACAACCGGAGACAACCGAGATGAAAATACAGAGCTACTTCCTACGCGGTTCTTATACCTGCAAAACAACAGAACAACCCAAACGTCACGGAATGCTACTTGTAATATTTTATGAATCAAAATGATATTAATAATCGAATGAGTGTTTCAATAATATGCGTATTTCTAATTATCACCCGTAACTCTATCTTTCTATCTAAAGTAATCTACTTGAATAACATCTAGATTGTAGGCAGGTAGGTGAATACACGTTTTAATAGAACTTGTATGTCAATGACGTACGGTATGATATAACAGAGACATAATATGTCTCTGGATATGACCATCAGGAACAGATATTTTCCTTATACCTTTTCACTTATTCGAGCAAAGTAAATACTATGTAGAGGATAACTAAGCCCTAAAGAACCATAATTATATCCAGGTTCATGCACATGCCCTTTTAGAATATGTCAATAAAAGTAACATGTATATATCGACGTACGTTTGTTACGTCGACGCAAAACAAGCTTTTGATAACGTCAATCGGAATTGTATGTGGGTGAAACTTAACCGATTCGGTGTAAAAGGGCGCATATTTAAGGCAATCCAATCGCACGGACGTACACAGTACTCGGTTCGAATCAATGGAACGTTAACAAATTGGGCTGAAGCAGGGGTGCCTAGCATCTCCGAGTTTCTTCGCCATATTCATTGATGACCTAGCTACAGAAACAAAAACACTAAATTGTGGAGTTGACATTGGAAACGAAAAGTTAAGTTTATTACTATATGTAGATGGCATCGCTTTGATTGCGCCAAGTCCTGAAAAACTGGAAACTATGCTTTACTCTCTCAATGATTTTTTGCAACAGATGGCGATTATTAATTAAGACTGAAAAAACATAAATATATATTAATAGTGCACTACAGACACACTTCACAGGAAAGAACCAACGTATCATTCAATTGTATAACCGGTGACATAAAAGTCGAGGGGCAATACAAGTATTTATGACTTGTTTTCAATGGGCACCTTAATTTGAAAACATTGTACAACTACTGCCCACCTCTTTGAATCCCTAGTAACCCCAATATTAACGTATGGTAGTGAAATTTAGGGACTTCATCAATTTGCAGAAATAAACAACGTTCAAAATAGGGCTCGTAAATACTTTCTTGGCATAGGTTCAAAAACACCAAACTCAGCAATCAAAGGAGAATTGGCTTGGACTCCAATGCATATACAACAAAAGAAAAACATCATCTGGTTTAGACTAAAAAACTGTAAAGAAGGTAGAATAAAAAAACATATACAGCAGTACAACAACATGTACAACTGGTCTATTCAGCTGAACAAGAAAACATGGGAGTTTCATAAATTATTAAACTCAATTGAATTCGAAAATGAAATGCACTTTCTGTTAAAATGTAATTTGTATAAGACATTCGAGATACACTTGTAAGTACGATCACACACTTGCACAGTATTTCAAATGTTTAAAAGATAAACTATTTTACCACTAATGCCTGGGTCACATTTGCTCCGATCCATCGGCCGGCGCCCGGCCGATTGAGTGTTTTGCTCAATATTGTATTCAATTTTAAACAAAATACTCAATCGACCGAGCGCCGTAGTGGAAATCGGAACAAATGTGACCAAGGCATTACTACTATATAGAAATGAACAGATGACCCCCCCCCCCATTAGTAATTGCGTGTGCTTGTATACTATTTAATAGAATCATTTCACCCAGGAGGTGCTAATATAGCAATAACTTCATTTAAAAGGGCATTAATAGTAGTGAAATCTACCATAAGGATAACAAAACTCGGATAATGACCACTCCGAGTGACCACTATGGCCCATTTTGATTCACCAGAGTCTCTATCTAAAGCTTGTGGTATCAGGGGAATAGCAGAGACTATGGATTCCAAAATGACTAAGGCCCACCACTTTAAAATTGCTTAAGGTACGTTCACACCAACGGCGAATGCCACGCTTTAAATCGGCGAGCAAAGCGCCGTCATTTTTGTCATTTTTCTTCATACCAACGGCGCTTTGATGGCGCTTTAAAGCGGCTTGTAAAGCGGCACCAAAGCGTAACAAAGTTTGATTAAAGCGTCGGGGTCGTAATAGGTCGTAGAAAAGCTCAGAGTAAAACGGGATATTCGGCAAGAGCGCCAAAAAATTTTAAACTCTTTAAAAATTTTGGGCGCTCTGTTACGAATCGATTAAGCGCCGAGAGCGTATCAAAGCTTAACAAACCGTAACAAAGCTCAGAAAAACTTGATCCAAAGCGTAGGAAAGCTTAACATAGCTCTAAAAGGTTCCTCACGCTTTGATCCCGCTTTGATCAGGCTTTGTTACGCTTGAAATCACGCTTTGAAAAGCTTTGATAAGCATTATTACGCTTTGATGCGATTATGACGCTTTAAATCAGGCTCTGATACGATTGCAAAACTCTGTTGTGCATTGTTACGCTCTGTTAAGCTCTGTCACGCATTGGAAAATGTCGAGATCGCCGATTCCATGCCGCTTTTGATCCAATGACTATATAAAGATGCAGTAGATCCATAAAACCATTGCATCTTTGACTCGAGAACACGATGGCAGAACAACGAGATCCAGAAATTCCAGATGGACCAGAGCATGACCTATCTGAAGAAGACATGACGTTTGTCGCACGGCGTGATATAGCGTGTGAAAACTTTCAAGCGTAACAAAGCCTAGCAAAGCGTTTCAATCCTTGATTAAAGCGTCTCAATTCGTTGGAAAGCTTGAGAGTCCCTCAGGAAAGTGTAACAAAGAGTGTCAGATATTGATGAAAGCGTCTGACCTCGTGTCAGATCTTCATGCCAGATCGTAGCAAATCTTGAGACATCTTAACGAACCGTGTCAAGTGGTAACAGACCGTGAATAGACTGGGGTCCCCGCTTTGAACCAAGCTGTGTTAAGCTTTCCTACGCTTTGAGTCAAGCTTTGTTGAGCTTTGTTACGGTTTGTTAAGCTTTGATACGCTCTCGGCGCTTCAATCAATTCGTAACAGAGCGCTCAAAATTTTTAAACAGTTGGGATGAAATACTTCGCTCGTTAAAAGAAAGCACGAGTATCAATCTCATTTGATTATAACAGATCATTGTGATTCAATTGACAGTAGTTATGGGATGTGAAATTACCATTATCTTTATCCAGGTATGTTACTCAATCAGACAACTTTCGAGAACTCAGCCCCCTTTAGCTATGGAAATCCATGCAATGGAGAATTATTTCCCTTGGGTATATTTCAAGTACGAGATTTTCCGAACAAAGTGGTACTTTTGGAGTTTAGAAAAAACATATGGCAAAGGGATGATATCGATGATACTTTTGACCTAGGCTTATCCTTCTGAGATGGTCATCTTTTGTCCATTGTCCTCAATGTCTGTGGGACCTGCATTACGGAATGGATGGTCTTGAGGCGAGAGGTTTTTGTATCGAAAGACAATGGGATATAGTTTATTTGGCCACTTAACTGTGGCATTATTATCGCATTTTCTCACCTCAAAAACAATACGCAAAATAATATATTGACTATTGACTGTAATTAGATATCATTGACAGGTGAAACTTTTCCCCAACTGTTTTATAATCACAAAGAAATAAAGCTGAAGGGGAAGATCTAGAAAAGCCTAGAAATGGAGAAATGTCTGTATCACCAATTCTTATAATACTGTAGTATGCGTTGCTACATGTAAATGATACACTAAAAGGCCAAAACCGTAACTTACCCGGGGAATCAGTGTTTCAGAGTTGAAAATCCCATACCATGCCCCATCCGGTATCAGATCGCATGAAATTTTATCATCATTGAATGAAAATATATTATAGCAGCTCAACATCTGATAACAGGTTAGATGGCCATGATTTATTGATGATACAGAAATAATCTTAAAAAATCTTAATCAAAGTAAGAACTGCTAGAAAACACCAGCTCCACGTAGTAGCAAATCCCCAAAAATGGTTTTAAAAAATAGAATTTCTTTAAATAATGGTGGCCATTTTAAATTCAGCAGCCTTTTGAAAATATCTTCTTGAGCTTATTTCTACGATTTCTAGTTCGTTCGTTGGGATAATAAGGAATTGGTTTCCTCTCTAATTGAAGATTATGGCTTTAAACAACGTATCACCAATGTCTCTGAATGCTTTATTCTTTGGAGATCAGCTTTGCACGATACAAAATTACTTCTGAACGAAAATCAAATCATTTACATTATCTCAAGACACATTGAAATGACAACTTCGGCACATGCTCATCAGACCGAACAATCCACATCATATTTTCTCAGAATTGTAACCCCGAGTGATCATCATTGAACATTTCAATAAATCCATCAAGTGGTATAGCTGGATATATGTGCAGACAAGAAAAATAGTAAGCCCGCCAACCCAAATACCCATCCCTGATAAAGATGAGAAATGAATTTAAGGCACGTTGATCAGGTGCTATATCATGAGTAATCTCTAGAGGCGTACAATGTGCCTTATATAACATCACCATCATATACACATGCCAGTCATACAGGATACCTCCAGTCTTGAGGTTATGAATTACTTATTTTTCATTTATTTATTTCATGATAATATAACAATGGAATGTACAAAGCATGTGCACTCGACACCCTTAGTAATTGGGCGTATCAATGCTTATATCAAAAATTATTGCAGAGCAATCAAAAAACATATAATGTATAACAGCAAGATGAAAGCAAGATAGATTTGAATGATCCAGATGCTCCTTGTAGAAGGCTTACCGTGAAGCAATGATAGACACGCCTAATTTCATACCTAAATTCCAGAGTGCGTTTAAATGTTTCTTTTGCGTGAAACTATTCACTAATAAACATTATTCCCAACAACCATGAAGGAAATTCGTCAAATAGTATTCGAGTTATCTTCCAAATGAACAGACGGACGGAGGGCTTCATTTTTCCCTACTGTACGTCGTTGTTTGGATAATTAAAGAAACAAATATTTCAATTTATACAAAATATTTATTGCACATATAAACTGTTTCACCCTGTAGAATGAATAACAAATAAATAAACTGTTTCACCCTGTAAAATGAATTACAAATTGTGGATGCGATTTAAATAGCATACTCAGGATGATATGCTATATATTGACTGCTGAATAGGTAAACTGTTAGTAAGTAAGATAAGATCAATAATGTAGATAGCAACAAAAATTGATAAATTGTTTTATTCTAAAGAAAGCACAGTAACAAGAGAAGGGTACATGTACATTTTTATACTGTTTTTAAATAATGGAAACTTTGCAAACTATCATACACTATCAATCCTCTTTTGTGCCGCACTGGTTTTTGATAAAGTGCCAAGTGTGGATTCTTAAAAAACAGTAGAAAAATAATTCACTCTTCTTTGTTACAACTGTTCGTTCTTAAAAATAAAACACATTTCATTCTATTGTATTGCTACCTAAGTGTGAGTTAATACGGATGATGTGTTCAATGTCTCTTCTTTAGTCATCAATGAGGATTGAGGTACAGCTGAGCAAAAGTCACAATGAAAAAATCCAGCCAGATTTCAGCTTTTTTCTGGGTGCACTCATGGGCAATGTACATTTTTTTGAATTATTACATTCATGGCAACATATTTCATAATAGTTTAAATTAGTACATTTCATAATACTTTGTGATAAAACATTTTATAATATTTTGAATAAGGGCATTTTAAAATATTTTGAATTAGTACATTTCAAAATATTTTTATAAAGTACATTTCATAACATTGCAATAAGTACATTTCATTTAAGTACATTTCACAATACTTTGAATCAGTCTAATCAGGTTGTCAGGTCACAGGCTGCAAGTCCACTGGGGTAAAGCATCTACCCTGTGGAAATCATTTGATATTTGATGTTATCAAGTCTAATATCAATATAACCATCTTTGTTGTTTCCAATGTACAACATCATGCAATTTGTAACAAATACATCCATGAACCCAAACATGTTATTTTCACATTAGTAGGGGATACACTGACCAGGTATTGTTATGAGCAAGTCCCAAATCCTAGTTTAAAGGCAAGTTCTACAATGTTCTGAGCAGCTCCATCTTGGTGGCAAACATACACTTCTCGTACTTGAGGCTCAAGGAATAGACGTCTGGAAGTGGTAATATACATCTATATAGTATATAGTATATGTAGTATATATCTGGTCGAATGGTTACATACATTATTACATGGGCACAACACCAGAATACAACTTTTTATAACTTAACTTTTGATTTCAAAGAGAAAGCTCTTATAATATAGCAAGATATAATATAGCTCTTATAATATAGCAAGATATCTGATTATACATTACCCTATAATCCAGTATTGTAGCACAGGTGGTTGTTTCTTATTAGCCGGCCAGTTGTCAGGTGTACACTCAAATAATACACCTTGCTCTGTCACCCCACCAAGACACTCATCATGTGAACCACCATTCTGAAAGTATTACAGAGTGCAATAACAGATCACAATAACATGATAAAGAGATTAGTTTAGTACAATGGTTGTTCAAAAGCTTGGACTACTAAAATATGAAGGCCTTGTTTGTGGGGCTTCGAATCATATTTTTCTAAATTCTTTTTATTCAAAATGGAACAATTTTTAGGATTTGTTTTGCAAAAGTAGTTCGTCCCAGTTTCATTCTGCCGGAAGTTATCTTCTTATTCAAAAGAAATACATACATGTGCATTAATGGAATGTTGAAACAGATTGTGTATGCGGGTTGCATTCACATAAAAGTTACGAAGCAGTTGTTTGTGGTTTGGACCTCTCTCTGTCTGTCCAGGGCAAATATAAACACCATCACACCAGTCTAGACATAGGTAGTGGAACAGGTTACAGTCCCCAACTGTCAACCTAAATCAAAAAATTAATATTAATAAACATGTACCATGTATTATTGTGCTCCAGGCCTAAATAGAGGCTTGATATCACACAGAGGCCTATTTCGCTGAGGGACACCACTGGCTATTGGAATTAATTTTGGTTGGTCAGATCTGACCAGTAAACCAGTAATTATGATGTTGCTTGTTCATGCAGTGTAATCATTAATCATTAGCACTACTTTCCCAGTGGTCATGGATCAGTAGATTTGAACTTACTTGGCATTTTGTGAGTTGTCTGCAAAATCTAAACTCTGCTTTAAGCCTGACACATCATATGGCGCCATCTTTCTTTGTTTTTTCTGACTCTGAAAAGATTAGGAAATATTGTTGTAATTATGTATACTGTCATGGGTGTAGCACCCAGTATACTACGGTTGCAAACTCGCTCCAAATACAACCTTATTTCAAAATTTCCCCCCAAGACACCCCTGAATGCTCGTTTTTTACTTTTCTCAACTTTAGTTCCCGCGGTGGTGTACTACTTAGAAAAATACCGCTACCCATGACTGAAACTTGAAACATATAACCACTTAGCTATTACAAACAATTGTTTCCTTATATGACTCTCTCATTTTTGTTTATTTGGTCTCTAATTTGTCTCTATAGTCCAATCTGGTCTCTATATGTCCTATACATTTATAAAAATTAGATACTGTCATGTTGTATTTTTCAATCGAGTCAGCTCTTACCTTAAACAAGCCTGAACTGCCACCACTGCCTCCAGAGTCATCAGAAGTTTGTGATGGTTTCCTGTGACTGGTGGGGGTGGACATATTACTCCCTGTAGACTGGGTCTCTGGATCTGAGTGGTCCTCGAACACCATACTACGCACTGAATACAAAAGATACATAACAGACCTATATTGCATTGGCATCATTGTATTATATATGAACGATCATCAATGACATTGTGCATTTGCTGCCCTTAAATGATCAAATATATGTATATTCTTGAACAAACTTGTGTCACTTCATTTAACTCATCAATCCTTTTCATTTTCTTGAGAATAGTTTTTATTGCAAAAAGTTACTTCTTAAAGACTTCATCATTTAATGCTTTACCTATGTTTTTATGTCTTTCAGGAAGGGGGCTTGGTTTCTTGAGCATTGGCATGGACTGAGATCCTGGCATACCTGTGAAATGATAAAGGATTTAAATGTATGTATTCTTTGTAGTTAAGTACACACATGATGTAGTACATATATGATGTAGTACAAATATGTAGTAGATGTAGCACGTTCATGGTGTAGTACATATATGATGTAGTACAAATATGTAGTAGATGTAGCACGTTCATGGTGTAGTACATATATGATGTAGTACAAATATGTAGTAGATGTAGCACGTTCATGGTGTAGTACATATATGATGTAGTACAAATATGTAGTAGATGTAGCACGTTCATGGTGTAGTACATATATGATGTAGTAAAAATATGTAGTAGATGTAGCACGTTCATGGTGTAGTACATATATGATGTAGTACAAATATGTAGTAGATGTAGCACGTTCATGGTGTAGTACATATATGATGTAGTACAAATATGTAGTAGATGTAGCACGTTCATGGTGTAGTACATATATGATGTAGTACAAATATGTAGTAGATGTAGCACGTTCATGGTGTAGTACATATATGATGTAGTACAAATATGTAGTAGATGTAGCGCGTTCATGGTGTAGTACATATATGATGTAGTACAAATATGTAGTAGATGTAGCGCGTTCATGGTGTAGTACATATATGATGTAGTACAAATATGTAGTAGATGTAGCGCGTTCATGGTGTAGTACATATATGATGTAGTACAAATATGTAGTAGATGTAGCACATTCATGGTGTAGTACATGTATGATGTAGTACAAATATGTAGTAGATGTAGCATGTTCATGGTGTAGAACACATATGATGTAGTACAATGTACAAACTACATATATCATGTAGTACACAAATGATGTAGTACATATATGGTGTAGTATATATATGGTTCAGTAGGTATAGTACATAAATGGTAAAGTACATCTCATACAAGGCAACTTAAGGTGCTATGGAAGTTAACAGGAAATGACAAAACAATGAAAGAAAACTGAATTTAAATCGATCTATTTTCCTTTTAACTACAGCCATTATTGTATCATTTAGAGCAATATATTAGCAACATTTTCTGAAAAAATTAAAAGATTCTGTTTATTGACCTTTCCTGAGCACCTACTTTAAGCTATTTTTCAGTCACATTTTCAGAGGGCTGAAAAGGTTATTTCATCATGTTATGGTCATTCTGACACTTTCCATTGTGTTGCCAGTCATGTAAATGATATGTGGAACTAGTTAAACTGACTGGAGGTCCAAACAGAACTCTGTTATCTTGGTTCAAAAAATTTTCAAAATCAAGCATGGTTTTGACATTTTTTGTTTTGTCATTTCCTGTCAACTTCCATAGCACCTTAAAATCAAGATAGAACTGTAAGGCTGACAATATTATCATTAGACTAGTATACATATCGAATCAAACAATGTCAGAATACAACCAGTAAAAACAATGCTACACTCACCCCTAGGGGAATGGTGTATTTGTGTTTGGGGTGCTCTAGGGGTATGAGCCACCCTTGGGGAGCCTTTAGGGCGTGGAGATTCATGCTTGCTTGTCTTGCAAGGGAAGCTTTGGTCTGCAGATGTTGTGTGCGGTCCAGCAGGGTTGGAGATTCTGAAAATTACATAGTTAAGAATTCAGTCAAATCAATACTTCACACATACATTTTGATAGGCCAACTGATTTGTTATATTTATTAATGGTGTAATTTTTATTTCTATATGATATTACATGCATTGCCAATTTAAACCAATCAAATAGCAGTATGCATTATCCACTGGTCTCGTGTTAAGCTTATTTTGAATTGTCTCACTCATCAATCATGGGTTTTTGTTATTAAATCCTTTAATAGAAATATCTCAAATTAATAACTATGAATAGCTAAAAAAAACTTGAGCTTACATTCAAATGACCTACATTTCAAAGCTGTACTTGACAAGTACAATTGCATTTTTTAGTCATTGAAGGTCTCAATACTATATAAAATGTGATTGGTTTCTTCTCTGTAAATTTACAGTACATTTAATATATAAGGACGAGGATCTATACCTGGCTTGACATTGACTGTGCACATTAGAGGATAACATCTGAAGCAATGTGGCTCTGGCCTGGTCAACAAAGAAAGGATCAGGACTTGGCTGGCCTTCGCAGCTGAAATTTAAATAATTTTGTTAATATAAAATGGTTATGAGGTATTTGACAAATATATACAAGGCATTTAAATGCAAAATGCCAAAGACCAACCATCGAACGCCAATCACTGAAACAAACCACTGACACAAAAAAGTTGTAGACTATAACAATACCTCTCCACTTGTGGTGGTGACATAAAACAGTTCTGTTTGCTATTGCTTCCAAAAAATCTTAATTTACAATTTTGGCTTTTAATCAAGTGTATATCAAATACTTATAACTATATTTAAAGAGTTTTATGTGAATGGTTGATCAATAGTGTCACATTAAGTCTCTCAAAATTGCATCATGTATTTCTCCCATTTTGTGTTAATTGAGGGACGTTTGAATACAAGACTGAATCATCAGAGTATCATTGTATACAAGACTGAATCATCAGAGTATCATTGTATACAAGACTGAATCATCAGAGTATCATTGTATACAAGACTGAATCATCAGAATATCATTGTATACAAGACTGAATCATCAGAGTATCATTGTATACAAGACTAAATCATCAGAGTATCATTGTATACAAAACTGAATCATCAGAGTATCATTGTATACAAGACTGAATCATCAGAGTATCATTGTATACAAGACTGAATCACCAGAGTATCATTGTATACAAGACTGAATCATCAGAGTATCATTGTATACAAGACTGAATCATCAGAGTATCATTGTATACAAGACTGAATCATCAGAGTATCATTGTATACAAGACTACATCATCAGAGTATCATTGTATACAAGACTGAATCATCAGAGTATCATGTAGCTTACATTTGTGCACAACCAGCTGCCTCAAGTAGAGTGGCTAGTACATAGTTCTGCAGGCCAACAACCAACAGAAACCATCTCCCCTCTGGCTCTGTGTACCCTGGTAGTAGGGGATCCACCTAAACAAATAGATAAAACACTGAGAAAACAAGGAAGCTGTATTCACTAAACAGGTCATTCTCTGTTGCCCTTTGACAAGTACAGGCTGATTAGGAAGTTACATCAAAGATAGAGCCATTTCAATACTATACTACACGACAAACCAGCGTGAAACTTGGTACTGATGTTCAAGTCTAGGGATCATAAAACAGACGGCTAATAATGTGAAAGATACAAATGCTCTAATGGACAAACAAATTAAAGAAATCAATAGTTGGTTAAAATGACAATAAAATGACTTGTCTCAATTCAGTTTGTCCAATTAATACTCCATTATGTTCATTTTGACATCCTTTAGGCATTGATGAAAATATATTCTGTCATTTTGCATTATGACATCCTACAAGTACATTTACATGTCCATTATGACATCATTCATGACATCGCACAATGGCATCATTTGTGTGCATCATGAAAGATACATTATGACATAATATCTCACCTGCTTATGGCACCTTCTAGTTGGGAAGACCTCCTTCCATAGCACCAGTTGTCCCATACTATTGGTGGAAGAGATATCTAGGATGGAGTAACACTGTAGGTATATACCCACATCCTCTAAGTCCACACTGTGTAGGTGACTACTTACTAGACAACCCTTAAAAGGAAGACATAAAATTGTAAGGCAAAGTTTAAAATATATATTTTCAAATCCAATATTACTTTTCATGAAGTAATTTTCTCATTGAAATGTAACGAGCTCAGGTTATGCTTTGATGTCACAAATATGGCACTAACTATTTATAAAATATAACAATATTGTTTAACCATCTTTCACTATCAGCTTTTAAACAGACAAAATGAAACCTTTAACATTGAAGTTTAAAAGTGTGTTTCCTCCAAAATGGTTGATATCTTGCTCATTTATCATTGTTTTCACCCAATTTATATTCAGACCAAAATATTGAGGTTCATGTGAAAGCTGAGTGGCATAAGACACTGTTAGTGTTTATTTCTAAATAAGTTTATCAAATCACCAAAATGCCATTTTTAAGAAAAACAAACAATGAATTGAACATTTTCAGACCAAAATTACCTTGTAATATAGAGATGATCCCAGAATAGAATAAAGTCGCCTGACATCATAATAATCATCTGACATATCCACAAAATCTGCTGATTCAAAGTCGCTGAGAATATTATCCACCTCAACTTTAAGTTCCTCCGCGAGTGGGACAAATTGCACTGAAGGTAATAATTCCAGCATCCGAACATTATTGCTATGGTTACTGTTACTATGTTGGTTAGAACTGTTCCCTTGGTTACTGCTTTGTTGAGATTTGGTTAAGAGTTTATGGAATAATAAGCAGAAGTAATGGTCCAAGCGTCCTGAATTTTCTTTATTACCAAAGGCACTGAAAAAAACAATATAAAGGAGTACAATATTACTAAATGCAATATTACTGAATTCAATTTACTGAATACACTGTTATTGAGTACAATATGACTAAATGCAATATTACTGAGTGTAATATTACTAAATGCAATATTACTGAATTCAATTTTACTGAATACACTATTACTGAGTGCAATATTACTAATTCAAACATGACCGTGCTCTATTCGAATTTCTCAACCAATCAGAATGCAGCATAGCTAATATAGAACGTTCTCTAATTCTCCATAGATGCACGACCATGCTCTATTCAATCTGCAATTTGCATTGTTTTGAGTGACGTCACATCTCAGCTGCACATCTGGGGCTCTGTCCGGGGATAGCTGTTCTTTTTTACTCCCTCCGTAACTACTGTAACTATTTAACTATGGCTGACTTCAAGTTTGCAGTCGGTGAACTAGTCTTATTTAACGGGGAGTAAAATAGAACACCCCAAACAAATTCTAAAATTTTTCCGGCCGACTTCAGAATCTTGACAGCATGCGTATTCTTCCTTCATGCCCGTTCCACAGACACGGCTTTTACTAATTTTTATGTTTGAATCGGAATAAATAATGATAGGCCATTCAATATGGTGAAATTCAGCACTCGTTGGACAGAATGTTAGTACAAATGCACTCACCTTCGGTTCGTGTTTTGTACAACATTCTGTCCAACTCGTGCTGAATTTCACCATATTGAATGGCCTATCATTATTTATTCCTTAAATACAGTATTACTGATTACAATATTACTAAATACAATTTTACGGAGTACAATATTACTAAATACAATTTTACTAAGTACAATATTACTAAATGTGATATTACTGTATACAGTGTTTTTGGTATATTAATCAATGACTTTGAAAGTCCATGGGCAATGCATCCAAAAATATGATTCCAGTTATTTTAGGTGATCATATCAAAGTATTCAGTTTTTACTATTGAGTGCAATCATGTAGCTTGTACACAGACCTATAGATGCCAATACAATCACTCACCTTGAAAGGGAGCCATACAAGACTCTCATTGCTCTTACGGTTATTGCTATAACTTGATCCATTTCATATAGATCAACCCTAGAAATAAAGATTTAACATAAACAAAAGTGGCATAGTTTGATGAGCTGACATCATGGTGGAAATATCACAAGCATGGACCTCATAACATGAACGTCATGAGTATTGGTTCAGAAAAATGGCACTTCATTTGTTCAAAAATCATAGATGAACAGACAAACGGATGGACAGTTGGACAAGCTGGCAATTACATAGAATCACCATGCACCATGAGGGCTAATTGGATATGATTTTAAGACTCTACTAATGAAAATGATATATTGAAGAAATTTGCTTTAAAATATAGGTTTTCCCATTCTGATTGATTCCACACTAGTGAGAAGCAATGGACCCCTTGATGGTGATTTCTCATTTTTAATGTTAATGTCTATCATTCCCTATCTACTAGTACTTACCTGTCTGCTGGGAGTGCTATGACCAGCAATTCCTTCCCTTCCTGTGCATAGCCAACATGAACCAGTTCCTCATTACACATGACTGTTGAACTAAAAAAGATTAAACATATTTACTTCGTTGCTTTTTGTAGAAGGTTAAGGGTGAAGAATGACTATGTTTTGAGCTGTTCTGAGAAATTTTGCAATAATTTGTAAATGTTAAAATACTAATTCCAAATAATAATTTTGCCTATTTTTCATAGCTAAGTTGTCAGAGATTCTATCAAGTTGTTTGCGATTCGATTGAAACACCTGTTATATAGACATCATTGAAAGTGTAATTAGAATATCTTTGTCAAAATAATGTTTACTTTTTAGCTGCTTTTTTGGTGACATCAGGTAACATGTGACTGATTGTCAAGAACATTCCTCTTATTTCTACCAGCTTGCTATCAGTTTGTCTGGGGTAGACATACATCAAATCATCCTGGAAACAGGGGACATACAGTTAAGGTGGTTAAACAGGGGCAAAAGATGGCCTCCTGGTGTATACCTACCTTAAGGTACAGCTGGAAAATAACATTTGGTAAAAAATTGCTATACCTGCACATGTTATCTTCTGGTACACTATAAAGTATGAATGCACATGTTAATTTCCTTGCTTTTTTCAGGAAAGTATCATTACATTGCCTTCTTTTAGTATATCTGGTAAGAGGTCAATGGGAACTCAAGGAAATTCTGATATTTCACAATTACTATTTTTCCAAATTTTCTTTCAAAATTTCCAGACAACACAGGAGCTACCATTGACCTGTTTCCAGGTTTACTAAAAGTAGACAATGTAATGATACTTTCCTTATAAATATACACATGCCTTCATACTTAATTTTGTACCAGAAAATAACATGTGCAGGTCTAGCAATTTTTTACCAAAATATTACTTTCCAGCTGAACCTTAAAGGAATTTGAAAGAATAGAAGGTAAAATGTTAGAAGAAATCTTTTTAACAAGGCATTAACATGACAAAATGTCACCACCTCTAGTTGCTCACAATATAATGAGTTCAATCTTAAGTCAGATTTGAATTTCTGAGAACTTGTAGATGATAAAGAAAAAATAAATTGGTCAATTTGAAGCAAGTTGGAAAAATACTTTTTGAACATATGAAGGTCATTGAAGGTGAAATCCCAAATCTATAGTCCGATTTGAACTTCTGAGAACTTGTCGATGATTTTGAAAAAAGATTTTGGTCAATTTGAGAAGGTCATCAAAAGTCAAATCTTTTTTGACCTTGAGAATGTCATTGAATGTCAAATCTATAGTTAGATTTGAACTTCTGATAATTTGTAAATGATTTTGAAAAAAAAGATTGGTCAATTTGAAGCAAGTTGAAAAAATACCTTTTTGACCTTTTTTTACCTTGAAAGGGGCATTGAAGGTCAAATCTTTTTTGAACTTGAGAATCTCATTGAAGGTCAAATCTCAAATCTAAAGTCAGATTTGAAAATCTGATAACTTATAGATGATTTTAAAAAAAAAGATTGGTCGATTTGAAGCAAGTTGAAAAAAGACCTTTTTGACCTTTTTTTACCTTGAAAAGGTCATTGAAGGTCAAATCTTTTTTGACCTTTAGAATGTCATTGAATGTCAAAACTATAGTCAGATTTGAACTTTTGAGAACTTGTAGATGATTTTGAAAATAAATTAGTCAATTTGAGGCAAGTTGAAAAATGACCTTTTTTGACCTTGAGAAGGTCATTGAAGGTCAAATCTCAAGTCAGATTTAAACTTCTGATAACTACTAGATGATTTTGAAAAAAAAGATTGGTCAAATTGGTGGAAGTGGGACTTGACATAATATTCCGTTTCCCGAGAGATTGTGGTTTAGGGGAGTGTTGGACATGACTGATAGGATTACTAGGATGCTGAGGATTTTCTAAATGTGTTTTTAATTGCTTTCTAGTCTTAATTTATATAGGTACATATAACATTTATTTAGGTTGGATTTGTCATGCATTAGGGATATTAAAATTGAATAAAACTCAGAACTAAGTAACTTGAGCCCTATGATGTACAGGTTGACTTGTTTTAATGACTATATCTTAAAATTCACATTTAAAAAAAATTCAACTGACTGTAATCCAATGTTGTTGAGAAACTTGGCTATGAAATTGAAATGACAGTATTTCCTGAAGTTGGTATAATAAAGGGTCACACGAATGACCAAAAGTAGACATGCAAGGATACGCTCCAAAAAAGTCAGAGAAAATAACATGGCAAGATAAAGAATTTTCTAAACATGTGAACTTATTAATGCGCCTTAATATTACTCACTTGGTCTTTGGCAGTCTCTGAATTGCTCTCCAGGGTGAGATACATGACCTGGTGGGGTGAAGAACATGTGGCAATTTCTGTTTGCTCCCCGCTGACAAGTTTGACCATCTCATTGTCCCCCTGTCCTAGCTGTGCCCCCTGTCTTTCCCCTGTTGATGTAGTTACAGCACTACTTTTTTGCAGGGTCAGCTTCACCTGCAAAAATAAAGGTTTTTACATAAGTGCATGCAGGGAACAATCTCACATGGTACAATCTAATAAATAACAACACACACAGTGAAACATATTGTACATTGAAGAGTGAAATGGCCACCATGCCCAAAAACTAATCAGATCTTTAAAATAGTCTGCGCATCTTGTATCTGTAAAAATTTCAAGTTGAACGGATAAGTAGTCTTCCTGGAACTTTGATCACAAGATTTATGCTGTGCCTATACACCTTTTAAAGTGTGATCATAAAAATTGATTTCATGAAATAAGTGAGACATCATATCTCGTCTTTTAAGGTCCTTCACCCATTCTTGCACATAAATCTGTGAGACTTCTTGAGAGTTAACATTTAGATATTACAAAGAAAACTTTCAGCAGTCAAAACAAGGCATTTACATGCAAAATGTCACCTCCTGCAATTTGTTACACAAACCAACCACCGAATGCCAAATAACATTGCGCCATATACCATTCACAAAAAAGACAAATTATGATACGTCAAAAAACTCAGATTACATTGATATTTCAATGGCTTTATCTTTTGTATCTACTACATTGTAAGACTGTATTATTGTATTGACTAGTAAAAACGACAGTTGTTTAGATTTAAACATAATACATCTTAGTCTTGAATTTTGTGTTACTGTAGAACTTTTAAAGTATTTACTCGCCAATGTTTCCTTTAAGACTCCTTTAGCTTTCTTAAACCTGTCCATCTTAATATTCCATGACACAAATCACAAAAACGTTTCTTAAACACATGAACATCTTGCTTTATGTATAAATAAACTAGCATTTGATGTTATATTTAATGCTGTGAGCATAAGTCAGAGCCAACAATGTTAGCCTTGGCAAAATCACAACTTTAATTATAATTTAGAAGAGACACATGAGCTGGTATATACACAGTGAAAAGTATACTTTAGCATACTTTAATCTTGCTGTGTAATGCAGCCATGATATTTGGGGCACAATATACAGGGTGACCCAGAAATAGGTTTACCATTAGTCAACAATAAAAAATAAATAACTTTTGGGTAACCCAGTATATATGTTCCACCTTCAATTAACATTAAATGGAGGAAATCGGCCATATATATTATTGCAGAATTAAATCTTCATAAGTCTAATTGTATTTCAAATTGACCATAGTCAATTCATTACCATATACCTTTACATACAGTACACATATTACGTCATTATGATTTCTTGCCTTATTTGAGCTATTGTTAAACTTACATTTTTCTTTTTTGCTTGCTTGATAGGAAAATATAATGAATTCACATCTGGTTCTCCAGCCTTGTCATCCAGTTCTGTTTCTGTAGACATCCCTTTGTCTTTATGAAGTGAAAGCACTCCTATGCTTTCTAAATGTGCTTCTCTACATATATATACACTTTTACTCTTTATTATTAGTTTCTAAATATGGTTCTTCCTTCTTGTACAGTTTTTTAAATTTCGAAATGTAGTCCTCTATATGCACACTTTATTGTCTGAATTCTAAATGTTATACTTTTCTATCCCTTATATGCAGCCTTATCATTCAGTTCTGTTTCTGTAGACATCCCTTTGCCTTTATGAAGTGAAAGCACTCCTATGCTTTCTAAATGTGCTTCTCTACATATACACTTTTACTCTTTATTATTAGTTTCTAAATATGGTTCTTCCTTCTTGTACAGTTTTTTAAATTTCGAAATGTAGTCCTCTATATGCACACTTTATTGTCTGAATTCTAAATGTTATACTTTTCTATCCCTTATATGCAGCCTTATCATTCAGTTCTGTTTCTGTAGACATCCCTTTGCCTTTATGAAGTGAAAGTACTCCTATACTTTCTAAATGTGCTTCTCTACATATACACTTTTACTCTTTATTATTAGTTTCTAAATATGGTTCTTCCTTCTTGTACAGTTTTTTAAATTTCGAAATGTAGTCCTCTATATGCACACTTTATTGTCTGAATTCTAAATGTTATACTTTTCTATCCCTTATATGCAGCCTTATCATTCAGTTCTGTTTCTGTAGACATCCCTTTGCCTTTATGAAGTGAGAGCACTCCTACGCTTTCAAAATGTGCTTTTCTACATATACACTTTTACTCTTTATTATTAGTTTCTTAATATGCTTCTTCCTTATTGTACACTTTTTCAAATTTATAAATGCAGTCCTATATATGCACACTTTATTGCCTGAATTCTAATTCTTTTAATTCCAAGTCCTATATATGATGTATAGTCATGATTGAAGTCTTAAACCAATTATTATCCATACAATAAGTAATAAATATTGTATTCATTTTAAATCTTTTAATTGTAATCTGCTGTTAATTTACTGGAAACTGAACTGTTACTTAAACTTGTGTATTTCAACACATTCATCAAAGTGAAAATGAAAACTTTTTCCAGTTCTTTTATTTCATCCCATTGACTCCAATGTTAACAGTAATTCTAAATCAATCAGGCCCATTCTTAACAGCTTCCATATTCCAACTCACAAACATCTCCATAGTTTGCATTCATTTGAAATTGTTAATATATCTTCCATGTATGTCAAAGAATAGTCAGGTCCATTGCAAATATACTCCTCAATAACTCGCAAATACAGAATTGTGTAACGTACTTAACAAGCAAATTCTTCCATTTAATCTTGAACAAATCCTATTTTGTATATTCAAACATAATGTTGAAAACTGGATGAAGTTTTATACACAGAAATATCAATACACCATTGTTGTTCAAGTGAAAATAATTTCATGGAAAATGCAAGCTAAATAGCAAAAATGACTTAAGCCTAGGGGTGTACTATTTTCAAATTTAAGCTCGAGTTAAGCCTTAACACCAATAAGAAGCCCCCCAAGGAATTAAAAATCACTTTACGATTACATGTTCTTAATCTCCTTAAAGCTTTTTTCAAAAGGTTTAATTTTTAACACATTTCGTTTAATTCTATTTAGTTTTTGGTCAAATGTTGAAAATCTCTTTAACTATTTAAAATTTTTACTACTCAAGTCTTTGACGATGAATTAGCTAAAATTGAATTAATGAAATAGAAATGTAAAACATGTTGAATTTGCATATTTCAAATTTCCAGTATAGTCAACATCATAATCAATTAATGATTCCAATTTTTATCACTTTTCATGTCAATTTGATCAAATTATTATATAAATAAATGAACATAAAACATGTTAAATTCAAGCAATTTTAGCAATCAAGGATTTTTAGCAAATTTAACATGTACATGTATGTAAAATTAACTTGTTTTACAGTACTTGTAAATAATCCTACTTATTGTATTTTACAGACTTCAAATCTACTTCTAGATCTTTTAATACACTTAAAATAATACTCGGCTATTGCAGCCTGATTATTCCTGTCTTACAACAGAATACTTGTAGAATAGAATATTTGTTTATCTAACTGAAATGATATTACGTCTATTTACATTCAAGCCATGGGGTTAATATAAGAAAAACATGTACAACATTGAACTAATTTATTTCAAAGCATATTGAAAACAAACTAAATCTAAAGACTTCTGTTTGTTTACATGTAGTGGTATATAACTGTATTTGGTTAGAAAATTTGGTCGAAGAGAGGAATGTCTCATTCAAATGAACCAGAAGTATTGAGCATTTATTCCAGGTTATACCAGGGTATTTTGACCATTGATGAACATATCAGAATGGAGCTTTCTTATACCTCAGGTGTGCAACTTATAAGATCTTAATACTGTAGGTTAATTGACTTGCACTTAAATAATATTAATGTGCTGAGAATAATATCTTTTTAGATATAGAACAGCTCATTCCTATGAATAAAATGTAAAAAAAACAGAAAAATTGTTCTGAAATATGCAGTCAAGAAAATCTTATAAGTCCACACAAAATAGCTAGCAATGGCACCAAGGCGATAGCATGCGTGAAAGTTAAAAACCATATATTCCTTTGTAAAATAAGATTGATGAAATAAATAGATTTCCATATAAAAAGTATGAGCTTGAGCAAGCTATTGGTAGCACTTTTAGTCCCAAAGAGGTGGATTTTCAAACTTGCTAGAAGAAAACTTTTTATATGGAAATCTATTTATTTCATAAATCTTATTTTACATTAGATGGCTTGCCAATCGCCAAGATATAGCTTGAGCTAATTATGAACAACATTAAGTATCCCATGTTATTTTCCCATAACACAGGAAAAACGTGCTATCCATTGTTTTCAGCATAATTTTGGTCATTGAAAATTGATATCTTTAAGACTAGACTTTCAATACCATTCTACTTTTGAAGAGGTTAAAGACCCCTTGTTGAATAATATTTTCATGCAATAAAAATGTGAAAAAGAAGATCCTCTTTTGAGTAAATAGGTTCAACATTTTTGAAAAATTGTTGACATGGGGTCCCTATTCATAATTTTTCGAATTGTTATTTTTATCATCATGGGGGCTTCACTTGAAAGAAAACATATTGTTTTAACAAGGCATTAACATGACAAAATGTCACCACCTAAAACAATTTGGTCAATTTAAAGCAAGTTGGAAAATACCTTTTGACCTTAAGAAGGTTTTTGAAGATTTGAGCTTCTGGGATCTTGTAGATGATTTTGAAAAAAGAAATTGTTCAATCTGAAGCAAGTTAAAACTAGTTGCACACAATATTATAGTGATCAAAAGTTAAATAGTATAAGCATAAGTCTCATAATTTGGTACTATGTACCAAATTTTGATAAAAGCTAAACATGTATACAGGTATAAAACATGCAAAATTGGTGATTACTCTAGGAGTCACATTTCATGTCAATTTGAGGTTGAAAGTGTCCAAATGCCAGAAATGTTTCAGTCTCAGGATCGTTTGGCACAGTACAAACATTGTACTGTCTATACACTTTTGAAGCAAGTTGAAAACAGACCTTTTTGACCTTTTTTGACCTTGAGAAGGTCATTAAAGGTCAAATGTCAAATCTAAAGTCAGATTTGAATTTCTGAGAA